AACTGGTCTTAATTGATAGCTACTTGAATCTTGAAAATAAACTCATTTTGATGTTAATATTAATTTGACGACGAAAATTATGAAGTGAATTGGTTGAACAACTGTTAGATTTTCTCGTTTATAAAGAAAAGGGTCAATTCGAACATTTGAATAAAAATTCCAGTTACCCTTGACCTTTGGAACGACTAGAACCAACCATAAACTAAATATTTGTTGTTGTATTTATATTGAGAAAATAGAGAATTTTTTATTTTATTTTGTGTTTCTTGATTCAAGATGATTTGATTATTTGAAGGGATAAGAATCTAATTATCATCCAAAAAAACGAAAGGGGAATAGGTCCAAATTAGTATCCAGAACCATAAAAGACGATACTTCCTTAATTTACTATTTTTAAGTTTTTTGTCATGACGCATGAATCTCGATTAATTTATGCCGTTCGAATCGTCCCATGTGGAAAGCATAAAAGAACTTGTCCTACACTCTCCTAGCTAGTAGCTAGACTCTTAAGGCTCTGTTTGTTTCCAATTTTATTAGTTTTTTTTAGAATTAAATATTAATAATGGTCTCATTACAACATATTTTTTTTACATTCTTAATATATTTTTTTTACATTTTCAATATAAAAAATACTTAAACGCACACATTAAAAAAAGAAACAAACAGAGCTTTTTTTTAAAAAAAATAAAAAAAATCCACCTCACTGGATCCCACTTAAATGTGGGTAAAATCCCCTTATAGTGAGAATCGAACCCTGATCTATTACACAGTAACCTAACCATTAGGCTGTCATTCAATTCTCAAACAGAGTCATAGTTCATCTCTAAAAAAAAAAACAAAAAAAAACAAAATACCACCAATAATAATACTCCTATATGGTAATTAGGCTAAGTGCTTACCTGACCTGACATGTTTGTCTGTCTTCATTCAGCTCACAGTCGCCATTATGTTGTTGTTGAACTATTTTGATTACATTAATTTGTTTGAACTAGAAAAAGAAAAAGAAAAACGAAATTCAATGAAATGGATGGTTTTCCTTCTAGAACAAATGAAGTGATCGGTTAGAAGTTTTGACGAGGATTATTCACCTACAAAATGAAACATTGTACATCAATATTGCCAACAACTAGTTAGTTGAGTTCGCTAGCTAAGAATTGGAACTACTGGGGGAAGAAGGATCAAATTTGGTTACCAGGAGTTGAATATTACGATAAGGGGTATTGGCATCTGGGTCTTTGCACTTTGTTTGTTAGGTTTTTTTACGGTATTTTTAAAATATTTAAATAATAACAATTCCATCATAACATATCTTTTTACATTTTTAATACATTTTTTTATATTCTCAATATAAAAAACACTTAAAAACACACATTATAAAAACGAAACAAACATAAAATTCCACAAAAGGGAGATGCATATGTATATATGGTGCATGCTGCAAAAAGACAAAAACAAAGTCTTTCCCAGTTTCATTCATAAACCTCTCTTTTTTTTCCCTAAATTTTTTTTTTTGGGAATCACATAAACCTCTCATGAAAAAGAAAAAATAAAAACCGTTTTCTGCGTTTCGTGTGATAAATGGCAGTACTTGAGCACATAATTACTTAAGGAATTCCCTGCAGTTTGATTTGATGAACTCAAAAGTTGGAAGAGAGTTATGAAACGAAACCATTTGGCACATCAGGAGCTAGCCACCCATGCTTTTGTCATTACAGTTGAATATCGTATACGTACGTAGAAAGTACAGATCGATGGAGATGCATGCGAGTTGCGATCCAATGAAGGATAAACAAAACAACACAACCCAATTGATAGGGAAAAAAAATTCAAAAAAAAAAAATTCCAGGGCTGGTTTTATTGAAAGTATAAGGAAACACATTTTATAATTTATTGCAATGTTTTCTTAAAAAAAAAAAAAATCATCTACAATGTGAACCTTTTACATATAGGATTGATGGAGTATTATGTTATCATATGCATCAAAATAATTTGGCATTGGGAGTTTGTAATACACTTTCTATATATAAGATTGAAATAGAGCAACTCACACATTTACTAGTATATTATATGGAGAAAAGTAATATTCCTTACAAATTTGTATGATATCAAAGTCAAGTTTTGCCGGTCAGATTCAGATGGCTAATGCATTGGCAGCAGCCTATCTATAGAACCTAAAGTGACAATACATAGAGTCTGAGGTAGCAACTTGCTGCCTCTTTGATTAATCTTCCTCATACTACTAATATTCAATTTTTATAATAAAAATATTGTTATATACATCACCAAAACTTTCGATTCCGCTGTGGATAGTTGCAATTCAAACACGCAGACAACTTTAATTCGATGGAATTGCAGCGGTTTCATTGACTTTCAACGGTTAGACACTTAAATTATTTATCAGAATCTTGTTTATTCTACCATCTGTTTTATGCCATTGAAAAGTGTTTGATAATATTTATCGGGGAGAGAATACATCCCAAAAAAAAAGAAGAAAAAAGTAACGAATAATCTAATTATTCCAGATGAAACCCAATTTAGACCTAACAGTTTAAACCCATAAACCTCAACAAGAAGGAAAACTAATTAGTGGGAAGATAGTGTTAATATTAATACAATCGAGTGCAAACATTCAATATCCTTCGGTTTTTCCCCCCATTTTCTTTCAATACATTTTTCTATGTGCATATTAGAATTTTGCATACACGGTTCTACTTAGTGCTTTGAAAGTTTTTGTTAAAGTCCACGAGTAGAACTAGTTGTTCTACATCGGTATATTGGGAGGTTCTAAAACCTATTACATTGAGTTTTGTTGGGTTCAATATTGGAATTCTTTGGCTCGATCTCCTGGCCCGGAATTCCTGATAGCTTTGTCACCTGCAAATCTGTAATAATGAAGTGTCAAAGTTTTAACCAATTGAATTATTTCTCCTTGAACCGTCAGCTGCAAATCTATAATAATGAAGTGTCAAAATTTTAACCAGATGAAGTGTTGAACTATTTCTCCTTGAAAATGTCCATTGTTGAACGTATAATAATATAATCGTAAGGGAAAAAACATGTCGTACATTTTTTGCACCAAGTTAGAGATAAAAAAGTGTCATTGTTGCGTGAAAGGTCCAAAAGGGCCAAAACATGAATTTGGTTTTTCATTAAAATGGAGTGTACATTCTTGCATTGAAAAAGTGTAATCATAAAAATGTAATTACTCTCAAGAATACATTTTATATGCTTAGGTTGGTGAACGAAAACATATAATGCTCAAACAAAGGGATCAGCAGGAATGTACACTTTCTGTCTGACAAGATGGCTAACTGCTCTAAGTAAGATGCCATGGATTTCCAGCAAACTGACACTATACAATACATGGAAGCCATCGCATGATCCCCCAATCAAATGGACGATTTTGTAATAAAGAAACTAGTACGATAAATACTTACCAACTTGTGATAATGCGATAGTCACGAAATGAGAATTATATGAAGTTGATCATGATATTTTTTTTTTCAATATGGTTTGAATTGAATCATAATTCGATATATAGAATAGCTTGAATCTGAACAAAACTTTCTTCACGTTAATTCTCTCCCATTGATTTAAGCGTAAGAATGAATCAAAATGAAGTTACGAGTCAGACTTATCAAATCAAATGAAAACTAATTAAAGACTTCAGAGGGAAGAATGTTTGGATTCAGTAACTGACGGAACTCCCAAATGTAAATACAAGAAGTCGTGTTTTCACTGCCAAAGAAAAGTGTCACGTTTTCTATTGGAGGTATGATTCACGCAACGGTGAGAAAGTCTAACGCAGATATTAATATCTCATTCCTCAAGTGTGAAAATGTACAATTATTTTGTTTTGATTTTTGTTTTGAATTGGGTCAGTTGAGAAAGTGATCTTAAGATATTGGGTCAGGTTAATTATAATCCGAGTTCAAATTCAGAAACGAACGTGCTTGCTGAGATAATTTATCCCCAAAAAAGGGATTTATCTAAATTAAGAATGTTTTCTGTCAACAGGTGCAGTGGCACGCAGAAATACTTTTCAGTTTAAATTATTCTATTTATTTTTAAAAAATAATTCATATTGGATTTTGTGATTTTTAGTATTTTATTAAAATAAATTTCAAAATTTATTGTAAACTAATTTCATGGAAAAGAGAGTGTACTGTCTAAACTCTAAACTTACCAAATAGTCTAACGACGGGGTGACTTTTTTCCCCTCTTTTTAATGAAAAAATATAAAGATTTTTTTTTGGTATATTTGTAGGGTGTTCACCGTCGCAACAGCGATTAATCCCTCTCGCTAAATTGTAGGCAACTTTATGAGTGGAACAGCTGGTCAAAGTATGAAAAAAAAAAAAGAAGAAGAAGAAGAATCTCCAAAAGGTACATGGAAAAAAAGAAAAAGCTAAGGATATGATAATTTTGTATTCAATGTGGTTGGACCAAAGTGAAGATTCAAACTATATTCGGGATGATTATCTTATTAGTTTAACAAACATGATTTTTTAGTCTTAAAACGGAGGAAAATATTTTTCCCGTCATTTCGAAATAATTGTCAATTTGGAATTTCACTTTTACTATTTTTTCTTTCTCGAAATTATTATCCAGTTTAGATTTTTATTTTTAGTTCAAATTGTACTAAAAGTGAAATTTCAATTTTGGGACAGGGAGTATAAATTATGTTAAAAATGAAAACTCAAAATCAGTCTGGGACAGAGAGGGAATACTTAAGATGAATAATGAAGAGTTTAACAACCGACCAAGCGAAAGAAAAATCATGGAAAAACGCAGCATTTTTTAACGTACAAAAAAGATTGAAGAAGATAGAGTCATTGCATTGAACCCTTCTACGTTAGAGGCGTCAACGGGGGGCGCAGGTGGGGCTCATGACCCAAAAACCAATTCTGCAGAGATAGACTGGCAAACAACATGCAGAGATCAACTGCATATTATTAAACCATTGACTTGATCTACGCATTTACTCATCAGAACCAACAAAAATGTCCAGGTTGAATTGCAGCAGAAATCCCCAAATTGGTGTGTGTGTGTTTTCATTTGCAACCTTTCATTTTGTCATCACACATAGCTTAGCTTCTATATATATAGCTCTCAGGGTTGGGGTATGGCCAAGTCAAGCTTACCGTATTAGACTCGTGCAAATTTATTAACTTTATCCTAGACTCCTAGCATGAAGTAAGTATACATTATCTCCTACTTTTCCAACAATCACAGCACTCAGATTCTTTTCTGGATTATCATAACAAACAGAGTTTTTTTTTTTCCCATTTACTCCTATTTTACGCCCATTTCCAATAGTATTGAATTTCAGTTTCATGCTAGGTTGATGGCTCCTGCAATGGAAATTGAATCCAATATGCAGAACCTTCACTTTGTTTTAGTTCCTTTGTTGGCTCAAGGCCATATGATTCCAATGATAGATATGACGAAATTGTTTGCAAAACGTGGGGTGAGAGTAACTCTGGTGATCACTCCAAACAATGCGTTGAGATCAGCCCGAGCCATTCGTCGGGCTCGAGATTCAGGGCTTCCGATTCGTGTCCTGGAAATCCCATTTCCCAGCAAAGAAGTTGGGCTGCCGCCTGGATGCGAGAATTTGGACAGCGTCCCTTCAAAGGATCTACTCAGACCATTTTACAGAGCACTTGACAAGCTTCAGGGCCCGTTGGAGAAATATCTGCGAGAAAATGAGTACCCTCCAAGCTGCATAATCTCGGATAAGTGTTTGTCCTGGACCTCAGAAACAGCTAAGAAATTCCAGGTCCCAAGAATCGTTTTCCATGGAATGTGCTCATTTTCGCTGCTAAGTTCCCACAATGTAAGTCTCCACAGGCCTCATCTTGCTGTTGATTCCGACCAAGAGCCTTTCATCATCCCTGGAATGCCGATGCGGGTCGAAATCACAAGGGCTAAGTTGCCCGGATCATTTGTTACATTGCCCTGTTTCAATGATATCAGGGACCAGATGACTCAGGCTGAATCTAATGCTTACGGAGTTGTTGTGAATACATTTGCTGAATTGGAACATGGTTGTGTGGAGGAATACAGGAAGGCCATAAACAAGAAGGTTTGGTGCATTGGCCCTGTTTCGCAATGCAACAAACAGAATTTGGACAAATTTGAGAGAGGGAACCCATCATCAATTGACAAAAATCTGTGCCTAGAATGGCTTAATTCGAAGAAACCCGAATCGGTTCTTTACGCCTGCCTAGGCAGCCAGTGCCGTTTGATTCCATCCCAGTTAATCCAACTCGGGTTAGGACTGGAAGCGTCCAACCAGCCATTTATTTGGGTGATTAAGACAGGGGACAAATTCTCAGATGAATTAGACCAGTGGTTATTGGATGAAAAGTACGAGGAGAGGATCAAAGGGAGGGGACTAATCATCAAAGGTTGGGCACCTCAGGTTCTGATTCTGTCCCATCCTGCAATCAAGGGATTCTTAACACATTGTGGCTGGAACTCTACAATTGAAGGTATCTGCTCTGGGGTTCCCATGATAACTTGGCCTATGTTTGCAGAGCAATTCTTCAATGAGGTTTTGATTGTGGATGTTTTAAGGATTGGGGTTCGTGTCGGCGTGGAGCTTCCCGTGAGATGGGGAGATGAGGAGAGAGTTGGAGTTTTGGTTTCCAAAGAGCAAGTTGAAATCGCCATTGAAAGGCTAATGAAGGATCCAGAAGATGGCATGGAAAGAGGGGTCAGAGCCAGAGAGCTTGCATTGACAGCCAAGAATGCAATGGAGGATGGAGGATCCACTAGCTTTAGCATTTCGCTTCTCATCAATGACATCATGGGACAAGTACGTCTTCGGACGTCATGAGTAGAAGCACCAGATTTTGTTCAACTATTTACTGTCCATCTAGTTTGCTCGATTGCATGCGTAGGTCTGCTTGATAGAATTAGATAGATTACTCCCCACCGTCCCGCAATGATTGTCTTGTTTGTTGTGTTACTTTGGACCATAGGGAGTATAAGTCACTTCAAATGTGATAAATTTTCAATTAGTGGGTTAACTAAGTTGCCTAATTATGTGATCCAAACAAACCAAATTGAAATGCAGCACCAATTTTAGCCCAGAGAACATAGTATTGAAGAAGAAAGAGTTTTAACTTTTGCACATGTTTGGGAAATTAAAGAGTAAAAGCTGTGGTTTATAGATGAGCTAAATCCAGGACTTCTGTAGTGTACAAATTCTATCACCTCCTGATTTAGTTGTCTTCGGTGCGGATAAACATTCTATCACCTCCTGACTTCTGTAGTGTACAAATTCTATCACCTCCTGATTTATTTGTTATTGTAGTTATAAACATGTAAGTTCAACAATAAAACCTTATGAATCAATGAAGTTTTTCCTTTTCAGTAAGACTCTAAACCATAATCTCTTCTCCCATCTGTTGGAATAAGAAGCCAATCTTGTGCATCTATGAAGGAGTGATCCATGAAAACAGCAGCTTCAAACTGCGTCAACTCTCTAGCATATGGCACCCTGGATTTGTTAATAGCTCCAGGTCCGCAGCACTCATATTCTCCAAAAAACACCGTCCTGAAGAATTCACCACATGGATCATAATTTAACTTTCAATTTCCAAATAGCTGAGAACATAGGGGGGCTTAAACAATTTATTAAAATGACAATAAAAGGATGAACCAGCTAGAGAGACGTACTGGTCTTTAGAGGGATCTCTCCAATCATCCCAACCACCAGGCGAAACAACTTCTGTCATGCTAGTCTGGGAGAAAACAACGGTCGCATAGGCTCCCCAAGCCCTACCCAGCCACACTTTACCACTGCCATTAACTTTACAGTTCACAAAGGAAAAACCCGAATTGTCATCGGTTGAATTTCTGCCTTGTGCTGTGATAGATCCAGTAACCACATTTGGTTCATCTTTTGCTATGGAAACTAGAGAACAATCCTGCGCCATGCATGCGTCATTCGTTAGTATCGCAGGAAAAGTACCAGGATGAAGCAATCTTGGACAGAAGTGGTTTTATGTATGTAATGTACCTCATAAAGTGATCTTCCTAATCCGAAGATGAAATCAATGGATCCTTGGATGAAGCATTCTTTGAAGTAATGCCTCCCACGATCATCATTCAGCGTGTCTTGCGCACCATAAAATCCACATCCAAAAAATGCAGCTTTATCGCCCGAAATCCTTAGTGCTACAGCCTGAGCCCCGGTGGCACCTGGTGATGGAGCGGGAGCTGTATTCTTATAATGCATTTTTTTTTAAAAAAGTGAAAAATCAGTCAGATATCAGAAAGCTGAGCTTAATTAAATATATAGACTTCATAAACGAATTAGTACCATATAAATATTGTACCTGGAAGCTAATGTTGTAAGCTACAAAGTTTGCAGCAGAAATAGTAAAAGTCGAGCTGTTTGCAGTTGATCCGTGAGAGGAATCAGAAGTGTCGTTCCATGCTATATACGTGTTCAAACGGCCCTGGCCTTGTATAATTAAGTTCGTCTTGTTTGCACTAACTGTCACTTTCTCCCTGTCGCCATAAAAGGAATTTCACGGTTTAAAGCTTTTAAGCACCCCCGTCATTATTTATTTAGCAAATTTTGTCAAATGATTAAAGGCTTTAATGTAAGTTCTGTTTGTTCTTTTTCCTTTCTGAGGGATGAGCAATGGATTGTCACGATGTTCTTATCCCTGAGGTGTATGTTTGTTCAACAGTGTAACTCAAATACAGTTGCAGATGTATCCATAATTGATTGAATATGTTACCTGTACGTTCCTGAACCGACGATAACAAGAGTCCTTGCTGAGCTCAGTTCAGGAACAGAATCCACCGCCTTTTGTACGCTGCTGAAATTGGCACAGCCCTTTAAATCTACAGTCAAGACTAATGAAACAGAATACATGTCTACGAGCTTAGACTTCCACATTGACTCATCACAAGAGGTCTTCCCTGGCTGCTTCCTCCTGTGTCGATGATGCCTGGACCTTCTTCCTAATACTTCTTCCCAGAATGTGATCAAGTAATCGTCAAGCCCGATTAGTCTTACAAACCTGTGAAGAAAGTTACTTGGATTGAATCCATTTTGAATGTTTGGTGATGTGTTTGCGTTAAGGGAGGATGAGTAGTCATCTTGGGTAGAATGAAAGGAGGCTATGATGGAAACAAGTAGTACAAAAAGGGCGGTGATCCAGAACAATGTGATCCTTCTGGTAGTCATGGCTTTAGTACCCGACTTATGTTTGGCTAATGGTTTTTTCACATTTGGAGTTGTGAATTAGTAGGGATAAAGGAATTGGTAGAATTGTGGATTTATATACATTAAAGAGTGATTGAGTTGATTGACGTGGGAGGTAAGAAACGTGTGGACATTTTTATCCGAGTGATTATGCAATGTGTTTGTTCTAGAACTGAAATGATTATGGGTTATTGCACTTTTCAGTCTTCAACGAAGTGGAAAAAAAATCTAATAAAGGATATGAAGATATGGGCATGCAAAGTAAAGAAATGGACATTAGATTGTATGTACGCAATCATTCTTGCTTTCCTTCTTTCTGAGTCGCATTGTGTATTTCTGGGGATTGGATGAGTAAGTAGGTACTCTTGTTTGTTGGGGAAAATCTAATGCTGGATTCGATCACCCATCAGGACTTCAGAGTGTTGCCTGTCGAAACGTGACTTTGCCATTGGAAGCGCTGTTTTGTTTGGATCTAAAGCAATTTCATTCGGGCAAATATTTAACATAATTGTGTGATTGGGTTTTGTTTGGATCTAAAGCAATTTCATTGGGACGAATTTTTTACATAATTGTGTGATTGGTAACTTCAGTTATCCCAAATAATCGTCTAATTCCTTTCTTATATTTTGATAAATTTTCATTTTTAGTACAATTATTTTATTAATCTTTCGACTCAAAATGACTATGCAATTTAGATTTTCATTTTCATTTATAATGATTGTCCTGTTGAAATTTTCTTTTTTAGTACAATTATTTTACTAATCCTTCGACTCGAAATGACTATCCAATTTAGATTTTCATTTTCTTTTTCAAGTTACACAAAAAAGATTATCTAATTTAAAATTCCACTGTCGCTTTAACCAAAATAGTTATCCATTTTAGATTTTCATTTTTATTCAAAATTACACTAAAAATAAAAAACTAAACTGCGACAGAACCACAAAATAACTGTGAATTTCATTTCCAGGCAGTATTGCCTTTTTTTCCTTCATTATCTCAAATGAAATTATCTTTCGAACTCGAAAACAACAGAAATTTTGAAAAAAATATATAAAATAAAAAATTCTGTAAAACATGTGCAAACTTGAGGATTAAAAGAATTTGCAAGGGAAAACGAAGTCGAAACTCAATATTCACAAAAATACATGCTACCCTAAATGTAAAATCAAGCAACAATAAATTAACACTCATAAATGTTTAAATTAATCAACAGAGTACACATTTCTTTGAAGCGAAGAACAGCATGTCGGAGTTCTCTACTCCCTAATGTCTAACTCTAAAGTTATCTACAGAGACTACAATCGACTAATATCCACTCCATCAATACTTTAGGGGGGAAAAAAAAAAAGGAAAACAAATTGCAGCTGGCCTGCAACTGAATCAATCATGACTAACGCCAGTTCGAGATTCTGAGTAAAAACTCTTATGCTGCCTCTCATCTCAGGGTGAGCCATGTTAAAATTCACAAACAGCCCCCCCATTCACGATTTAACTTAACCGCAACCAGAAGCGCACATGTTCTGGTCCTCCACCGGACTCTTTCCATCGTACCAGAAGCTCGGGCTGAACCAGAATAAGCCATTCCACAATCAATTACAGTATGGAAACATTCGAACCAGCCCCATTTTCAACATCTTTTCGAATTCGGCATTTTGGAACCATTTTTTCCAGCATAGACGTTCCTTCGAAGTTTATCATTTGCCAACACGTTTTTCTGTGGTTAGCAAGCTGCAAAGACAGTAAAATAAAAGATTTTAAATCCCAACGCATAAAAGGATGTGTGTTGTGTTAAGGTAAAACCAACCTGTTCCCGAGACATCCTTTTAAACCCAAACTTTTCTGTCCATATCGATTCAGCTTCTTCAGCAGCTGGGAGCACCAAACTTCTTATTTTAAGGAATGCCAACAATTTCTCCAAGCAGGAAAAAAGTAGTTGAAAGTATCCCTGTGTAGATACAGCAATGCAATGTTTCAATTAAATAAGCACCAAGAGTTCTTCAATTAATTCTAAGGGCAAGACATTATGATACTGAAATCATAAAGTTTTAACCCTAGTATGACCGAAATATCTCGCCATACCCGAGAAACCAATATAGATTTCTAAAAGACATTAAATTGATCTAACCTTGTTTTGATGTCCTTTTCTAGTTGCAACTAAAGGTAATTCTGCCATATCCTGTCCAAATACCCGGAGGATCCCAGCTGACACAACTTGTGAGCTACATAACCAGTTAAAGCTGTAAGAAGTAGAACACAGGCCAGCAACAAAGAAAAGTTACACACAAAAAGAATGGATAATGATTTACTTGGCAGTCAATATTGCGCAGTAAATTCCACTAAAATCTTGACCCCTTATATTCCTTCTGCAAGAGGAGAGGACATGTGAGCGCAAGAACGAGTAGCTACATTCATCGAAACAAAAGAGTATCATGCTCACCCATAAACCATAGATGGAATGAAATCACGGCCAGTTACTGCATCAACAATTGGATCAAAAGAATCCTGCAACAGTGGTTAGTAAGAACAGTAATGATTAAAATTCCTTTTAACGTTTGCAACGAGACAGAATATACTACCTCACACGGAGAAAATAACTTGAACTACTTACGATGCAAAAAACTATATCAAAACACCAGCAAGCATCATAACCAATAGCCATATAACACCAAAACGCAGTCACATACATAATTCAGAACACCAGGTCCCAATGGTTAAACATCAATGAAAAGATCTCTCCCTCTGTGTATGACCCACCCCATTTACCTAGTTGTTTCAAAATCAACTATAGTGGATAGAGTATCAATGTCGAAAACAACTAATCAAGATAATATTATTTCCATACATTGTTCTCCCATTTGTCGGCTAAAAAAAACTATTACACTGGTTTCTATATCAGTTACTTAATTGCTGTTCACAAGGTGGTCGATAGTAAGAACATGAGTACATGAGATCTCGAGCATGAGACCATCTACTGAAATAAAACTTACATGGAATATTGCAACAGCTTCAGAAAGGAATGTACGAGTTTCCCGCGACGAGATTTTGCCGCTAAGTAGTCTCCAACTAACATCAAATTCACCTGCTCCTTCAGAAGCTTCTAGCATGTGCTTCTTCTTTATGACATCCAAACAGGAGTCTGGGAGCTTCTCAAATCCAGAATTAAGCAAGTTGCTCAATGCAGAATAGATTCTCTTGCAATCCCCACAACAGAACCATTTCCCTTTGGGTAATTCCTGTAGCACAAGACGTCACGAATCCAACAATACAATAGGTTTAGCTAATTGCTTGCACAGACTGAATATGTAGGAACTCTTCAAACCAGAAAATGCGATAAGTGGAAAGCAAATTGCAGAACAAACCTTCAGATCAGCAATTTTCTGTTTCTTCAAGCAGCCAACATGATACTCCTTCTCACACTAAAAATCAATGCATGATATGAGTGATTCACGTGGTAATGCATAAAATTCAACTCACAGAAATACTGAGATAAAGTAAAGAATACCTGATCACATAGTATAACTGTACGAGGCCCAAAACCAGTTTTGCTAAAATCATAACCTCTGCATAAGGGGAGTAGGCCATCAACAGAATATAATTACTGAGTATGAAATGCATCTTCAGAAGCCCTATGAAAACATGCTGGGAGGAAACAAACTGGTTTGGGCAGTGCCATTTAGATACATCAAAATAAGCTACCTGCATATCACACATGCAATAACTTCAGCTTCTTCTGGATTTTTGACGAGGCGGATGCAACGATTTGTAATCTGTTCAATGGGATCAACTCCAGGAACTCTTCCAGCTGCTACAGCATTAGCATTGTGTTCAACATATTTTTCTCTCTGAAACCTGTTCTCGCAATATTTGCAGTACCATTTACCACGGGGAATAGCGGATAGTGACGCACATGCTGCAAACGCAGAAGAGAAAGAAATTAATCAATTGACCTCAAAGAAACTGGACACAAAATGAACACACGATTCAAAACTTGCACCATGCCCCAAAAATATGACGCATTTAGACCAACAAAGTTATGCTACAACAGAAAATATCTGGACAAAGTAAAAATTTATAATAGTTTACTGCTGCGCTTAGCATCTGCAGTTACTAGTCAAATGCAACCAATGCACTGGCAGACAGCACCAGACAAAGAAAATTACTTCCGGAAATTTTAAACCCAGTGAAATTAGTTGGGAATGCATAGGAATCAAGCATACCACGCACCAGATAATATGTAAGAAAAGAAAGCGTTACTGTGGGAATTGTTTTTGGGAGGGATCTATTTCTGCTAGACGGCCCACGGCTCATGCAGTTTCCAAAAGTTTAAAAATGAAATCATGGAGTTGTTACAGAACAAGTACCTTCTTGAGTGTAAATATCTAATTAACCAACCATATGACCCACAAGTCTAAATCTAATTCTAACTTACCTTTATGAAATGCCCTTGGGCATCCATCACAAAGTACAAGCTTCCCACCATCACCACAGATGGTGCATAAATCATCATTGTCTGTAGCAGCACAGTTGCGTCCTTTCATTAATGTAATTGCAAGTTCGTGAAGGGAGACTCCATTAGATGTATAAATGTATCCATATCTAGACAAAATCCAAATAGAATGAAAATAAGTGTCAAAAAAAAGATAAGCCACAATGTCAATATTTCCGGACTAATGAAATTAGAACTAACGGTTTTCTCCTTGAGGCCCAACCAGCATGTGCTTCAAAAAGTGAAGGACTGACCTGCATATCAATGGAAAAGAAGATCAAAACTTCCAACATAAACGAGAAGGCGACGAGGGTCTCATGTTCAAGATAAAGCACCGTACCTCATTCTTGCAGCAAGTACAAAAAATGCCCAAGCCTTTTTTGTAACCTGTAAGCAATTTCTATGGGGAGAGGAAACACAAACTGTCAGATATTCAAACACCCAAAATAACACCGCAAAGCACTAGTTTATCCAAATCACCTGCCCACGGGAGTAATAAGTAAGCACAGCTCCATCAGGCAAGCCACCTTCCTCAAAAACTAGCTTATGCATCCTCTGATCTCTGAAAGATATTAAAAATAAAATAAAATAAAATACTCTGTAACAACAATCAGAAGCCACTATCCAATACAGGAAAAATTTTAATCTCAAAAACTGATACAAACTTTTTTGTTATCTTCCACTGGCTCTTGGACGTCGGAGAGGCAGGTGTGAAAGACCCTTTTGAAGGTTTCACAGGTGTGAAAGACCCTTTTGAGGTAGGTGTGAAAGACCCTTTTGAGGATTTCACAGGTGTAGTTTCGCTTGACAAGCTGAAATGAGGGAATGATCAGGAAAAGACGATCACCAATCTTATTCAATTAATACAAAAGAATCATGCAAAAATACAAAGAACCTTGTTGATACTTTTCCTAGAGTTTCAATTTTAATGAGACAAATGTATAGAAAACTAGGAAAACCAAACCGAAAAATTAAGAAGAGAAATTTTTTTTTTCATAGCCTGAGAGACTAAATCAACACAAATAAGGGGGGAAAACAAAAGATAGTAAAATAGCCTAATTTTTAGCTATCTTTCACCGGTTATTCTTTCTTGGAGTGGGGTTAAGTTCTGTGATGAAGCCATTTATGAATATCTAAATTAACCATATAATTGCTGTAAGGAGATTGTAAGCTCCGCCGTTAACAAAAATAGCTAAGGTAAAAAAACTCAAGAGCTACCAACTTTTTCTTTTTCCTTCCTCGAGGATCACGTGGAGGAGCAGAATGCACTACAGCACTTTCAGAAGCTTTAAAGCGCAAAATCGGCTCGGAAGCCCTGCAAAAATTCAAAAATTTAGGTTAACATCTTATGTCCCAAGTCTCAACAGTTTATAAAGCTGAAGAACCAAAAGTCACATATTGAACCTTCGGAATCCATTTGCTTTTCTTTCTTTGACTCTCTTCTTTACTTCTTTGGGTTTACTGCAAAAGAGCACCGACGTGGTTATGACTGCTCGATAAAATCTAAAAAATCCCTGTTTCTCAACCACATATTCTCACAACCCTAGAGGGAAAAAATCACTTCCCAATTGCTTCATATGTCATCATAATTAAGCAGCAATATCATTCATTTGGGACGGAGAGAACTACATCAGAATTATCCGTCAAAGTTACACGTAAGCTACAAAAAGGTAAACCGTGTTCCAACACCGTTCATCTCAAGCCTATATTCAAAATCACAAAAGTGATATATTGCAGCTATACTACCATGGCACCTCAAGTAACTGAACTTCTGATATTTTAACTGCAGAAGAAACTACTTTTTCTACCCTCAATTGTTCATTGTACTTTATCTATGAGCCAACTAATGTAATTGTACTTCATAAAAGGCATCACACCAAAGTTCAGAAACATTATCCTCATATTGACATCATGCAACAAACAAACGCCTCAACAAACTTGAAATCTGACAGAAAGACGTACCTAATTTTTTCATATGGCGTGTGCATTATACTGTCCACTGATTTTATAGAAATCATGCATGGATCACAAAGTTCATCCACCTTTGCAGCAGATGTTGCTAGAAATGAACCTGCACAAGAAAACCCAGACAGCATTTAGAATACAGTCTTACAATTATAAAGTAAGACATATGAGTTGAGTTTGCTTACTCCCACAATTCCGGCAAATTATAGATTCCTTTTGAGGCAATGGACCTATTATACTTTGAATTGTTTTCTTAATTTCCTTCAAAGAAGATCTCCCACAATCCTTCACCACATCTAAGAGGCTTTTGCCATTCTCCAGACAGATGTACTGCGTTGCGCGTCTATACGATTTACAAGCATGGATTTCAAATGTACAAGGTGGAACTACCTACAAATGAGGAAGATTTAAAAAGTAGAAGAATTTCTAAGATAAAACTGCAAAAAGAAACTTCATTAATAGTTAAGTGGACCTTCTAGCTACTTACCCTTGAATTCTGGCATAAAGTACAAGAACACAAAATGCCAACATCTTTAATTGTTCCTCGCAAAGGTATACCCTAAAACAAAACCACTCTTTAGTCCTACCAAAAAATGAATAAATAAATATGACAATAAATCATAGAGTGACTAACAAATTTTAAATAGCTTTGTGCAAAATTCTAACAACTTTGGGTCAAGTGCGCCATCATATATAGGCACATTCATGATTCAAGTATGTCTGCATATAAAAACATCTAAATATAAATGCCAGCAGTAAGTCCAATCGCTTCAAATATCACGACTGGACTTCTCCCACATACACGTTGAATCACCCCCCCCCCCCAAGCTTCCAACTTTCAAACAGCGCAACTTTCAAACAGCGCACGCATGGTAAACAGATAGAACAGTACAGATACATCCGCAGGTAAATTATGTTAACTTCCAACATTTCTGGTAATTTTAAAATAAATAATAAAAAAATTACGGCACAAGGATTCACACAGACAAGAACATGATCACTCTCCCAACTTTTAGAAAGACACCATGCGCATGTCATAAATAACATTTTCACACGACAGTCAACAAAATGAAATTGGCAGACAATTTAACCACCAGCATACCTTGTTACCACCATTGTAGAAAACTGGATATCCTTCAAGTAAACCAGTCTCGAGTAGCTCCCTAACGGTGGAAGGCCTACCTGCAATTTCTATTTCGATCTTTTTTGACATTTTCATTTCCATTTTTCCTTGGACTTCCACAGTGCCATTGTCGTCCACTTCGGACTCCGCAAACGACGCGTCCTTAAACCCTTCGGAATCCCCATTAATCATCTCCACATCCACCACCGTAGTTTTCAACGCTGATCGCGTGAACCGCCTCGACTTGTTGTTCCTTTCCGAATCCGATGAGGATTCCTCTTGCGTAACCACAATCTCGACCAGCTCATTCTTGCTCGCTGAGGCAGGTTCAGTCTCCGACTCCTCCTTAATCAACGAATTCCCATCTGGCTGTCTCTGGCTCTGGTCCGGGAGCGTACCAGCAATTTTGTCCTCCACTTGATCGCGTTTAATTACGGCACCGGAATCTCCCAAAACAGGAGCTGCGGCAGCGGACAAGGCGGCTTCAGTTTTCAATTTCTTGCTTCGCTGGTAAACCCTAATGACGGGGGTGTTAGAATTGACAACCGCCGGGGGAGCAGCAACGTCGGAATGGCTGGCCGGTTCGTCGGAGCCTTCCTTACCGTTGTCGACAAGAGAAGAAGCAGATCTCCGAGTTCGACCGAGAGGCTCATTGAGCTGAGTCTGAGTCTCGATTAGAAAAGCTAACTCGCGTTTCATGATTATTCCGCCGCCGCCGCCGCTGTTGAGTCCAAATGATTGAACGCAGCAACGGAAAAAATCTAGGAAGGAGAATGAGCGTCGGTCGGAGCTTGCGGCGGTGGAGACGAGGTTCTCATAAATCTCGGCAGAGTCAGAGCAGGGAGGGTGTGACTGTGTGTGGGGGTGGGGCGGTGGAGTCGCGGCAGTAGCAGTCACTTTAGAGTATATCGATGGGGGATTTTAGATTTGAAACGAAGAATGATAAGAGAGGAAAAAAAAAAAAAAAAAAAGGAATAGTGAGTGCGGAGAGACTGGCGATTGTTGTGCACCGCGGATCCCGCACGTGAGTTTGATTTCGAACTCTACAAGCGGTATTGCGGTACAATATTTATACTATAGTATTTAAATACAAAATTTGATTATTTAAAGATTTTTTATTACAGTGTTCAATTTTTAGTAGTAGCGATAAACAAACATATATGATGGTCAAGTAATAAATTACATAGTATATCACTGATTATATTTATTGGAAAAAAATTATCTTATGATTATAAGTGGTTATTTGAGTTGAATCCAAATTAATTGGGACAGTAATTTCAAACGTAATTTTTTATCCTTGATGAATAAATGACCAAGCAATAATCGAATAAATTGCCATAAGATATCTTATGATCTCTTATGTTTTTTTTTTTTTTTTTTTTTTTGAGGGGATAAACACCATGCTACTCTGACTGAGTTATCATGTCAAGAGTGAAAGGGAGCACGCACTTAAGTTTGTCACGCGAACAACAAATTTGGAAGTATTGATATTTCTGCATATTATTTACGATTTGTAAACACGTTTTAATCAAAGTTCTACAAATGCATTGTTGTGTGAGCCTGAGGTACATTGTGCTCAAATTGTCCGTACAAACCCAGCCAAATAGATTACATTCTCAAAATTTTACTAAGGCAAAATAACTTGGTCGATCAATACTTATATGTATGTGCTATTAGCTAGCTATTCAACAAAATTAGCTGTAAATATACGTGACCACCAAGTTTAACCATAGCAATCTTTTGTTTTACGATTTGTAAGTGTTAACCACCCGAAAAAAAAAAGAAGAACAAAGGAAAATTAAGTGCCAATTTCAAAAATACATTAATCTGAAATTAGAGCAATAGGGGGGATAGCTAATTCCAAGCTCGAAATGGATCGATTTGTTTTTAGCTAGCTAATCTACCTTCTATTAATTATCACCCTTCCTAAATCTTCCCAATTTTGCCCTCCGTTGGAGGTATCGATACTGAGTGTACCAGGAGGCTCATTTTCACATAAACCATTGGAAAACTATCGGTCGATCTTATTCGTTGTTTGAGGCACCCAACATTCTTTATTCTCTCGCGGCAAGGAGGCGGGTTATATGAGATCAAAGCAGCAGTGATTGATGAATTAAGAAAAAACATTTATTCGGGCCACAACAGGCCTGCAAGCAAGCTCCAATAGTTTTATTAGTTATAAGATCGAGGTAATTAATAATTAATTAATTAACAAGTACATATGCATGATGCATGGCACTCGTAAGATTAACCAAAGAAGAAGACAACAACATATTGAGATTATTGACTTCCTGGAGAAATACAATCGAAAAGGAAAAATCCAATATGTAAGAACTACAAAAAGAAATGCCAAAGGATAGAAGTTGCCCTATATATGAAAATGGCCTAAACGTTGGCCATCGTGATAGTACGTAGTACAACCAAACTTGCCTAAATGAGCAGTCCCGGAAAACACCAGCCAAACCAGCTGCAATTAGGCTTCCCAAGGTGGCGCCTCGCCGGAATCAACCTACCCAACAACCATCAGTTTGACGACGGTGATCAACCAACCGGGCGCAACCGCCCGGGGATCACATTGCGGCCGGGATATGGTTGGAAATGAAGAGGGTTTTGAAGTAAGAGGGGAGCAGGTGTTTATAAGGAGGTGTTCTTGGACTCTTTGGTTGGTTAAGAGCTTTAAGAAAAGGGATCATGACTTAAGGTAGGGGGGAGGATGTCTGGTCCACTTTTGGGAAAAAGAAGAGGAAAAAGGTGACGGAAAAAAAGATTGAAACAGAAGGGTCACAAGGATCTTCCAAGGTATATGCCATTGGGCAATCTTAGGTGTTTTCCGCATATAACCTCCACTTTAGGCATCATTGTACTAGATTCTACTCTATTTTGTGTACTACTATACTTAATTATGCCTTTTTTTTTGCTTTCTAAAGCTAAAGTAAAACTCCAACTGGTTCTGTTCTGCGACTTCTGTTTTTGAATGTTTGTTGTCTTTATTTGTTACATCAGTTGTTGTTTCTAGCATTGGAATATGCCATTTGCTCACTTTGGATGTATGCAATATGGATCATAAGTCATCATTGTATTCCGTTCCAGAAAAATAATACAGATTGCGTACATGTCAAAATTTAATACGAACAGTTTTTCTCTGAAACATAAGGAATAATATTTATCGACTGGTCATTTGTGATAGAAATCTAAAATGTCTCTCCCATCTCCCTCTCCAAGAAAGAAAAAGAAAGATTCGCTGGTAGAGTGAGTTTATCGTAGGTGGTATATTCGTTAATTCACAAAATATGCATAAATCCATTAGTGGCACAAAGAATACGTAAAATGGACTTGGAGAAAACGTGGGAAAAGGTGAATGAGGGGGGTGCCTAGCTTTTGGGCGGTAGTGGCAAATGCTGACATCCGAAGTACTGAGTGCAGTACTTCGGAGCAACGATACATAGATATATTTTGGTGAGTGATTACGTAAGGCCTCCAAAGGCGCCAAGTTAGTTCTTTCTTTGATGAAGAGAACTAATTAACCAATTGCTGAAGAGCAATAAATTCTGGTCTGGTCCCTATGCTGTGACGCTGGGACTGTCTACAAAAATATTTCAGTGATTGCAGAATGTGTAAGAATGATGATATGAGCGTTTTCTTTTTCCGTTTTTCATTTTTCTTTCCCTACTTATTTTTTTGTAAATCCAGTTTCCTATACTGTGGTATGCACCGAAGGTCAAAAGGATGAACTTCAAAAGGGAATTCAACTCATGATTGCAGGTGAGAGTCAAAATTCTAGTATGTAATTTCCATACTGGCTTTATGATGGCTATACTGTATATATACATATATGAGGTTGCATATCCCGGCTAAAGGATTTTCTCGGAAAATCTTCAAATATGAGAATATATCAGAATAACGGGACAATCAATTTTCACCAATGCGAACTAATACAAAATGAATTATGGTAATAGCAATTAGCAAGGCACAATATACTGTATTAATTGTCCAGCAAGTCAATTATATGGCGAGTGCTTCTTGACGTAGACATTCCAAGAATTGCCACACATCTTGAAAATCAAATTAAAAAATAAAAGAAGCAAACCAACAAGATTTTCTGCATAGTGCTTATTTGAATACAACTACTACTTTAAAGTGTTTCTCTGGCCTCTAAATATTCACATTTAACCGACAATCCTAACACCAGACGGCCCTCAAATCTTTGCTTTTATGTTAGGCACTCAAGCCTACAGCTCTCTACTTGCAAAATACGCCTATGTCAATAAAACTCTTTTTTTAAAAAAAATTTCCTTTTATTCGTATTCACCAACAACTAAATCATTCCCACTAATGTCTTTCTTGTAAGAATGGAATATATGAAAGCATCAATCAATAGAATGAGGAAAATATATATCTAATGCCTGACCTATATTACTCCCGATCCCAAAATAACAATCATGTTTGTTTTGCTAAGATATATAGTACAATACGACAACACGGTGATCATTTTGGAGAAAGGAAGTATGAAAAACTGCATTCATAATAAAAGCCCAAACTCACCAGCAGAAGAATAAATAAATAAATCTGAATTCTGATATTGAAGTAATAAGCTATTTCTGTGTTTGAGTTGTAAGTATATGGTTGATTAACTGTACATGTATATACAAAATGCTTTTTTCCCTCTCTGATCACTTATTCATTGCCTTTTTTTTTTCACTGTTTATTCACCTCCCAGTCAATCATCTATTCTAAAAGGATACTACATCTGAAGATTCAATCTCTCTCCTTTTCTTGGAAAAATGAAGAGTATAACAAAAAGAAAAAAAAAGGTATTTGGGGGCTGAAAGGAATCTGTTATGTTTACTAACCGAACCACCTCTTTCCACTTTTGACTGACTTGAGCTTCATCACGAGATCCTCCCGCTCGGCTTCTACTTCTGCGTACTTGAGGCTCATCTGCAAATAGCGTTCTCGAAGGTCTCTTAGCTCGGTCTCTAGCGACGATTTTGTTCGCTCAAATCTTTCTCTTATCATTTTGTGCTCATCTACGAGTGATTTGTTTGAATCCATTGTACCACTGCTTTGCTCCTCAGATGAAAAACTACAGTATCAAGAAAGCTAGTTAGAGGATTTAATATAGAGGAAATTGTTGAAGTCGACATCCACTAAGGTTAACCAATGGAGGCTTGTTCTTTCAGAAATTGGGTACATAGCACACGTCTTCAGTTATTCAAGTATTCTAAAGGGTATCCGATTGCAATTTTCACATACCTTTGCAGCTGAATCTTGTGCATCTTTTCTGCCTCTGGAACCTCAGCAAGCTCATAAGTCATTTCAACCGGATGAGTATCTACTACCTCAGCAACATACTTATTACTGACCTGAATAAACAAAGAGACCCACAGGAAAAAGATATGTTAACTTTTAAGAGTGAAAAATTTGTAATGTATAATGCCGAAATGAACCCCAACAAGTATGACAAGAATGAAACTGTTGGTGCCATCTCAATCTTTACGAATTGCAGAAAGAAGAAGATAAAACTTACCTTTCTGCTGAGGTCATATTCCTTCTCTAATTTTGCTTCCAAGGCTCGAGCTTTCTGCAACCACTCTGACTTCTCCTCTTCAAGTTGATATATCTTTAACTGGTATTGCTTGTTCATCTCTTTCACTTCACTTAGTTCATTTTCCAGATAAGCCTTCTCCTCCACGCACAAGGTCTCTTTTGCAAATAAATCACCTTCCACCTGCAGTAGCTTTTCTTCCAAGGATATTGCCTTTTGTTTGTAGTTCTCATGCTCAATCATGGATTCCTCTAAGCTTGATAATCTTTTGGTACAAGAAAGTTTCTCAGCCTTCAGACTTTCATAATCTGCAGTTATTGTGTCCAGTGATGCTTCCAGCTTTTCCTTCTCAATTCTGTACTCTTCAACTTTGTTTTTCAGAACTATGACTTCATCCTGAATGTCACTTACATTTTGCAATTGAAATTTCTTACTGGCATTCTCTTCACGGAGTTGTTGATTTTCGTATTCTGTAACAGTAAGCTTCAATTCAAGGTTGTTCACAGCCGTCTTCAACTTTTCTTCTGTTGCCCTGTAAGTCGCCAGTTGTTTCATCATTTTTTCATTGTTAGCCATTACTGTCTCATGACTCTGTTTGGAAGCAGTGAGGTCACTTGTCATGCTTTGCACCTGCAATTCAGATTCAGCTCTTAATGTATTGATCTCATGTTCAGCTGTCTCCAATTTTGACTGAGCTTCTGTAACTGCAGATTCCAACTTTTCTTTATCCGCAAGCAGAATGGAAATTTCAGACTCTAGTCTTTCTTTTTCCGAATGCACTACAGTGATTTCCTTTGTCAGTCTGTCAACCTCCTCCTGAAGGTTTTCAACTTCAGTTAATGTCTCCAAATGCATCTGATTTGCAGTTACTTTGTGCTGCTGAAGAAGGTTTTCTAATTCAGATTTTAGACTTTTCTCTTTCAATGAAAAAGCTTCAAGAGTTGAATTAAGATTTTCTTCTAGAGCCTCAACTTTTTTTGAACTATCAAAGAAAGCAGTTTCTGTCCTTTCTAAACGAGCCTTCATCTTTTCACAATGTTCAAGAAGTTCCCACTCTTTTCTCAGCAATTCTTCATTCAACTTCTTGAGACTGTCGCGCTCTTCAGTAAGTCTGACAACAGATTCTTGCAAGTCCTGATTTTCTGCACTCAGACAGTCAGAGTATCTTTGAGCCTCCAATAGTTGAGCTTGCATAACTTGCATGTTTTCATTTAGGTTATCCATACCAGTTATGTTTCCTTGCAGCAGCAAATTTTCCTCTTCCAACTGTACTAATTTGCTCTCTAATTCCTGTTTTGCCACTTCTAGCCCAGCTGATTTTCTTTCAAGAAGTTCATTTGCAGATATTAGAATGCCATTCTGCTCATCCCTTACCCCCAGATCATGCAATAACTTTCCTGTTTCTGATTCCACTTGAGACAGTCTCTTCTGCAGATTTTGAAAATCAGCTTCAAGTTCAGCCTTGGAACTCTCAAGCTGTTGAACCTTCAGAACATGATCTTCCAGATTCGTTTGAGCTTCAGCAATGGTCTCATCTCTCTTCTGGATCTCAATTTCACTACAGCCAAATATCCGCTCAAACTCAGATATTCTATCGTCCAAGAGACTGTTTAGCTCAAAGAAGTACTTCGCTATTGATTCACCCAATACTTTTAAATTGGGTGAATCTTTCTTGTTTGCATTCACCAAGGTTTGAAGAAGAAGTTCACACTTATTACTAACATCAGAAGGGATAGACAATGGCTTTGTTAGGATATGGACAGCCATCTCAAGTTGGTTCAGTAACTCAGAGAACAGTTCAGGAGCTTCGAATGTAGCCCATTGCTCTGCCTCCTTCATCTTTGTCTTGAACTCTAGATCATACACCTGGGGTTCAGTGTCACTTACGTCAGATTGTGCACTGAAGGACTTAGTAGGCAGATCACTAGATGCTGAACTAAAAGATTCACATTTCTCGAGAGATTGATTCTTTGAGTCCTTAAGTTTCAATAAAAGCTCCAAATTTTCATCAGTAAGCTCATTGCAGTCCCTCTCTAGCTCCTGCACTTTCTCCTTTAAGATTTCAATTTCTTTGATCAAATCCAAATTTCTTCCATCAACCTGTGCTGAGTCCTCAGAGCATACTCCAACCATAGAACTTTGCCCCTTTGCTTGTAATTTGGCTATTTCTTCGTCTTTTACACACAACTGAAATTTATAGTCTCTCTCAATATCTAAAAGGGACTGGCTATTCAATTTCCGCTCTTTTTCCAGCTCATTCATTTTCTCATGCAATGCCTTTTCAAGATGCTGTACATTGGTCTTCAATGCCTTCTCTGAATCCTGAAGTTGTTGAAGCTGAATCAATACATCTTTATTCTCCATCAAAGTGTTTTCAGAAGAACTGTTGATTTCAGTATCCTTCAATTGTAGTGCAGAAAGATTTTCGATCTCAGCTTTCTGTTGCTCTATGGTCTGTTCCAGCTCCTGAAGAATTGAAACCAGCTCAATATTTGACTCTTGGCTTCTCTGAAGTTGCAGGGATAGGTTAGCATTAGCTTGTTGCTGATATTTTATCTCACTTTCTAATTCTTTCTGAATTGGTGTGAGTCCTTCAGTTTGAAAAGTTGAATCTTCCATACTTCTCTGTTTTTGAGTTGCATCCTCCAACATGAGTTTCAATTGTTCAACTTCTTTCTTCAGACCTCCTTGTTCTGTATATGCTGCAGAAAGTTCCATTACTAAGTCAGCTTGTTTTTTTGACTGGTCTAAGAATTCACTTCTCAATGAGTCCAAATCAACCATCAGCTTCCTGGCATTTCTTTCCCACATTTTGGCCTCCGCACGAAGTTCCTCGATAGTACTTCCAGCAGCTTCTAAGAGATGTTTAGACCCATGATTATTTGGAGATGCTACTCCAGACTCTTTTCCACTAATCCGTGAATCCAACATTGGATTTCTTGAACTTGACTTACGAGATGACTGGCTGGAAAAAGAAGAATCATCAAAGGGATAGTTATCTTGAGCTGAATCAATCTTTGAGCTAGCTCCAAAGTGTCTTTGAGGAGTGCTACTAAGATCCTTCTCTGTTTTCCTAGAGTCCCGGTCCAGGTCCGATATGGAATTTGAGTCACTACTTGAATAACTTAGTTCCTGCATTTAGGTGTTGGGGGCGGGGGGGAAGAAAAGAAGTCTTAGCCAAGGATAAACACAGAACTATTTGTCTGTCTGGAGCAAACTGCATTTATTATAAGATTGCAAACTAAGATATCTTGAATCGAGACAAACCATACTTACAAGTTACTACTGAAAGGTAGGTTCTGAAATTTAGTTATTTGAGCAACAAAAAATGGGTATTTGAACGGTTGAACCACTTAAGTGTCAAACATTTTCTATGGCATACTTCAGCAAGGCAAGAAATTTAAAAGAAATACTTAGCCATAAATCACAATTCCAATGAGAGTTTGGATCTAAATTGGCCAGAATTATGTATTTGAATATATATTTAGTAACTGATGCAAAAAAACGCATCTTACAAATTCAAGTTCAAACAGTGATATAAAAGAACTCAACTTCGGCATCAAAAAACTTAGAAGAGTGCCGTCAGCAATGTGAAAGTATTAGTGGAAGTCTTAAAAGTCGAGAAATCATCAAGCTCACCTTGTTCTTGTTGTCTTCTTGGTGAGATACTAAGCCTGGAGCTCTACTTGAAGATAATTTAGCACCATGAAGAAGAGAAGTATGAGCTGCGCCTGTTCTATTGGCATTGTAGCCATGATGATCTACATCCTCGCCTCTATCTTGCTCACTGGAATAGTTTGGACTGCCATCCGGTCAGTTCATCATAGTAATAACATCACTTCAAAGGTAAAATGGTGCACATGATAAGGCATTCTATTTCACCAGGACTACAAACCTGATATTGGCTCTAGGAGTTAAGCATTGGATTTTGACCTGCAAAATTCAGGGTTCAAAACGTTTTCAGTCCACATGCCAGGGCATATCACATTTACTGTTTAGAAACCTCGTGAGTTCCTCTATGAGAGATTCGATATCTACAGAGTGTTAAACCCTAAAATACACTTTACATAAATTCGAAGGACAAAAACAGCAGGCCTCCTGTCTAAAATTGTTCACAAAATTCTTAATTTCAAAATTAATCCATATCATAAAACTAGAACTTACTTTTACATGAGCGTGTAAGCAAAATATTATTAGCTAATTCAGTTTAACTGGAATGAAGATTCCAGAACATTAGCTAATTCAGTTTAACTGGACTAATGGAAAAGGTTGAAGATTCCAGAACATATCAACTTGTGCCAACCACCTAATTCGACAATAATTGCCTCTTTTTTTTTACCGGAGAGTCTGACCAATAATGGTACTCAGTTTCCCCATTTATGGCCTCTTTGTTTGACCACAAAGGTAAACACATGACCAATTTTTCGGTAGAATAGAGCTTCGTCCATATAATGAACCTAGCCACTTTTATTCATTTCTCTTGTTGTGAGAAAAGTAAGATGCTTCTCTGGCTCAAATTAGTTGATGAATGAATCCGAAAAATGAAATATCTCACTCATGTATAGGGCATTCTACTTATCAATCTGGAAATGCAGTAAGTTGTTACAGGCAAAGACACTGATAAGTAAGGGCATGTAGATCATACCTGCAATACAGTCCCATGGCTGCATTTTTTCAAGGGTAATAAAACAGGAGAAGAAGACATCTTCGAACTAGTATACGATGCCATATTGATTGTTGCTTCTCCTAAGATGCCAGCTCTGGATGAACCCTGGAGCGAAGGAGAAAAATGATCATTAAATCAGACTCTTACCATATCTTTAGAGTGAAAAATAAGAGTCCGAGACGACCATTTTGTAATCTTAATTTATTGCAAAAAAAAAGTTTCGGAAATCAAAGCATTTGCTCTTACCATGGAAACAACAAACTTGAAGATACATTCTTCAGACTCTTTTGATACCCACACAGATTCAGAAATAGTTTCTGTCCATTGACAATTTCCGCTACGCACCAATGCCTTGCCCAACTTTGCTACTGTCTTCCCAGATTCTGCAGATATCATGGATAAAAAAAGCCTGTCCCATCCCTTTGGCACCTGCAAAACATGTGCTCATCTCATAGATTAAAGCAAACATAAAGCAAAACATAGAACAGCAACAAAAGTGATTGCACAAATACAATTGAAAAATCCCTTAATAGTGTAGGATCTTTTCAGAAAAGCAGCGAGTGAAACATTAAAAAAGGGACCCCGAACTCTAAGAGGTTCCTCAATAAGGATCCATTGGCAGCCTCAACAACAATTAGAAAGATCATCTGACAGCTCCAATCTTTATTATCGTAAACAAAACACTGCTCCTCCTTAATGATCTCTAGTTATATTAATAAATCCTAGAAACATGGTCCATATTGAATCACTTTGAAATACCATTTGACCCGGATTAAGGTGCAGCCATCACCCCCCCAATGCCATTCAGAGTACAACATATGAATGGTTCAGAAATGAAACTAAAAACTCAGGAAAAACAAATCGAAGCTACCATGGGAACTTTGGCAGTAAGAAATAATGAGTGGGTAATCTTACCTGAAGAGCTTGGAAACTGGAGAACTTGAAATCAACCCTTTCTCCTGATTTAGTTGACTTGGAGTTTGGTCTCTGCAACTTGAACATCTTCCCCTTTCTCTTTCTCTAAATCCCCCCCAACCAGCCCTGTTCACCCTTTTCCTTCCTCAATACAATGCAGTTATCGTTGCAGTAAAAATGTGGTCTTTGAGACAAGAAACACCAAAGTTCACATTGTCCAGTTCAGACAGGAAAAATATCGAAGTGATAAAAACAAAGCCCAGATAAATACAAACAAGAACAAATAGAAAAACAAAAGGAAAAAAACAGGGATGATGGAGGGGTCCTTCTCCTACCCCTTTTGTTGCTTGTTGTTAGTTAGCTGGTAATTGTTCTCACTTTCCCACTTCCCAACTTCTAAATTCGGTGGCGCATAATTTTCTGATTAGAATAAGATTTTTGGTTCTTGGCGCTACATGTGAAAAGAAGCTAATAAGCTGCCTAGTTAGTCTACTTCCAGGAAAATGGAAGAGAGAGAGAGAGGGAGGGAGATAGCAAAAGGGATGATTGGCATGTGCACTGAATTCCAAGGTCCAAACTTGGACACAGCAAAACCAAGAGAAAATGAGATCTACGCCCACCAAACCAAACCCATCCCTTCTTCCAAACCAAGCATTTATTATTAGTTGGCGTGATTGCTGTTGCCTGGTTTCATCAAAGCAAGCCATTGGACTTTCCAACATTAAATAAATCAGAATGTGAAAGTGGAAGACTTAACATAGTAGTATGAAATTGCCGGGTCAATCTATTTTTTGGTAGAAAGTTACAAACCCAATTTTCCGCCGCAACCCGGTAGGCATAAACCCACAAGAACTTTCTTTTATCAAATGAAAATCAAGAAAAGTCTTAAAAGGAAGAACAGAAAGTCCAAAAGTCGTTTCTTTTTCATTTGTTTGGTTCTTTGTCATTTAGGAAAAGATGGGTATGTGGCGAACAGTATACAATGACACAGCAAGAGCCGATTTCTTGTAACTAAAACAAGAATGTTTTTTTGATTCGGGCAAACAGAAATTTTATTTTATGTTCTTTTTTTTTTTTTGTAGGATTGAATGCTTTTCTTTGTCGCATTTCCAAATTTCTCTTCTGAGCCAAGATGTTTTCAAGCTTTCGATTTTACAGCTCACCTACGATTAACTGCTATAATTAAAACTTAAGATATGTATCCAGTTACCAACTGGTGGGGATATTGACGTCGAAGATAATTTTTTTTTTTTTTTGGTATATTATGCATCTGATATCCGCAATTATTATTTCGATTAATCTGGATTCGAGCCGAGTAAGTACTCTCCCAACAAGTATTTTAATCCCACAAAAGGACAAGAAATGCTTTTTGGATCATGAGCTGACGCGAATTATTAGTAAGACCCTTTTTTTCTCAACGATGCTAACTAGGATCCTCAAAGTAATAAAAGAAATTCATCAGACTAACACGATCGAGGCATCCTGGCTGTCTAATTTCCCATTTTTTAGTATTTTTTCAAGAGAAAATAGAGAAATTTGAAGCATTTTTCATGCAACAGGAAAAGTTTTATGGATATTGCGGAAGAGAAGAACAGTATGAAAGTAATCAAGATAGTTGATGCACTCAAAACTCAAAAAGTCTTTCCTTGTTTAACACCCTAATAGAGCTATTATTAGAGTTTTGTAGTTTTACTAAACTTGCTTCACGCAGAGTTGGCGACCAAAAATGGCTTGATTTCCAGGATCCCTTTGTCCTGTTATTATGTCTTAACTCATAATTCAAGCCAAAAAGGACACCTCTCTTAAGAAAGTGAGTAAACCTCCATAACCTTATCTTCCTTTTTAAAAAAATCTTTTTTCTTTATTTATGCCATCCTTTGCTCACTAAATTGTTCATAATTTCAATGGTCTTTACTCTTTGGCATGAGTAACCGAAATTTCAACGGTGGTCCCTTAACTTTACAGCTTAATACCAGGAGCTCAATAATTTACTGACCTGCATATGCATTAATCATGAATCACGATGGAAGCTGACGGGCAACTATAAATCAATAAACGTTTTCTTAAGTATAGTAATCAGTATCCCCACACTTGAGGATTTTGCATAGGTAATGAATTCTCGGGCTTTGAAGTCTTAATCTAAAGGGGAAAATTGATTAAAACAGGCCAACGTATGGACTTCACTAAAGAGGTGGTCCTGCAGGGCAATGGATGAAATTGCTGATTGTTATTACTTCAGCATTATCTGATAATGGTGGAAGTAATAAGTGCATACAGCAAAGAGCACATGACTAATATTAAGTACACAATAAATCAGCCAGTTCAGATTCTGAGGGCGACAACATTAGAGATTAACTTCTCGCACCCAAATGACTACATTATCAATTACAAATTTCTGTGTCAGAAAGAATGTTCACGTAGTAATGCATATACAGAATTGGAGGGCTCGACTTTTTCCATGCAATTGATGGCTATAGGTTATATGCGACGCTACCTCTTATTGAACAACATTTGCAGCAATTGAAGGTGCTGTTTGCCTTTGCCTCACTTTCATGTACAAACCCTGCCAAAACAAAAGAGAACAGCATTCAGCACACCAAAGGAAAACATAAAGATGACTTCACATTAAGGAAACACAAAGATAACCTCATATTAAAGAGTATTACGTTTGTTGTGTGTATAGTGGCTCCTGTTGTCATGCTAATATTTTGGTCTGGGATCAACTCAAAGTCTAGGCGCTGCAGAATCACTGCAAGGGCAACAATTGCTTCCAGCAAAGCAAACTGATCCCCAACACATTTTCTAGGTCCTCCGCTGAATGGGATGAATCTGACAAACAATTTATTGAAAACTCACTCCAACTCAAGGAAGGAAAATATAACTGCTGAACCACCTCTGATGGCCAATCAAGATATAAAAATAATATTAAAACAAAACAGCCTCAAGGGTCTAAAAAAAACCTGAAGTCGGTATTCGATTCATTAGGAACTGGGCCTTCCAAATCAAATCTTTCCGGGACAAAATCTTCTGCGCTTTCCCATACCTTTCATGCCAAAGAAGAAAAGTGAATAGTCCGAAGTGTTTTCTTATCAGAATATGACGTACTTAAAGGTCTTTCATACTTTATATTGTTTCAACCAAGAATCTTGGAATCTGTTGTGCTCAAATAATAATCAAATGATAACGTAATGAAGTTAGGTTATCCACCCAAATCACTATTGCATGAAGCAAGTATATTCCAATTTTCTGCCACTAATCAAATTATTGAGCAAATGGTTACACAATGATGCCTATAGCTTGAATTTAAACAATCCATGATCCTGGATTGTCCTCTAGATTGCAGTAACTTGGTATTCACTGACAAATTCCTCTTTAGCTGAGGCACTCCCTTAAGAGGTGGTCAAGACAGACAAGTGAAAATGAAAACTCGTAACAAACACAGTGTATCAGAGCACCATACAAGCTGAGAAATCTATAGCCGTTACCTGTGGAGAATGATGGATATTATACACCGAAATCATTATATCTTGACCAGCATTAACCTTGTAATTTCCAGGAAGTACATCAGCAACTTGAGCTCTTCTTAGCAGGACCTGGTTGAATTGAACTATTAAGGATATCAAAAATAATAGAACAATAGTGTCTCTGTTCATTAAAGCTAAGAAAGCAGTAAACCTACGGGAGGATGTGGGTACAATCTCATTGACTCATTGATACAGCGCATCAAGAACTTGAGGTCTTTAACATCTTCGAATGTGGGAGCTCGACCTTCTAAAACTCTGTCTACTTCTTCTTGTGCTTTTATCAAACAGGATGGTGACTGTTAAAGAAAAAGGTAGACACATACGTACTTCACCTCATATATCCAGTAGAAATGAAAATAGCAAATACTGCTGCAGATACAGAAAAAAAATAAGAAGCTGCGTTCAAGAGAAAATTACCTTACTTAGCAAGTATACAGTCCAAGTCAACACAGAACCAGTAGTTTCATGACCAGCAACTAACATTGACAGAAGATCATCTCTCAGTTGAGTGCTTGAAACCTAAAACTCAGAAGAGTCAATACTCAAGCGACAGGTTCAAGTGGGAGATGACAAGATAAGAATTTCAAAGTGGTGAGCTATTTTATGTTCTTAAAGACAACTGTTGTAGAGAAAACTACATGGTGAGCGAGAAATTTAATAGTGAAAGACAAAAACTATAAGCAGGTCCAAGTCAACACGGAACCAGTACTTTCATAACCAACAACTAACATGGACAGAAGATCGGCTTGTAACCTAAATCTCAGAAGAGTCAGTACTCAAGCGACATGTTCAAGTTGGAGATGACAAGGGGAGAATTTCAAAGTGGTGAGCTATTTTATGTTCTTAAAGACAACTCTTGTAGAGAAAACTACATGGTGATCAAGAAATTTGAGAGTGAAAGACAAAAACAATAAGAAGGTTACACATAAATCTTCACTTTCAAAACAAAAGTTTGTACGAGGTAGGTTTTAATGCTTTTGCGAACCTCTTCTCTGCTGGCGAGCAAGAACCGCAGTATGCTTGGATCTGAATCGTTCACATATTCCTCCTCAGTTATCCTTTCACCCTCAGTTTCTACGATCTCCCTGCATTTGGCAATGAGTTGTTCAACAGTTTCCTGGATGAGTGTTACTGCCTTGGCAGCCTTTACTTGTCTCGGGACTATCTTACATAGAGCTTCAATCTGCAGAGCAAATTAAGGTGGTTAATTCCACAGCTGAAGATGAAGCCCATAAATGAAAAAATGTACTAGTAGCACACAGGCTTAACCTTCCAATATGGCAATATATCAGTAGAACGCAACTCTGCTTCTTTTAAAGCAGTATAAACTGCATCAATAACTGGACTATCAGTAGTCAGGGAATCAAAGTTATAGTTGAAGACAGCCATTCCAATAACATCAAGGGTAAGTTGCGAGAATTTTTCCTCCATGTTTACAGGAGACCCAGTAACCGCATCAGCCTGTAGCTTCTCTACCAATCGCTCTGCACATCTGCAAAAGACCCGATCAACTATTACTGACAAGTATCTCTTGTGGAGTGATGGAACCACAGCCCTGCGCCTTGCCTATACCAAATTACACAGATCTCAAAATAGCACCATTTGTCAAGGGGCAGCATGTAAGGCCATATTACGGATCCTACCCACAAAATGTGATAATGAAATGAAATGAAAAGTCGAAAAGCTCAAGTGTTCGATTTTGCCAGGAATCATAATGGAATAAATAATTCCTTGAACACTTCAAGTAAGCAAGTTGCATGGCGTTAGTGATCACTAGTCTTCCTGAAATCGTTTTTGTTTTACTCTTCCACCTTTTATTATATCCATATAGAAATGATAGGTGTAATTATTTTCTCCAACAGTAAAGTTAATCAGTCTCAAGCACTATAATCTCGAAAAGTATAATGCTTTTAAACAGACAGAAAACTACAGATTCTTTTACTAACTAAACAATGCCAGTTCAAAAACACAGAAACATAAGCCAGGCCACATCCCATTACTCTATCCACAAGGATTCAGAGATATAAAACACCCGTTAATCAGCAATTTAATATAAGGCTACAAGCAACTTAAATTCAACTGCCCACACAATAGCCCATCATTCCATAACAGCAGAAATTGAACTAATCATTAGAGAATTAACAAAAGGATAGAAAGGAATAGTTTGTTAGTACCGTCCAGAGAGGGCCTTCAGCAATGGCAAAGCCAGAACCAAACAAGAACTCAGAAACCTCAGCAACAAGACCCTTGGCATACTTGGTGCCATAATTCCTCAAAACGTGCTTCGCAATGGCAGGGTCACTGACCACAACAAAGTTTCTGGGCCCAGCAGCCAATCGATAAATGGGGCCATACTCATTCATCCATTTGTAGAGCGGAAGAAAAAGTGCACCGCCCAAAAGCTCAGACACATCCTCGAGCTTGGCACTTGCAATGGGGATGTTGGAATCATCATTTTGGCCAATGGTGAATGACCTCGTGAGACTGGTTAGCCAATCTGGGCTAACCCATGAGGTTGGTTTACTTGTATTATTATTAGTTGTCGAAGGTGTTGGTTTCTTCTCGATGGAAGATGTGATTATACAAGAGGAGTAGTAGGGATGTGAATGAGGTGATGAATTTCTGGGATAGTTTGCTATTGTAATTGGATTGAGAAGTGAATAGTGAGTTGAGCTTGAGATTAGGGAACAAGGAGAAGGAGTCATTGAAGTGGGCATGATGAAGATTATAGCACAAATTCAGGTATTTCCAGGCTCCACTAGTTTTTGCTGCTGGTGATTGGAGAATTTTCGATTCTTTCTTAAGGATTAGGCTCTTGCCCCAGGTGGAAGAGAGGGAAAGACGATCACAAATAAGTGAAAAGACAGTTGAATCCTTTATTGATCCTATTTTTCTTTTTTGAAAAAGCTTTATTGGTCCTATTAGTGGGGCCTCACCCATCAATAGTTAAAAACTGCAAAAATTCTAAAACATAGTATAGTTTCATACTTCTATTGATTAAGCGAAAGAGAAAAATTATACTCCTTCCGTCCTAAAATTATTGTCCAGTTTAGAATTTTACTTTTGAACTCCAGTTTGAATTTTCTTTTTAGTTCAAATTGTACTAAGAGTAAAATCTTAAACTGAACAATAATTTTGAGACAGAGTGAGTACTATATTTTTATTAGTGGCAGCAAAAGGTTACTAATTCTCTAACAAACAGACAAAATTTGGCATAAAACGTTAATGCTATGATAATGAAAATGAATTTTGAAATTATGGAGGGGGAAATGAATTTGAGAGTTGAGAATGAATTGTAAAATTGACATTCATGGGATTTTCTGTAACTCCTTCAAGGGAGAGAGATAAGGGGGAAAAAAAAGGGAGAGAGATCAGCAAACCTTTAGTAAGATTTCCTCCGAAGAAGTTGCTTTTGTGTTTGTTATGTGATGCTACAACTTTAATCCTTGGTTGTGATGGCTAAAGGTCTTCTGATGGTGCCCAATAGTACAAAATCTGAGCCCATCTGGTTTCATTTTTTAGTAGATCAAAATTGGTTGCTGATTGACGAATCTACAAGAAAAGAGCCCGTCTTCAATTTCTTAGTTAAGGAATTCGCAGGCCCATTACACCGGCCTTCTGTTTCTTGGAAAAGAAGAGGCGACTCTTTTTCATGCAAAAAAAAAAACACAAACTGTAGCTTTGTTTGTTTTATTTTCTTATGGTTTTTTAAAATTAATATATTAATAATTATCCCATCCCAACATACCTTTTTACATTTCCAATACACCTCAATACAAAAAACACCTAAACACACGTAAAAAAACGAAACAAACATGAATATTGACTTCTGTAGTTCGGTGTTTTTATTTAAGGAACGAGTTAATTCTCTTCGATTACACCTTCCAAAATGTTGACTTCTCTGTGTGGTTTTTTTTTTTAAAAAAAAGGATTAAATTTTTTTAGTATAATGAAGAAGGCCAAAATCTAAATTACTAAATTATTATAACAGAAAAAATTCACTGTCAACATCTCGTAAACGCACCGCAATTTCACAATCCTCTAGTAGTTATCTTCACAATCCTATTCCTGCATAAAAAATTTTGATGACTCGACTAAATTTAATCGAGTTAACCCCTTCAACATTCCAAACAATGCTACTATGAAAAATCTAAATAGATAAAGTGGAGATGAACCTTAAAGGCTACTTGGAACCATAGATCTCAATGCCGTTATTTCATCCATGGCATTGTCTTTATCATCTGGTCCACCGTTACTTCGCCACCTAGCTGACGGTTTCTCAGGAGAAGGACTCCGCCGTCGACTAACATTGTTTGCATGAATCGTTAAATCAACCCCAAGATCAAACTCATTTGACCTGTCTTGATCCCATAATGTATGAGTTGGACTATCCATGAATTACTTAAAAAGGACTGAATTTTCTCGTCATTGTCCAGAGCCATTGTTTTGATTGTTTTAAATTTGAGTAGATAAGTTTATTTTTTTGAAAAATAAAAATCTCACAACAAAGGTTTTAATTAATGACCGATACACATTCATGTAAGATTAAACCGACCTAACTATAAGAATTACTTATTCTCAATTTTTTAGAGTAATGATTAATACAAGAAAAAAAAATGACAAGGAAAAATTACAAGGAAATGATCTCACACATCTATTGTTAAAACTTTCCAAACAAGATTTATGTATTTAAGGTTAGGGCATAGTTAAGATCTTAACACATTATTCCTTATCATTTTTTTTTACACCTATCACTACTTATTTATTTATTTATAATTATCGTGAAAATTCTGCAGTGATAGAGATAGTGAAAACTCATAATGAAAACTAATAGTGATTGATATGTACAAATTAATTAAGGGCAAAACTCTAAATTTAATAAAGAAAAATATAAGTACTACGATAAAATACTATCAAAATAGAGGGCGAACTAAGTCACTGTATCTTTTCACTTTGTATTTGTCGGTGTGCGTATCATTTTCCATGAAAATTACTCGTCTGTGGATGACCTAGTTTTTACATACAAAGAAAATAAAAAAGCGTTTACTACGAACTTATGCGGATTGGTTGCGGAGTTGCACTAGTTTCCTACATGATTATAACATCATAGCCTGACTAGTTCTCCACAAGTCCAAAATATTGTAGCCCACAATAAAGATACAATTGACTCGATCGGGAGAGATACTTGAGGATGATGACAGTTTTTTGATACATTCCTAGCTAGGTTCTTCCTTTTTTCCAGCTTGAAGTTTTCTTATGGCCAGATCAACTTTGCATATATACGTTTTCCTTTACCTTTTCCGGATGATATCACACACGCCTCGATAACATTCACGAATCAAATGAAATTTCAAAGCAAAACCAGAAAAAAAAAAAAAAAGGAACAAAACAAAAACACAATATATATTTTCCCTTCCGACATAACTTTGTGAGGACCTCAAACTTGGGACTTGGGAGTTGACCACTTTAGACATAACAAAAAAAAGTAAACGCCAACTTGTGGGTTGACCACAAAATTCAGAGATTATAGTATATGGTAGCTCTAGACTAGTAGCTATAAATCCATTCAATTGAGTCTGCAAACTTCAGCATCCATCAGTTTCAGATTTTTATTTTAAAAATACATAATAATGAACAAAACAACAAATTGAAATAAGTCGTATCCACGCGGTCCCAAATCCATCGAACAATTTCTATAAGAAACAAAATAACAACTCTTCAATCCCAAAGTTTTCAAAAACGTAATTTAATTAGTCAAGGAGAAGCATTATGATAAAGAAATGAAACATGAAATTGTCAGTTGAGGAAATTCAAGGAAATTGACACTGATATCGATCAGCATGATTTACTCCGGAATGGAGTATATATTGATCGTTCGGACAACTCAAGAAGTTACACTTTTCACACGTGTTTTAGTGTTTTACCAATTAAAATGTTTTCATAATAAATCTGGTTTTGAAGAAAATTGTGCCCTATTTTAAATATATATTTCCATAACTCTCAGCCCTATATGATGAAGAAATTGAAGTCGTCAAAAAAATTATTTTTTTATTTACCTGTCGGTTTCAAATCAAAGTTACATTATTGAATAATGCAGCAATTAAGTAGTTAATTAGTTAAATTAGACCCTATATATTAATTGTGGATGCATGCACATGCACAAAGTTGAATTTTCAACTCCCATTTTTTTAAGAGGAACAAAATAAGATATTGAATGTCAACTCAACCACTGTATGAGAGGCTCGTCATAAATATAATGATAGAATGGAAAAAATATTTTTTTTTCCTGTTCAATCTCAATAATTATTAAACATTTATGACACAACAAATTTATCTTCCGAATTTGAAAGCACTATTTGATCCTGATCAATCAAAAAGTACTGATGGAAACATCAAATTAGCCCCTTTTTGGTTACGGTGACTTTCGACATTATTACGACGATTTGTAGAAACTGTATATATGTTAGGCTAAGAAGTTAGGACCTAAGTTCAGGACAGCAAATCCAAGTTTAGGACCTAAGTTTATTATACGTGGTATTTAGAAGTTAAGAGAAATTGTTCATCACGTACATTAGTGAGATATGTAGTGTTGGTCAATTGCGTTTCTCCTTGTCAAAAGTTTAACAGCAAAATCAACATTAACGATAGACTTGACTTCACTTTGTAATTAAGAGACCGGAAAGGTTGTTGACTAGTTTATTGGCCAGTTAATCTAAGGCATTATGGAGGCATGCTTAATACAAGCCAGACGCACAAAAAAATACTCCCTTCGTCTCATAATTATTGTCCAATTTGAGGTTTCATTTATAGATCAAATTGTACTAAAAATAAAAATCTCAAAATGAACAATAATTCTGAGATGGACGGAGTACTATTTTTAGTAATGAACGGATGATTAATTCATAAGAATCCGCCCTTGAAAGTATGAACAATTTTGATATGATGATTACTATTTACTGTACTTAGATTTCGTATTGGTGAAAAAATTACACGACCGGAATAATTAAACTAAAGCTAACTTTAAAGAACCGCGAAGTTCCATGCATTACTCTAATTTTTCACCCCACGTTTCTTTTAAAGTTTCCATAGCAATTTCAAGAAAAATTGCCATAGGATCCCGAATCCCAATCTGGAAAGTTCGATATGGTCTGTAATTATAATTAGAATAATGTTTGATCATACGCTGGAAAGTTGAAGTACATATAAACAAAAATCAACGAGCCTTCTGACTGACTGATTAAATATCGTTTAAAAAATTAGACCTACAAAATCCTACTAGGGCTCGACATATACTATAACTAGATTAATATGTGCCACAAAAATAAACAAGGTCAAAGCACGTCTTTCCTAATCGTCGGATTTTCAAGTCAGTTTCAGGGATTCCAGGAAACTCTTCTCCTTGTAATCAGTTGATTTCATGTAATCTACGAATGAAGCAAAACTGGTTTCCTTGTAATTCCTCGGATTTGTTTCGGTAATGAGCCGTTCGCAGGGCCGAACTACCGACGGGAACGGAAAACTGTGGAAAGATGCCACCGAGATTCGTGACTTTTCGGAGTTTGTAATAACTCTGTGTACTACGCTCTTGTATCTTCCATTGCTAAATATCTGAAAACAAAATAATACAAACAATGTCAACCGAAAAAATGAACTAAAAGTAAAAAAATCTAAATTGGATAATAATTTTAGGAAAGAGAGAATAATACCTCAAGTTGATCTCCAACATTGATTACGAAAGAACCCGGAATGGGTTCTACGGTGAACCATTTTCCTTGGTGTTTAATCTGAAGACCCGGAACCTCATCCTGTAGAAGAAGCGTGAGGACACCGAAATCGGAATGGGGTCGAAGCCCGATGGTCAAATCGGGTTCGGGGCAGGATGGATAGTAGTTGATTATCATTGACTGGCCTCCATTTTTAATTTCCTTTAAGGTTTCGTCATCTTGATCATCTGTTGTCATTCTGGCATTGGATAGTCCAAGGCTTTCCAGGACTGCATCCGCTATTGTGTGGAATAACATTTTGGTCTCTTTAGCGTAGGTAACCGCCAATTCCCTGTTTTTTTTTTATATAAAAAATAATCCCAAATAAATTAATTCAAAATTAAATAAATGTGAGGCTCCTGAACTACCTATGTAGTACTAGTTATTGTTTAAGGATTTTCACCCAATGAAATGAAAGTGGGTAGTAGTCAGGAGTTGGTAAATCGCAAGGGGTTTGAATTCATACAAATAGTGAGTTTCGTGTGTAATGTTGTTGTTGATGATGTTGATGAGTGGTGTATTGGGTTACAGCTATTTAATTGGCTAATGAATTGCTACCTGAAGTCTACGGGAGAAGAAGGCCAGTCGGAAATGACGTCCTCAAGAGGATGACACACAAACTTCAGGAAATCTCTCCAACAGAACACTCTGTCTCTTAGCTGATTGAAGCTGGTTCCGTATCGCACCGCCTTGCTCAAATCCGGTGACATGTACTTCTCCTTTTCTGACGTCGGCAGCGCGAAGAATCGCTTCGCCGCGTCCATCATGTTGCTTATTGCTTCCACCGGAACGCCGTGATTAACCACCTGCGGTATTAATATATATGCATGAGAAGATATTAGTTGCATTCATTGAAATTTAATTAGTACTACTCCTTCAATATATAATATGCATTCATTCATCTCTAACCTGGAAAAACCCGTAGTTTTCACAAGCGCTGGAGAGAGCTTTCAGGGCTTCAGCACGTCTAGGACCTTGTAATTCTGCAACATCAATGATTGGCAGGTGAAGATTACCATCACCTTTATGTGATGATGACTTCCCCTTTTTTAAGTTCATTTCGGGACGTTCAGAGACAGGAAAGACGTATTTCCGGGGAACATTTTTTATCCCGATTTCACTCAAATGTAACACGCCTTTCTGGTATTGGTTTTCCAGAGGATCCTGAATACAACCGTTTGCATTCAGGCTCCTAGGCGACGATGATAGTAACGCGGGAGACATTTTTCCTGAGTATGGTTTTTTACGCGTTTGGTTTCTGTGGGTTACAATTTGGTTTACATGCAAAGCTGGAAACGGGCAAAAAAAAAAATGTGTACTTAAGAGTAAACAAACCAACAGGAAAAAAAAAAAAAAAGGACAAGTTGAGGAATTCTATTTAATGGTTTGTTTCTCTAACGTAGTCTATGTTGTTTATGAAGATAATAACTTCTTGAGGTGAGGAAAAAGATGAAGAAACTGGATGGTATTTATAGGGGGCCATTAGCTGTCAAGGAGGCTTGCAACAGTGACCAGTTTGGGAAAAAAACCGCCTTTAGCAACTTAGAAAGTTTTGTGTAATGAATCCAACTGCTGGTTTGTCGAATAAAGAAACCGTTGACAATATACCTCTGCGAAGAAAATTAAAATACGTACTTGAAAAAACAAAAATACAAGGTAAGTAAAGACGGGGTCCCCCTTCCATTGGTATATTTCTCAAATTCAACTATTAATATCTTTATTGTCAACTCCCCCTAGGACCTACATTACTCTACTCCTCTCTTGTGTTGATTAATCCCCCCCTTCTCTATACTATATATTACATATATGGCTGACTTTTTTTGCTAATCTGATAATTTCTTTACCAGGATCTCTCTCCAAACTTTTTTTTGTCATCTCGAAAATGTATTATTAATATTTTCAACGTGATTACTTTGAGTGTAATATGCGTTAGATACTGCATAGTTCATTTGTAGTGTAACAAAACAAAATGGAATCATATTTTCCAATTCTTGCATGGATATGAGTTTTCTTGAACCATCGTTAAGATCAAGCAAAAACATTTACGTATAGTCATGCCGTTTCTCGGATTGACTAGTGCAAAAAGCTATTAATAATAATAAATGTGCATGTTTCCGTTTAAGATTTGGTCCAAGATTTTACACTTATCTTTTTTCTTCTCATTCCAGAACCAGGTTGATCGTGTGATTCTTTTCTAGATACCTATATATGAAAGTGTTCCGTTGAATTGTTTTCGTGTTTTCTCTTTCTAGATAGCTCAAGTACGTGTTATTTTGCTTCGTGTCCCATTCGATATTTGCCTGACGAATACGGCAACAGCAAATTAGAGAAAAGCCGGCACACGAAAATTTACCAAATTACACAAATTAATGTACACTTGGCTGTCCGGTTTGATTAACATTGAATCTTTGAATGGATTGAGCGGGTGTAGGTGTCCGAATTCTGTCCAAAGGTTCCATGGAATCACTCCATTTGTTGGTTGGGATATGGATAATGGGGTGAATAAATTGATACATTCAAGAATTAAGGGAGACAAAATTTTCAAAAAAAAAAAAGTCAAAAACGACATACAGTAACAGCTTAAAATAATCCTTTTTTTTTTGAAGCAAAAATGATCCTGAAAAAGGTTTACAAACTCTGAAAAGATTTGTTTGTTACATTTCGCTTCGCTTGATCGTTTGAATATTGGATTATTATTATATAGTTGGCTTATGACGATAAAGGAAACCGACCATCTATTTATATTTTAAAATTCCCACACAAAACAGAAGTCAGTTGCACATTACAACAAAAACACAGCGAACCAGAAGAGATAATGTTTGTTACTAGTGGACTTGCAAGTAGTGGTTAATTTGAGGTTGTCATATGAAAGTAGTAGTAGTTAATTTGAGGTAAATTATTGGAGTACTATTGTACGTTTCAGTTTTACCATTTGGTCAAAGAGTTTCAAATTTCCCCATAACCTTCGTGATACGTTGGCTACAGACGGCCAGTTATAGCCAACAATTGTTATTTTTATATAGGAGAATACGTAATTTAAAATGTACGTACACATATCACACATTCATATTAATCTATATTTAATATATTGTGACAAAAAAGTCGCTACCACACATAACATTTTGAGCAGATTTTCATGCACGAATACGTTTACATTTATTCACTGACAAGGTTGAGTACTTATGCATAAAAGAACTGCAAGTGCTAGCTATACATGATCAGCCGTTTAATTTTAATTATGAGCGAAACTATCAGTAGTACTATAGAGCTCTAATAATCAGCAAATGAAAGCATAGAAAGCAAGCTTTATGAAAGTATATACGATTGACAGACAAAAAGTGAGTTTTGTACGTCAACGTACTAATTAGTCAAGTTCTCTTGAATATGAACCTAAAAAACAAATCGTCAATAACTACTTGAGTTATGATTTAGTAGAAGAAACAAACTTGTATGATTTAGTCTAAATTTTTTTGACCAGTTATCTTGTTTAACTGAGCTATGAATAATTTAAAGAGGAGTTTAGTCACTATAGTCGACTAGTGATGAAATCGATGTTGTATGGCAAAAAAAAAAAAGGTTTTCAAAACGAATAATTGTTCTTTAACGAGTCACAGACCAGTTATCTTGTTTAACTGAGCTATGTGTAATTGAAAGAGGAGTTTAGTCACTATAGTCGACTAGTAATGAAATTGATATTGTATGGCCAAAAAAAAAAAAAAAGTTCAAAAGGAATAATTGTTCATTCACGAGACATGGACCTCCACATATTTGGCTTTTCGATTTTTCTTTTTTAAACAAACAATTATTCTCGACATGTGGTATCTTTGTACATACCAAAGAACAAATGAATAGTCAAAAACAATAACCTAAATTCTGCAGAAAGATTCATCCTCCATAACCCTCGAAAACACAGGAGTTGGAGTAGGCACGTCTGGTATCCATACGATACAGCTCATGTTCAGACTCCATTTCCATTAGATTATATATGCCGCTATTGCCAACCGTTACGTTTTGTAAGTCCTCAGTCTTTCATCCAAATTTACCACTCCTTGTGTTTTATTATGAATTCATTGTCCCATGTTGGAGTACAACAAAATAGAAATTCTGCTTATTTTAAGCGTCAAGACTAAGAAAACTATTTGAAATTTACATGTATTATGGTTGGAACTTGGAACTTGGAAGTTGAAGTCCTGTCATGTTCGTGGTTAGGCCATGGTTTCTCCAAATTATTGGGATCGAATTCCATCGGTATTAATAATTAATGCTGTCCCAACCAAGTTCCAGCTTATATATCACTTGCAATAAACAATATTCTGTACTTTTGATTCTTTGTTGTTTTCGCACTTTCTTTGTTACGGATGTACGTAAAAATTGTACTCAAATCACCTACCAAACACAACCGGATCCTTATCGACGGACCCTGAACCCAAAGCCCTAATGTGAAGTGCATATATCTAATCAATGTATACCGCGCCTGAAATTTGAATTTGTGTACTCATTTTTCTCAATAAATTTACTAACAATATTTAATGGTGAGTTTCATATTTTCCATACGTTTTTTGTATGGAAGCCTCCATAGTTAATTTGAGACACGATTTTTTTTTTTTCCGAATAAGAGACACGATTTTTTTTTTTTTCCGAATAAGAGACACGATTTTCAAGTGAGCTATGAAATGCTTTTTGTCTCGGGCTACCTATCAGCATCATTTTAAAATTTCATTGACATAAAAAAAACAACATAATCTTCCAACCAATCAGATTAAAAATCCAAAAGAGGTATACAACGTAATTACTACAATGTAATCGTTGTCAATAACTAATACTCCCTCCATCCCATAATTATTGTTTAGTTTGGATTTTCATTTCTAGTTCAAATTGTATTAAAAGTGAAATATCAAATTGGACAATAATTTTGGGACAGAGCGAATACTATACTCTAATGAGGTTGGTTGGCTCTACGTGAAATCCCTGAATAAAAAAAACAAAGTGACCTGCCTTAGATACCTCTTCGTTCTATGCATATTTAATTGGAAAGAGTATCTCAAAGTCTTCTCAAAAACCAGAACTAACAAATACTTTTTCCAAGTGGTTAACATAATCAGCAGATATATGACTAAAAGTATAAATCATGCACGGATATGCATTAGTAATCACAATATATACTACGGAATTTTTGTTTGCGATAAGATCTATACTTATCCAACTCGAATTTGGATCGTAGAAACTGGAGTGCCAGCCAAGTCAATCCAACCCATTTATCGTCATTTTTTGCTGCTAAGTACTAAAAGTAGTGATGATGTCTGTGTGTGGTTAGGGTTGTTGCCAAGCTGGGGTTAAGTGTCCTACGCTAGCTCTACTCAAGGGCTTTTTTTGGCTCCCGTGTCATTTGGTTTGTATTTTCTTCCGCATTCATTGCATGCTCCTTTAGCCATGTCAGCTTAACCAATATTTTATCTCCAGCCTATGTAATTCCCATTAAATTATAGTTTTTTTCAGTTCACATCTATTTCTCTCTATGGTTTGACCAAATATAAATCTTTCATTATTTTTACTTTAAAAAAAAAATTGGTACCCTTTTCTGTCATGACTCATAGTTTGTTTTAAGGCTTTGCTTCATTTTTTTGTTTTTTCAGGAAAAAAAAAAAGAAAAGAAAAGAAGAAGAAGATATTGTTTGTGCTTGGTCAATGACCTCCTTTCTATATGTCACAAATCCGTATATCAATTTATGTCCAGAAGATTATTGCTGATTCCTTCGCATTTGGAATATATGGGATTTATTATGCCACTCCTTTTCCTTTTACCTTTTTTTTTTTTTTTTTTCTTGGGGGTGGGTTGTCCTATGTAGTAAAGTATATTAGATTCATTGAATTAAGTATAATGATAAATGTTGGGAAATGATATCGAATTTCACTTGTCATTTAGAGGTACATTATATAGCTAGGAACATTATCTTATTCAAGTTTAAATTTGCATTACATTCATGGCCTAAGCAGAAAACAGGGTATTGGGGACTGCACTTTTTTGTCATCCATTTGATGTTATTATTACTCTATGAAGTTACATTTCCAATAATTGTGGAATAGTCGTCCATTTATTCCCTTCATTTCAAAATATAAATTACTTTATACTCTGCACATAAACTAAAGAAATAATCATTCAATAATTAATTTGGACGTTAAATATCTATCTTATCCACCATTAATTATTTTAGAACTAGAACCAAGACTAAATAAAAAGTGGTTAACGTCATTTATTGAGGACAAAGTTAGAAAGTTAATCTTTAATTTGATTTGAAATCCTAAAACGACATTCATTTTGAAATATTTATTCAAACCTAAAAAGACCTATATTTTGAGATGGAGGGAAGATTATTTTAAAATAAAGAAAATAAAAATTCAGATAAATGTGTTATTCATCGTAAAATTTAATTACTCACATGCCTATTTGAGATTGTCCCTTTTAGTTGTGAGTTTGGACATATACCGATATCAATGTCGAAAACCGATAAGAACAAATTAGTTGTGAGTTTGGACAAAATATTTAATCGAAAATGATTCATCCTTACTTAGTATTGTCAAATGTTGTAATCAATTATAAAGTCAGTAATAATGTAAACGTGTGAAATATTAATGTAGCGTAATTCTAGTTGTCATACATAGATACGAATGCCGATAAATTGTGAAAGGTAGTACTCTTTATTATTTGTCTTTTTGCCGGGTAGCTAAAGCTAATTGTCTTGATTCTACTGACTTATTGCATGCAGATTATTTTAATTTATTATAAGTTTCACGTAATATGTATTTTTAATTAATAAAAAAATCTTAAAAATATTTCTTAACAATAAAAAAATACGATAAATGTAAAAATATATTTTTAAAATTTTTTCTCCAACAAAAAATACATATTAAGTGAAATTTAATTAGAACAAATCAAAATGTCTTATATTAAGTACTGGAATGAGTAATTTTTTTTTTTGGTTCCCCCTTGTGGAATTCACTCGTATACTATATTGTTCAAGTGATATCCACATTGCACGTAAATTTGTTGGGTTTTTGTTGGTCTTTAATTAGTTACTTTGACAGAACTTTTTTTTTATTAAAAAAAAGGAGGCAAATGCTTAGATAATCAAATTCTTAGGATATGATATCCTATTACATTATGTTCTAACCATAGTATTTTGATATAACCTTTATTGGAAATATGTCCAAGACTGTTGCATTGTACTGGTAATTAGAAAGAACCAACTGTTCATAAATTAAGCTTATTAAATATGTAAATATATTCCAAAGCCTCCAATGAATTGTGATTTGTTTAAATTTTTTTTTTTTTTTATAAGAATGAGGAATCTGAGTCACGTAATAACCAAAGCCATAGTTCCAAAACTCCGACAAGGTTTTTTCTTCTTTTTTTCCCTTTCGCAAACAAACATTAAGTTTATATAAATCAGCCCAAGTTGAAGTTATACATCTCTAACTTGTAAGGAATCCTTTATTAATCTACACATATTTTCAACTAAAACTCGATCAACTTTCACCAATCTACAGCTTCCTATTTCTGGAGCTAATTCCTTACACTCCGAGAGGAGATCGTGTGGGTGGACAGGAACATCAATCTTTCGATAAAAATACTTGACAGATGTATACAGTCCGTCTAGATTAAACTCCATTACGTGTGTTTGCATTAACTGCTAACATTCACTCAAACTCTAAACGGATTTTAGTTTTTGATTTATTTCTGAGCTATCTCGCATTACATTGTTGGAACTTCCTCACACTTTCAAGCAAAACATTGAATTCCATTGGACAATAAATACCGAACAAGAACCCTATTGAAATACTACTGTTATAAGGTTCGTTGCTTGTCTTATGGGTCTAGCAGGCCCATATCCATACTTCACATTCAATTATTCCTCAATCTCTCATTACAATTTGCGAATTTCGAATCAACTATGCCAAATAAGTTTCATGAAACCCGTTAACAGAGATTTAACGAAATCCGTACCATCGATTTAACCAAATAGTTTTAATTACTGTTTCACAAACACCTAAAAAGTCGATTATGATGACTCCTAAATGTCTCATGCTCAATCATGTAATGTTTGAAATGGTTCTTCACGGCAACTTCCAGTTATAGGTAAAGTTTTGTTCTAAGAACTCATTGTTTAAAAGCAGAAGTTATGTTGTTGGTTATTGCATACTTGTATGAGAAAATAAAAAAATAAATTAAAAAAAAAAAAAAGAAAACACAAAAAACTTTCCTCTCCCAAGATAAATTGGTGAGACAAATTTACATGTATTCCCAGTTTCCAATTCTATACAAAATGTACCAACAATCGTAATACTAAGATGATGTAGGTGTAATAAGAGGGTCCAGAGACAGATCATTGTTCTGTTTTCCCTTCAAGAATGAAAATGTACAATACAGAATTCCAGCAAAGAAGAAACTGAAAAACCAAGCATTATTGTAGACCATAACCAATGACTCCGGGACTGAATTTAACACACCAACCTTCTGCAAGAAACCCGGAATCACTGGCAATATCCCAAGAAGCAGGGCTGCCATTGCGGCCAAATTGTATCCTCCCGAGTAATAATACCGCCCTCGAGGATTCAATGTGTATAGCTGCTTCATACTGAGGTTTGTTTTCTGAATCAAATAGTAATCAGCCAGCAATATGGCACCAATTGGACCTAACAACGCAGAGTAGCCAACTAACCAAGTGTAAACAAAGCTTTCACTCGATTTGAGCAGTCTCCATGGCTGGAATACGATTCCAAGCAACGCAGTGAGCAAAGCACCCTTCCTGAATGTGAACTTTGAAGGGCTTAGATTGACTAATGCATTTGCAGGTGCCACAACATTAGCAGCAATGTTGGTAGTGATTGTGGCTAGGCTAATGCCCAAAATGGCTAGGATCATCGTCCACCACCCGCCGATTTCGCCGAGTAATTGAATTGGATTGGAGATCACACTCCCAAAAATCACTTTAGTTGACGAAGTTACTGCCAACCCAACAAATGTAAACGCGCCCATGAAAATGGGTAGCCCTGATTGACCTATGATCTGATCAGTTTGAGACTTAGCATACCTAGTGAAATCAGGAATGTTCAAAGCAAGAGTAGCCCAGAAGCTAATATTGGCTGTGAGTGAAGGGAAAAAAAGTGTCCAAAATTCTGAAGATGAAAGCCTTGAAGATAGTGAAAGCATGTGAGCAAACCCACCGGCTTTGATATAAGACCAAGCAAGAAGGCAAGAGGTCAATGCTATTAGAATCGGAGCAGAGTACTTCTCTAATTCCCTAATCCCATCAATTCCTTTCCAAACAATGCCCAATTGGGCAATCCAAAACACAATAAAACAACAGAATTCTAAAGGGGAAGTTCCTAGCCAGGGCAAAGATTGAGACAACGAAGATTGCTTAATAGAATGCGGTAAAAGTAGAAAAATGGCCTCACCTCCGATCCATGTTTCAATTCCATACCAACCACAACCAACCAATGCTCGAAGCAGAGTCGGAATATGGGCACCACGAATTCCAAAAGAAGATCTAGCCAATACCGGAAATGAGATGCCGTATCGGGTGCCCGGATGACCTGTAAGGATCAATGGAACAAGCAGGATTATATTGGCAGCAACAACGGTGGCAATACCCTGCCACCAGGCCATTCCAAGATCAACTAGACTTCCGGCGAGATAATAAGATGGTACTCCGACCACTAGTCCAATCCACAAACTTGCCATTTCCAAGCCAGAAAAAGTCCGCTGGACAGATGTCGTTGGCTTGAGATCATCGTTGATAAGAGTAGGATCTGGGTCAATATCTTCAAACTGAGAATCCATTTCGGTTCCACCAGTAGCCATTGTTGAGATTTTGGGGAATCTCTTCTTTCCAGTAATGATGACATGATGAGATTCAGTTCTCCTGTTGGTAAAAGATAGTGGGTTAAATTTGTGTGGTTCATAGGAATTGTTATAAAGGGACTTGGTAATTTTGGGATTTGGGAGGATTGCTGGGAACGGGCGAGGTTGACGGTGGCAGAGGTGGAAGCGGTGGTGGGGATTGGGATGTAGACGGAGGAGGTCGAAACATTTGGATTCCATGATTTGGTGAAAGAGTTTGGACAAGTGGAAAGATTCTTTACAACAATCTTTACAACGTTTTCAAGATTCACCGCCGTCGGGTTTGGGATAGCTGATGTGTGGTCGTTGACAATTCCATTAATCTCTACAGTTAGAGAAACAATATAAAGTAAACAAATTGACAAACAAACAACTAGGGACGTGTAATGGAAAAAAAAAAAAAAAATTTAAGGTCTTACAATCGACTTGCATTATTGGCCAACTACGTATGACCATTTTAGTATTGTGTAGGCACATGGACATGAACATGTGGGCAAATAAACTGTATGTTTTCAATGTACGTAGTATGAATAATAATGCTCCATATCATAACATTTTGGGAGGACGTGGTGATAAACTCATAATTCATTAATCTTTACATGCAACGAAGTTGAGTAGTTATTTAATCTACTACTATTTAACACACTTTTCTTAGTTTCTCCATTTTATTCCAAATAATCTTCGGCCAACTTCACAGATCAAACTAAAGATTTATCACATATCAAAAACTCAAGCAAAATCCCTGCTTAACGACTTTTTACCAATCTAGCAATGCATTTTCCTCAAATGTTCTCATATACTAAATACGCTCTCATGTCCTTGATATAATGTATTTTGATTTATCTTAAATGTCACATAGTATGCATTTTCAATTGACAAAAAAATCTTAAAAATATTTTCACATTTGTTGTGTTCTTTTAATTGTTAAGAAATATTTTTAAAATTTTATTGTCAATTAAAAATGCGTCCGAAGTAAAACCTAAAACAAATCAAAATGTTTTATATTAAAAACCGGAGGGAGTATTATTCTAAACAAGAAGAAGAGGGTATTTTCTGCTTTAATCTTACCTATTTGTCTTCTCTTTCGGCTTCCTCCCCTTTCTCTAACTCCTCTGCTTCCTCTTCCTATCTTCCCAATTCCTCTTATTTGCTAGTTTCAAATTGGTGCAAGGAGCACGAATATGATGGCGACTCAAAGCTATAACTTTCTGGTAGAGAAGGATATGAAGTAAAGGGAAATGGCAATGAAGGCTAGTGATGGTGATGGCTGGAATTGGATTGATTTTTTGAGTCCGTATCCAGTGTACCCGGGTATACCGTATATCTCTACCAAATACACGCACTACACTCACTTAACATTTTTCACCTTTACATTAAATGCACAAATAAAATTGTTTTCATCCATTTTACTGTTTTCATCCTCACGCACAAACACACACGATTGCTGGTTATCCATAATTTATCCAAAAGGGGTAAACTGGTTATCCAGAAGGTGTAAACTGGTTATTCACAAGTTGTAAACTGGTTATCCAGAAGGTGTAAACTGGTTATCCAGATGGTGTAAACTGGTTATCCACAAGTTGTAAACTGGTTATCCAGAGGTAAAGAAGCAAACGACATGTTAATTGGGGGGCTTCGCCCCTCGTGATAAACTAAACGACTCTTGCGGCTACCGGAATCGCAGGTCACCAACCTGCCCCGGCTGCGGCGTCCCGCCGAACACGCCAATTTAGCTAAGGTAATCCTTTTTTCGTGTGTGTGTAAGGAGAGTGTGTTATTGCGTTAAGAGGGGACACAAATTACTTGTATAAATCCCCCCTCCCCCCGTGATAAACTAAACAACCCGGCTGCGCCGCCCTCCCTGCCGAACATGGTAAATTTCATAAATAGTATTTAATTGAATGAGAGGCATTTTGTCAAATGATGGAGAACAAAAAATGAATGAGGGGCAGTTTGCCAAATGATGGAAATAAGGTACGTTCAATTGTGTATAACTAATTATCCATATTGTCAATACTGATTATCCAACTGTGTATAACTAATTATCCATATTGCCAACACTGGTTGTACACATTGTGAACACTGGTTGTCCATAGTGTGTAGCTGGTTATCCATAGTGTGCACACTGGTTATCCAGCTATGTTTAACTAGTTATCCATAGTATGCACACTGGTTATCCACATTTTCAATACTGGTTATCCACAAAGTTTTCAAAATCTGAATGAATTCGGTAATTTATATATGTCACGTTTAAAAAAAATAAAAAATGAAAGCTGAATTATCTAGCGAGCTCACGCTATTTTAATAGAGTAAAGTACACGCACAGTGAAGTACACGGTGTCCCCGGATGTACCAGATAATTTGCCGATTTTTTGGTGGAGGAAGTTTTGTGTTGGTAAAGAGAAAATGAGGAACCATTATTGTAGTCTCATAGTTTTTTTTTTTTTTTTTTAATTTAGTTTCAATCTCAAGATTATAAAATTTTTATCAGCTTATAGTAACATTTTATACTAAATTTTATAAACCAAACTCTCTCTTTATTACTCCCGCCGGTCCTTAATATAAATTATTTTAATTTGTCATATATTTCACCTAATATGTATTTTTTTAATCGAGAAAAAATCATAAAAATATATTTTTATATTCATTATGTTCTTGATTGTTAGGAAATATTTTAAATGTTTTTTTTTATCAATTACAAACATTTACTAAGTGAAACTTAGAACAAATCAAAATGTCTTATATTAAGGATCAGAGGCAATATTTAAATAAAAATTACGTTGTTACTATATATTAATGAATAAAAATAAACTATTAGTTTCACTATGTATGCTTAAGTAGAGACGTTGCAAAACTAGGGAGACACGATTCACAGAAGTAGAACAAAAGATCAACACTTTGTATATGTAACGGATTATACTTTTGAATACAGTGAAGCCAAACTCTCCGTTTTGGAACATAGAAATAATCCAAATAAACTGTTCATCCAAATTGATTAATGACATTTTTTTTTTGTACCTTTGGTGTTTGAAATCACAGTTTTAATTATCTGATTTGAGTCAAATAAACTTTCGAGAGACATATCTCTGAAATTTATGTCATTTTCATATGATCCATGATTCAATTTTTTTTTCCCCATCAATTGCGCATAACATAATATTACACAAGAGGTATAGAACAATCCTACACCTAACTTACTAGATTTGGTAAACCTCGAGAGCTTGAAAAGTTCATAAACACAACCCAATTTAATGAACCTATCTCGGTTCCCTGTTTAAGTCTATAAGACGTTGTACGATGACCTGCATGCATAGGAATGAACCGTAGACAACATAATTTAATTTAACTGTAATTGCAGGGGCTTTTCTATGTATGTATTTTATAATTTTTAAGAAATAAGTTACTGCCGTCACTACGAATTATGTGAAAATTATACTCCTTTTTAAATATTTCCACTAGCCTTTAGACAAATTTTACCCACCACCTACAGATTCAAATTATTGAAAATTACACGTGTCATTTTCTCATTCGTAGAAAATTTTATATAGTCCACATGTCATCTTATAATTTGTGAATTTTTTTACTACACTTTATATGTGTATTTTATAAAAGTAAAATAGTAATATTTTTTATAAATTAACTTTCACTTATTATCGGTTAAAACCTTCGACCGATTGTAAAACCAACTTTAATCTCCAAAATGACAGGACAATTTTTCATACTGGTTTCATCAGATTGCTACTCGCCGGTGACCATCACTGAAACGTTCTCATCATTGTCATCGCCGCTGACTCACCGTCCAGATTGGCCTCCAAAGAAAGAACAGTCGCAACATCCAATCGCAAATAAAGGCGAGCATGAAACTCTTCAATCAAATTCCAGATCTGTTGACTAAATTGGACAGATTGGAAAAAAAAAGAAAAAGCAAAAAGAAAATCAAAGAAGAGCGGGGAAGAGCAGGCGATGAAGCCGGATTTTTTTTTTTTTTCTCTGCTAGCCACTTTCCGTTATGAAGTCGTGCTCCCTCACCAAAATAATTTTTGATCTTTCTTCGTTTTCTGTTGTTACTTCTGCTACCAAAAGAAATTTCAAAATTGAATAACCAGACTATTACGCCGGCGGGGACTTCATGGATAACATTGATTTGATTTTCCCTTCTTTTACGTTTGTAATTAGAGATATACCATTCATGATGGGGGCGTAATTGGTGGAGCATGTTCAGTGGATCGGATTAGGTGTTAATTCAAAATATATCAAATTAAAATTGGTTTGTATCTCATCGTATCTCTCTCATTGAAGGATCTGATAAGGTTCATTTAAACTGACGGTTTAATTAGGAATAATTTCCTTAACTCATAGCTGAAATTTGAATGTGTTGCATATCTTTTGTACATGTTTTCTTAAAACTTCTTATTTTATTTTATTTTTCATTATGTTTAGCGCATATATGCGATTGCTCCAATTGAGATTTGCGGATACAGTGTGTTTGCCTCTATCACTTTTGTGTAAGATATGGTTGTAAGTGTTCCCATGATTGTTTGCCGCTGCCTTATACAAATTCTATGTCATCATTTTTAATCCACGTTTTTTTTTTTGAATGGAAAATTGAGATAGCAAGGTAATTTGCAATCAAAGAGAGCAAGGTCAATTTGTTACATTATAAAATTTAAAATTTCGAGTTCTTTTTATTAATATTGCATTAATTATTTGATTATAAACAGAGGAATACAAAAAAAAAATAAAAAAAATTATTGTACCGTCGATTAATTCATGGAAGTTATCGACTTTGTCGTATGTAATGATTATTTAAACATGTGATTTACGATTGTCGATGCACCAGTTTTGGTGCTTAGTAAGGTAACTCATTAATTGATTGATAAGATATTAATTCAAACAATGAATTTCAAAGAGAAATTATCTGCAACTCTCTCTAATCTCTATCCTTTTAAGGATTTCATACATTAAGCAGTTACCTTACCGACACGATAATTTCCGATGATCAAATTTCAATCTTTTAAATTATTAATTGGGTTTGATTAATAATTTTTTGAACTTTTATTTTATTTAAATCGAATAATAGTTTCAATTAATGCATAATTATATATTATTTATATGGTTAGTTATAATATATGTGTTTGAAAACTGAAAATTAGTCTGGCTGTGGTTTGACCTTAATTTATATTTTTGCTATTTATCTTTTATTAACTATTTACAATTTCCTCAATTTAATACTAAAAACAATATAAACGATGACCATGACTTCTGATCTTCCAACCGAACTCTATCGACGAAGCTGGCCATTATTAGATAAAACCGCCGATCATTTCTTATTGGCAACATGTCCATCAACAAAAATCATTGCAGGTCTTTTTCTTCTTTTTCTTTTTTCAATAATTATTTTTCAAATTTGTTCTTATTTTTTATTGTGTATTTTTATGTCTTATGAATTAAATTGGATTGAGTAATTTTTTAATGCATTTTTTTCCATGTGTTGTTATTAGCAACATATCCATCAACGAAAACCACTGCATAGGTATTACTTTATTAGTAAATAAATCGTACATTTACTGAATCATCATTTATACATATATCTAAATCTTTTCGATAAATATTAAGTTCGATTTCTCACCATACACTGTACGGGTATAACACTAGTAGTCATGATGTAGATTATGGACAGATGACTGGATAATATACCAATTACCAAACGCACTTTGTCAAAATCTCTTGTTTGTCATCAAGTAATGTCAATCAAAACCCATCATAATATCGCAACTAAAAGCAACGATCTCACTCCTATAATATGATTTTTCTTTCTCTATATTAGTGTTTTCTGGATTTTGTTGATAATAATAACTGATTTGATTTATCTATAGATGTAAGAATCTCTATATTACTTTTCTGTCCAATATAGGACGGATAGAAAAGAACCAATTGATTAACTGAGCAAAGCTATGGGAAGCCTTCCAAAAACCTGGTAGCGCTTGGAGATTTTAGAAAGATGATCTTCAGCGACGATCAGGTACCAAGGTCTCCTGATAACCGCTTTTTCTTGTTCCAGATTCAGTTAGTCCCGCCTAATCTTTCACCTCCTTTACAACATCACCATCTTTGGTGCAGGTAGGAAAATGACCATGTCGCTTCTTGTGGTAATCAAGGACATCTGGGTGCATGTACCTACAGTCAATCACAATCATCACATCAAACAAGTCTTCTACGGCCATTCAAAATTAAATAGACCAATCAAAACTAATTGACTGAGGAACTGCCCACTTAAGACTTAATTAAGATTTGATAAGATATATAAGGCCATGTCTACATAAATTAAGTTTTATATGGCATGCCAGTAATTGTCATGAACAAAAAATTGAAAACAAAGGCAAACATTATTCAATGATCGTCAGGCTTAGAAACATACCCAGGCAACCTTCCTTTCCGAGATTCAATAGGAACCGTGTCATCTTTCACCACCTCTACAACAATATAGTGAAAGCCCTAAAAAGAGCTAACTGATTTCTAGATACGGCATTTGTTGTTTGTCAATAACCAGAAAGCCTCTTACGTTTGTTGGCAATTGAGTCCGCTCTTGAAATCGAAAGTTTGTTGTGCTGAAGTCAATTTAGCCAATAAATCTGCAAACATAATTAACTCGCTATACACATGCATAATTTTTGAACATTTGTGATGTTTTAGAATAGCATTGTTCTTTGTTGGAAACAAAGATAGTACAAAGTGTCCTACCTTTAGGTGTATAGATTTTGATTAGGTTAGGAGGCACATTGGGTAGTATCAGTTAGAAGATATCTTCCCAAAATAAGACCAACGTGGTCAAAATGCAAAATGCAAATGCACACATATAATATACTAATTACTCCTTTCATTTCAAAATGTAATTCTTTTTAGACTCTACACGTAAATTAAGGAGACAATCATTTAATGATTAATTTATGTGTTAAATGTTTATTTTGCCCTTCATTAACTGTTTTGAAACTAAAATCAAAACTAGATGAAAAGTGGTTAACATCATTTATTGCGGGCAAAGTTGGGAATTTAATTTTTAATTTGATTTGATCTTAAAACGACTTATATTTTGAAATATTTTTCCAAACCTAAAACGACCTACATTTTAAAATCCCTCGTTTTCCACCATCAAATAATGTCAATGAAGACCCATATAATGAGTCCGTATCCAGTGCACCCGGGTGTACCGTATACCCCCCACCAAACACATGCGCTCAACTGTTTTTACCTTTACATTAAATGCACAAACAAAATTGTTTGTGCATTTAAAGAAGCAAATGACATGTTAATTAAAGAAGCAAACGGCATGTTAATTGGGGGGCTTCGCCCCCCATGATAAACTAAACGACTCCTGCGGCTACCGGAATCGCAGGTCACCAACCTGACCTGGCTGCGCCGCCCCGCCAAACACGCCAATGTAGCTAAGGTAATCTTTTTTTCGTGTGTGTATAAGGAGAGTGTGTTATTGCGTTAAGAGGAGACACAAATTACTTGTATAAATCCCCCGTGATAAACTAAACGACCCGGCTGCGCCAATGCCCGCGGCTGCGTTGCCCCCCCTGCCGAACATGGTAAATTTCATAAATAGTATTTAATTGAATGAGGGGCATTTTGCCAAATGATGGAGAGCAAAAAATGAATGAGGGGCAGTTTGCCAAATGATGGAAATAAGGTATGTTCAATTGTGTATAATTAATTATCCATATTGTCAATACTGGTTATCCAACTGTGTATAAGTAATTATCCATAGTGCCAACACTAGTTATCCATATTGTGAATACTGGTTCTCCATAGCGTGTAGCTGGTTAGTGTGTATCACTGAAAAGCCACACGTTTTGTAATTAAATAGAATTTAAATACTTGTATAAATCCCCCGTGATAAACTAAACGATCCGACTGTGCTGGTGCTCGCGGCTGAGCTGACTCCCACGGTTGTGCCGCCCCCATGCCGAACATGGCGAATTTCATAATTAGTATTTAATTGAATGAGGGACAGTTTGCCAAATGATGGAGAACCAAAAATGAATGAGGGGCAGCTAGATAACCAGTGTAAAAAATACGGACAAGGATATCCAAGAAAAATATAAAAGGAAAAAAATGATAGTCCGCGTTGTCAACATTAATTATCCAACAAGTTAATAATGGTTATCCAGTAATTTTCTAATGACTTTCAAACTGGTTTGCGCTAGTTATCCAAAATGGTCTCAACTGCTTATCCTAATATTTGATAGTACTTGTGATATTTTAATATAATTTGCTTGCCCAATGTGTTTGTACTGATCATCCAAACGGTTTGTAATGCTTATTGAATTTTTACTTTGTTTTTATTCTTTATGAAAAATACTTGTCCATTGTGTCAACACTGGTTATCCAGGTGTGTTTAACTGGTTATCCATAGTGTGCACACTGGTTATCCACAGTGTCAATATCGGTTATCCATAGTGTGGAGTATATTACTGTGTATAACTGAAAAGCCACACGTTTTGTAATTAAATAGAATTTAAAAGATTGAGGGAGTAAAAATAAAAAAAGAAAACTGAAAAGGCTGATGTTTGTGCAGAGTACATCATGATCTAATGGGTAGTTACAGAGTCACACGTTTTTACATGGGATGGATTGAATAAGGATCAGTTACATAACTGTCATTAAATAAGTTTCTTGATTATCACAATGACAGTTAATGAATAGAGAGTAAGAAGACACTGATTTGTGCAAAAAGATAAGACTGCATGGGTAGTTAATCCGTCAAACTACCTCTGTCAATATCAGGAAAAAAAAAATGAGTTGGATATTCATACATAACAAACGATATCCAACACAGCAACTGCTTATCCACTTCATACAACATTAACAAAAACTATCAAAAGAAAAATCAGGAAAAATAAAATGAAACAACTAGATTGATTCTTCTCTCACAAACAGTACACTCCGAAACCTACACAAACCTGATTGCAGCGGATCAACAACAAAACTGTGACCTTGCGTTGATTTGCTGGCACAGTAAGACTGTTCGATAGATTTGCTACCACTACATTCCACATTTATCAAGCTAGAATCCTCAACGAGATAACTCATCACTCGATCTGAACTCAGCATATCGTCGATCCAATCATCGTTTCGCCACTCTGGTGGAATCAGAGCCTTTCCTCGATCACTGAACGCCGTTGCCGTTTCAACGACTCGATCGCCGCTGGCCATGTCCACCTCAACGCCTCGATCGCCGACTCTCATTGCCGCCTCAACGCCTCGATCATCGCCGGCCGTCGCCCAACAATAATACTCCATCACAAAGTTTTCAAAATTTGAATGAATTCGGTAATTTATATATGTTGTGTTTAAAAAAAAAGAAAAAGAAAAAGAAAACTGAATTATCTAGCGGACTCACGCTATTCTAAAAGAGTAAAGTACATGTGCAGAGAGGTACACGATGATAATTTGCCCATGATAATAGCTCAAGTAAAAGCAACGATGTCACACTGGGATGGGATTTCATTTGTTGCCCCGAAAATATAGATAACCAAAACAGAAGCCGTACCCGTATCATTACAATTGAAACCATTTTTCACTTGCAACGCCGCCCCTCCATATTCTCTAATCCAATCCCACCTGTGGCGATTTCCACCACTAACTTTTTATTTCTTTGTTGATAAAGACCACTAACTAATTAGTTTGATACGAAACACGCGTCTCTTTCCCAATTGTTTCTCCTCCTAAACTAAATCAGGCTAAACTCCCACAAAAAATCCATCTATTACGCCAATACCAACACAAAGTTAACAATGTGCCACTTGTACCCAAAGTTAGCTTCTCATTTCGCCTAATAAATTCCCAATGCTGGGAGTGCATAACAATAATATATATTGATTGATCAAAGAGGATTCACCAAGAATTTCCGAAGGATTTGGTAAAGACCCCACATTTTATACTACTACAAGAATTTGATCACGGTTGGATTTCTCTCTCGATCAGCCTATATAGAAAGTATAACGTCACGACACCAAAAAAGGTACCCCCAATCGACAAAAAGAGCACACGCAGTTCAGTGTGAAGATCATTTTTAAGATTTCAATTTTGTCACAACCCAAAGAATTGAAGATAATGATCAATGGAGGATCAGGATTCACCACCCAAAAGCACACCAGGTTCATTTTATACTCCCCTGCTGATTTCCATGATCGGAATATTGTCCACTAGTATTGCTCTAGTAGTTTACCACTTTGTTTTGGTCAAGTTCTGTTGGAGGAGGCAACAAGCGAGGGCCGCCGCCGCCGCCGAAGTGGCACAGGCGGCTGCCGCGGCACCTCCGGAATTCCCGGTCACGGCGACCGGTGTGGACCAGAAGCTTCTGGAAACAATCCCGATTATTGCTTACTCAATCGATGAACAATGCCAGGGTACATTTTTGTTTCGCAAGGATCAAACAGAATGCGTAATTTGCTTGGGAGAATTGGAACACGGGGAAATGGTGCGTTTATTACCGAATTGTAATCACGCGTTTCACGTCCCCTGTATTGACGAATGGTTCGTGGGCCACATCAGCTGCCCAATCTGTAGGTCTCCGATTGTCTCGGTGGACCCGCCGGTAGCCGATCACGACGTCGAAACGCCGCCGCCGCCACCTCCGCCGCTGCCGAGATCGTGTTTTGAACGCGGCGACGGTGCGGGTTTCCCGTTTGGAAATTACAATGCAGCACAAACCGCCGCCGCCGGCGGAAATAATAACGACGCTTCCACTTCATCACAACCATTAACCCGGCTCCTCAGCCGTGGATTGTCGATGCTGCCGATCGAGAGGGGCCCATCGCCGCCGTCGTCGACACGTGGACTCGCCGGGTTGAGGAGGTCGGTGTCACTGGGTCAGCCTTCCGTAATCATAAACATACCACAAGAATTCAGGGGAAGTAGTTTTAGTGGGAGAGGTTGTTCACCGTCCTCGCCGACTTCTTCGTCATCTTCGTCTTCCATAACAACCACTAAGGACGACGTGGCAGAAAGTAGTAGAACAACCGGGCCGCTGTCGATGAAGCATTTGGATCGTGTCTCCTACAAATTACGGATGTCCTTTTCTCGATTGCGTATGGGGAAAAATACTGATAATGTTGTTCTTCCTTTGTAAAATAAAACAATCCTCTTTCTGTTTTTTTTTTTTTTTTTGCTTTTCGTACGTAATTAGCCTTTGATTGAATTGATTAATCATTAATAACAGCAAATCCATGATTGTGGATTGTTATTTATTCATGTTACTCCCTTCCAGTTTGGATTTTCATTTCTTGTTCAAATTATACTAAAAGTAAAATCTTAAACAGGACAATAATTTTAGGACAAAGGGTATAGCCAGATTTGGGCATTGTCTTCCTCACTACTGCTATTTCGCCAGATTTGGGCATTGTCTTCCTCACTACTGCTATTTCGCAAACCATAGTACTGTTACACAGAGTTACAAAGTCCAAACTCGTTTTTTTAACATTTTTTCGTCCTCAATTCTAAAAAAAAGGGTACCTGTATATTTGTCCTCAATTCTAAAATGCGTGACGGACGGCAGGTCTCTTTTCAGATTTTTTTCTTCTTCTTTTTTTCCTTTTTTTTTTTTTGGGTTGGGTAGAAAAAGGACAAAACAAGAAACTCTTATGTTGGGGGAAAAGCAAAATTTTACCAGAAAACGCCTGAGCTAAATGGGGGCAATGTCAAGCTTGAGAACGACCCATGGAATAAGCAATCTACCAAAACTCAACACAGAAAACTGCACATATGCCAGCAACTTCGGAGATCAAGACAAGAGACATCTAGTAGTTTGTAACTTTGTGTATATGACTGCAGTTTTCTTTTCAACTAACCAAAATGGTATACTTTGCCAACATAAATCATTGAAATGAGACAGGAAGAAGTTGTAATAAGTTTTCCAGTAGTAGATATCTTTGGAATAGTTGTCCTCCTCTAGCACATTTGTACATTTTGACCATTTGAGCTAAATAACTGATGTGATGAGTTCATTATATATAGCTTTTATGGACCACATCCACTGGCCACTGCTGCTGGAAATTCGGGAAAAAGAAAAAACAGAGAGAAGCATAATAAAAATTGACTAACGTACGTTTCAAAACGTTCTTTCCACTTGAAAGTTTAAATTGAGCCATTGACTTAGGTAATTTGCTCGAGCTTATAGTCGCAATGGGTGGGACCAACGATTTGGACAGTTAACCAAATGAGTTTGGTAGCGGTGGCTTGTGTAGGTCCATAGGGGTAACTGTTTAATGGATTTAAATGTCAGGTCTCACTAACAGCCAGGCTGATATTATTTATGTACTTGCTGCTGCTACTGTGCTACTAATATTAGTGTTCCAAATGATTGAATTCACTTGAATCTTTTGATGGTTGTGAATTGTGATGGACACTTGGGCACTTGTGCACATTCCACCGTGACCCCCAAAAAAACGTCTCATTCATAGAGGCTTTCTTTTTCCTCCTCCAAACACAAACATGAGATGAAATTGATCGAGTTAAATGTTACTTATTTTTTCTTTTCTTTTTTTGGAGGGTATTTCAATAAAAACCTGATAAAAAGTAAGGTCTTGTGTTACACGACCTTTGATTCTCGGCGCATGCATAAATTCTATTAAAATATTACTCTTTCTGTCCCAAAATTATTGTCAAATTTAAATTATTATTTTTAGTTTAAATTATGCTATAAGTAAAATTAAAACTAGACAATGATTTTAAAACAGAGAAAATATAACATTAGAAATTGGGTTGTCGATCGAGACACCTATGAAATAGCCTCATCATAATTTTGGTGCAAAATTCCCACACTTACTTGTATAGCCCCTTCGATGAATAAAGTAAAGTGAGATTGACTACTCAAATTTTATTATTTTTTTAATTTTTTATTATGGCCACGAAAAATCAAAATATTAACTCACCCATCACTATAAATTGCCCGTGGTCCTTAGAAGAGAATAACCAAAGAATTCTGATGTTACAGTTGCAATTGGGTCCGTAACTGAAAGATTAGTACACTTATATTCTCAAGCTACTTTCTACTAGGCTAGGCTAGGATTGAAACACTCATTGTTGGAAGAATGCGGATGCTATCTATGTTGTACTCCAATAAGGTCACTTGTGCTTTTTGTGTACACAAGTTGGAGGCCCCCTAATTTTATCTTTTTAAGGTTATTATGGACTCCAATATTACGCTTTCATTAACTTTTACTACACATAGTATCTGTTACTTAGGCTACCAATTTATTCACTTTTTTTTGGGGGTGTTCAATACTTACGCATGTTAAAATGGTCCTCTTACTTATTGCGGCTACTAAGAATTTAGATAGAATAATCAAATTTTTTTTCATACAGAAATTTACTACTCCCTCTGTCCCAAAATTATTGTCCAATTTGAGATTTCACTTTTAGTACAATTTAAACTAGAAATAAAAACCCAAACTGGACAATAATTATAGGAGGGAGGGAGTACTAATAATACACAAATTTTGTACAATTAATCTTGTTCGTTTTTATTTTGTTGTCATCGTTGAGGGATCTGTTTCCGTATCATGTCAAATTATATATTACCCAAGTGTGAGTGCGACAAAACCGTAGGTAACACATCTTGTCTTTTATAGTTGTATATCTTCTTCGATATATTATATATTATTATATTTTCTTACAATTTTAGGTGGTTTTCGGTATTTCATTGGTATGAGATTTTTTTTGCTTCTAAATATAACAGGCGGAAAATAATAAAAGTAAACATTATTATTATCTATGAATGTGCATGTCATTGTCGAAGCTTTTTCAATATATTGCGTCAACCATCAAACTGCCAATCATCATCATAGTATATATACATTACTGATGAAAGTTTCTGCATTTGATGCTATCAAAACTCTAGGGGTAAAACGGGGAAGTAGCCCTTTCTTGTTAGATGTATATAATCCCCCGAAATTAGGCGGTGTTAGCGTTTATAGAGTAGCCAATGACGTTCAAGTCTAGATTTATGGTCAATTTCCACAAACAACAAAGACATGGACCGACAAGTAACCCTCGTGAGGAAAAAATATGCCGCCGGACGGATGCCGGTCAGAAAAGGATGAACTAAAATCATGGGATCTTTTTGGGGGAGAGGAATTTAACTACTATTTCCCGGCTCCACCCCCAAATAAGGCATCAAATGCCATACATGTCAAATGTCACTTTCCACGTAATTTTCATGTTGAAAATGAAAATTGGATTGCAAAACAATTATAGAGATAAAGAGGAAAGAGGAGAGAGGTCGATCAAAATTCAAAAGCAAGAAAAAAGAAAAGGAAAATTGGAAGCATCCTAAACTCGTATCGTATGAGAAGAACATTACCAAACTAAAGTACACTACAAAAACTATGTAGTCTTTCAACTTTTTTTAACTCTTAACAACCCAAACGAAAAAGTTAAAATGATGATTATCGTATCCCCTTCCCCCCCAAAGCCAAAAGCCGAAATTGCATTTTGTATTAAACTAAGAAGTAAGAAGAACAAGAAGAGGAAAAAACTCAAAAAAAAAAAAGAAAAAAAGGTATCGTTTCTTTATGCAAACGGCCCATGTGCGTTGGTGGGCCCAAAGAAAACTATAAACGGACTCCACAAAGACTTGCTTTAATTTCTTAATTACAATTTGTACAACCTTGCTACTTTTTTCAATAATAATCCTCCATTATTGCTCTCCCTACCCAACAAGAAGAGAATTTGTATGGTTTTTTGGGACCCCTCCCCTAACATAATTAAGGCCTTTTTTCTATCCCCCCAAAGAAAAAAGAATGAAATAAAGGACTTCCAAATGCAATGGTTTTTTGGGACAATGACCCCTTAAAACGGGTTTTGTGATCCATAATAATGAGGTGTATAAAGTAGTTTTCTTTTTGGGTTTGGTTGGGGTGTTGGAATAAGGTTCAAAGGGATGATGGGATAATTTTTATATATAAATAGGAGTAGTAATTTTAACTTAACTTTAGGAACCAAAAGGCGCTCGATGAGGGATACCCTTTCTTCTCCTTGCAGTTGAAGAAGGAGGCGGAGGAGGCGTGGCCGGGGAAATGTCATTTTGTGTGCCTTCACGCAATTCTCCTCCTCCTTCCTTTGAAGATAATAACACTCTTCTTGATGATATTCCTTCACCTCCTCTTCCCGTTATTATCTCATTCTTCCCATCTAAGGTAAAGCTTGCATCCCCATTCCTCTTTATCCCTACAAGCTGTGATTCATCCAATACCCCCAAATACAAATCAAGTTAGACCATTTCACGCTAAAAAATGCATCATAGTAAAGTCATTCTTCAGTTAAAATTGAGTCATTTCAATTATGAGGCGGTTGATGACAGATAATGCGTGTGTTATTATCATCAAATGTCGCATTCTTTGAGGGGAGAAATAAATTGCAAAATAAAGGAATTCAAGATAGGCAATGGTTGGCCATATGTAATTGAAGGATACCGAGGACCAAATTACTAAATCTATTACTTGATTAAGAATGATTGGCTGTGAATTTTGTGACCAAAATTGCAAATGGCAATGGGGATATATACATACATAATCGATCGATAATGAGGATGATGAAGACGATGGAGATGGTTTCCAAAATGTGGGTCATACCGTACATGAATTATGTATGACGGGGAAAAAATGGCTGATCATTTGGCTCTTTACCAGAACAACAATTTTTATTTTTATTTTTTGAAAACAAAAAATGGAGCCTTAATCAACCAAAACATGAAGCAAGTGATGGTGATCATCATCAACATTCAACACAACTCAAGGAGAAAATGAGGAATTAAAAGTGGAAAAAATGGCTAACCTTACAACCCAATGAACAGAAACGAAAAGGGTCCAAGAGGCTCCGGCCGCAAATTTCACAAATGTGGGAAACTCCTTTCCCACTTTTGGGTTGAGGCCTCTCATTTAAGAATAGAACCCTGGCGCTATTGATCACATATGTCTGCACCCCACCAATGTCCAAAACCTTTTGAATCTCTGACACTCTTACCACATCATGATACGAGGACCTCCTTATCTGCCCATCCCCCAAATCCACCAAAGAAAAAACAGAACCCAAAATTAAAATCAAAATTGAAATTGCATTTTGCGAAAATCCCACTAAAACAGATTGATGATCAACTGCAATTACAATGTGATTCAACTATCACCCTCCGAACAGAAAAAGGGGCAAAAACAAACCGAAAGGCTCAATCAATTTTATTGGTAAGCAGGCAATTGGGGAATTCCTAACCTGAATTACTTGATGATCTTTATGTTTTGAAGAACGGCAGTAGAAACAGAAGGCATTGTCATTGCAATCCAAGCAGAACATGTTGCATTCACTTCTGGCGGCGTCACTGTGGGTTCGGCAGACGGTGAAGAAGGCGGTGGTTAGCAACGGCTCCAGCCACGGAGGAACCAACATTGCGGTTGTATCCGCCTGTTCAACCAAATGCAGTAACATAACGTAAGATTGAATTTTTTTTTTTGGGGCAAAAGTTTTTTGGGGAAAAAAAACAGGAAGAAGAAGAAGAGGGCATATATGCTAATGTGTGTATATATATTATTAATGGCGTCTATCTCTTTCCACTTTCCAGAAGGCATCAAATAATGTACCATTTTTTCCAAAGTAGAGAAATTAAAGTTGAATTCTTTTGATGGGGTTGTTGAAGAGCAATGTGAATCTTTCGGTAGACCAACTATTCTGATTCTTCCAATGATGATGATGAGGAGGAGTTCTAACACAGAGAATTTTACAGAGAGGAAGAAAAAAAAGAGAAATTATTTTTTTTTTTTTTAAAAAAAAGAAAATTTTCCAGAGAGAGAGAGAAGAAGAAGAAGGGGGTTGAAGAGAAGGCCTAACCTAAACAAACAGCAACTTACTGAGAAATTGAAACAGCAAAAACAACAATAATACCTTTAGACTTGGTGTGAAGAGAGTCCAAATTAAAATAAAATACAGCCTCAATGGACGGCTGAGATTGAATTCGGTGGCTCAGGATGGCTACTGATCGTTTGATCCGAAGCGGATGAGTTTGGCGCTTACGCTACTTTGGATCTTCTTTGCGTCTTTACGTAGGCAGGAAATGGGTCGGCAACAAGGTTACGTCTTAAGATTAACAGCTATCCTCCCAAACGACGCCGTTCACCAGCATTTATGCTGTGGCAACAGCCTAACTGATTTTCTTCTTTTTTCAAAAAAATTACATCTTTTATGACGTAAGCGTTGAGGATTGGGTGGAGACATTTCCGAAAACGCCCCTTTCGATTTCCTTTATTACGTCCATTTTTTTGGACCTAAATTTCGGACATGGTGGCTAGAGCGTTCACTCACTAGGGGCAGTTCCTGTAAAAAAAAATGTAGGCAATATGTCATGTCCGAAAAAGATTTTTCCTTATTTTTCTTAAAATATCGGTTGAGACTTAATTAATTACTTCTATTGGATTCTTTTAGATTTTCCTTATTTTTAAAAAACTAAATGCAGGTACGTATAAATATATATAAAAAAATCATATAAATCGGTAGAAAACAAAAACGGGCATAATCCTGCCGGCTTCGTGGAGCTTTGTTATTCTTGGGTGGGTTACAGTAGTGCAATTTGAACTGGCAGAACCGCAGAAGAAGCCCATTTCCCTGTTACTACTTTAATGATGAAATAAAAGTATATTTCCTACTTCCTTTTTTTTTTTTCTTTAAATTTATCAGTTTCCTCGGTTTCTGTCTTTTTTTATTCACTTTTTAAAGTTTTATGTTTTAAGAATAAGAAGAATCAGAAATAAACAAATAATCAATTATATTTGAACACAAACAGCTAACATTATTACCTAATCGAGTCGGAGAGTTTCGGTTTTAGAATAATAAATAGGTAACTTGGGTAAAAAAGAATGGGCATGCGTTTCAGTTGATTCATATTTCTAGAACTTACTTTAATTAATTTCTTTTAGCAATAAATGTTTATCTTTTGTGGATCTCTGGATGTAGTAGCTTCATTAATTCTGTTGATTTATGTATCTCTGCTGCCTAGCTAATGTGTCAAATGACAAGGCTTCAAAAATCCAGATACGCTAATAAAATATTACTCTCTCCGTTCCAAAATAAGTGTCGTTTTAGCAAAATAGAAAAATTTCAAAATAAGTGTCGTTCTCACATTTCAATACATTTTTTGTCTAAAATTTCTAAAATTACCTCTAAAAGAATTAATACTATTGGCGGACATTTTTTAAATGTGGTTGGTTGATGTTATTCAAGTAATTTTATTACCTTATTTAAGAAGTTCTTAAACTATGTGCAAAGTATAAGATGACACTTATTTTGGAATGGAGGGAATAATTAATTGTCTTTGTGGATTTTTTAAAATCTTTTTGTAGGCACTGGAGTCGGTTGGTGATCTAATGCACCGGTTTGTCCAAATTTGGGCACAGTAATTGTATGGAAGCATGCAGTAATAAAAATATAAAGTGGAATTATGACACTGAAAAAATAAATGAATAAGAAATAAAATGTAGATTATATATACCATTTTTGATAATATTATTTGAGGGTTACCATTTAGAGCCATTTTGATAACATTAAAGTGGAATTATGACCAGATATATATATGTTGTCTACGAAAGAAACCAATGGTTATTTAGGATTTTATATATCATCGTTTATAAATTTATTTCAAGCGGCGGCCGTGTGATCTACAAAAATAACACAGATTTTGTTCAAAGTTTCATGTCGTTTAACTGGCTGCGAGTACCTGATAAGATTGGGAGTGGAATAAAAGATTGAAAAAGAAATTATGAATTCCTGTGATTCGGATAAGAAAATAACCGTGCACACAAATTATACTCTCTCCGTCCCAAAATTATTGTCCACTTTGAGATTTTACTTTTTAGTACAATTTGAACTAGAAATGAAAACACAAATTGGACAATAATTATGGGACGGGAGAAGTATATGATTTTGCGTTAGATAGAAAGGAAGTGGGAATAACTCAATTCCCTTTCTGTAACATAAACGTTTACTTAATTGCTAATCCACTTTGAGTTGGCATATTAAAAACCTTTTACGGAGAAACATAGGCGCTCCTCTGTTGACGAAGCTGTACATGTTTGCGTTTTATTTGTCTTGATTTTTTTTTATTTTTTATTTTGGTTCAATTGATACAAATAATAGAAGCTTTTTTTTTATAACACCATAATTTTTGAATGTGAGGTTGCTTTTTAGTCGAAATGTAAATCTTCGAAATTGTCTTACAACATCTCACCATTATAATTCAACCATCCTAGCCCTAATAGTGTCGTTTATTTTTGTCCCTCGAACGTTAATACAGATGCATTGTGTTTGAATACTTCTACGATGTTGTTGCAACTAATTGATTTCTAAAACTTTTTTTTTTTTTGTATTTCTATGTAGATTTTGTGTTAATAGGAATAAGATTCGTTTACCTTGATAGGTATGTTAAAACCAAATGGCGATCTTGATATCTCCGAGTAAAGCTTAAATTGTATACCCAAAAAAAAAAAAAAAAGAAAAAGGAACGGAAGTGCCCATGGCTTAAAATGAAATGTTTTGATGGATACATAAGTTACAACTATTATTGAAAGAGTTAACAATTATACGTCCCCTACACAAAGCTATATTCAATGTATACATCTAAAATTCTCTCTCTCAAAAAAAAAAATGTATACATCTAAAATTGAAAAAAAAAATTCTAATGTTTTTGCCATTGATAACAATAAACATTCCCCAACTCCCTCTGTCTCAAAATTATTATCCAGTTTGATATTTCACTTTTAATTCAATTTAAACTGAAATGATAATCCAAACTTAACAATAATTTCTGATGGAATATATAACTTTTTTGCTGATTTGCAATTCTTTCATACGTTAAACTATTAAATAAATGACACTCTCTCTACAATAGCTTATCCTGTATTCTTTTAAGCACATTGTTAACCGAACACCGAAAAAGGCATAACTAATTTTGTGGTCATTAATCCTATAAAATTTGTCATGACATGACCACATGGAAATGGGGGATAACAAAAGTATATAAGTATTAATTTTGATGTAACATTGAAGAATCAAACTTGGCTTTTTAACTTATTGCTTAGGTAGCAAAACAAAAAGATGAAACTGACGTTCAGCTCCCAAGAAACACATAAACACAAAAACATATGGATATATATATATATATATATATATATATATATATATATATATAAAGGGGTTTTATCTACAAATGCCCATCCGAAAAGGCATCAGCTTTCCGTGATAGAAGGAAGGATAAAAATGAGGAAAACCAAAAGTTTGGTGCGGATGGATGACTGACGTGAAGCTTAGGGGGGCATCGAACATTGGTTTACTTCTAATCGGAGTCAACTGCAAATAAAAGCTCTATTCAAAAACATCTCAGCAAGATAAAAACAGAATTCCTTTTTTTTTTTTTTGTAATTAAAGGTGTTTTGTGCATTACTAAGGAATAATTACATTCCGAGAATAGAAATCTCGATTATATTATGTTGTAGTCAATATCTAATTTCCAATAAGATACTGTCTAATAACAAGAAATACAGTATTCTAACCATTAGGCTGTCATTCAATTTCTTAAATTTATAATACATATACAGATGATTTAAATGTTTAATGGTTCCAAGTTTCGGAAATTCTTTATTTGATGGAGTTGGTGTAATAATACACATTAAAAAAATAACCACACCCTTTAACATACTAATTAGTAGTGGATCTATCAGCCTCTATTTATTTGTTATGGATAGACTTTCTAGACGAAAAAATACATCCAAACCATATGCTAAAGATATGTTGGTTGAAAGATTAACCGGTCCAATAATTATACTTACTAGTTACTCATGAAATATTCATTAACAATTGAAGAGGTATATTCTAATAAGTCCACGTATACACCACGAAAATATTAAATGCAATGATTGTGGTTAGACAAAACAAGGTTGAGAAGTAGAGTGATCAAGGCTGGCATGCCCGGGAAAGTGCACATCATAGGTAGAGTATCTTTAGCTGGAAGTACCCCTGTATGATTTCCTCGTCAAGTAGCCACAAAGCCACTTAATCATATATAAAGAGAACATCGTATTTTTCGAAATGGCCAGTTACTTGTTTATATAGAGGTGTAGATGTGATGGTTTGGAGCATCATGATTCATGTGTTGCTATTTTTTGCCTAATGGATTAATGAACTTTCTCCCTTTTCACGATATGAAGCATAAAACCAATTGAATTTTGAAGTGCAACTGTATTAGTATCTAAATATGTAAAAATTCACAAGTGTAACTATTTTCTTTTTCCTTTTTACCTTATTGATTGGCTAGTGCAACTATTTTCAACTAATTACATGGGGCAAACAACTAGCACACAATGACACAATAAAAGAAACTTGTAGAGAACTAGGTGATGCGCGCCGAGTCGTAAGTTTGCGCGCTATCTCAATAGACATATCTCGAGAATTCGATACTCGCCTGCATATAAAGAGTGAGATTATCGAAACATCAGATAAAGTTGCACATTGCCGTTGTCAGTGTTATCTACAACGTCACAATACTTCCACATAACTATGAGATAATAAAAGAAAAGTAGAACTCATTTTCATACTCATGCTCATTTTTCGTATTTTGAACATTTATTGATCATCATCAACGAGAAAACAGAGATATACCGGGAAAGTCAAAGTTTAAACAATAAAAACTAAAAGCAAGAAAAGAAACAAAAGCCCTACGAATATAAGGAAAGGATAGGTGGCCCAAGTCAGGGGGGAAAAGGGGTAAGTTAAGGTGGCCCAAGAATGGGAGTGCAGCAGATACCCAAATCCTTTTGGCGGCCCGAAAAGATCAACCCGACCCGTTAAATCCGGAGCGATTCCAGACCCATTTTTATACACGAAAGTCAAGTTCGTTCCAATTTATTAACAATTGATTGGAAATTTTTCGTCACTCTACACGGTTTGAATCTCTTACTAAAGAAGGAATCCATCATCGTCTTCTCCCGGCAGTTTCTACATCGCGATCGATAGACCTAGGGCTGTTTCTTTCGCGATTGAAGGAGAGAGAGGAAATATAGAAGATGTTCAAAAATTTCTGGTAAATCTCATCGTATTACATCAGTATATTGATATTTTTGCTGTTCTGCTTGATTAAGGATTGGTGTTCGATTCATCTTAGATTGCTATTTTAATTTACTTTAAAGGTTACGATTATACTGATGTTTGAATATGCTTTTCCATTTTTCTTGAATTCTTTCCTACCCTTTGTGCGCTTTTTTTTTCTATTTCTTGCGAAATTTTGGGAATGTTGAGTGTTCAATGTGTTATTATAATAATAATCATCGGTTGCAGTTTTTATAGTTTGGTGGAGCTTATTTCCAGTTACTAGGATCGTACGGACGCTTGTTGCCTAATCGTACGTTCCTGAGGAATATGTTGTTTCTTGAACTATTACGAATAAGCCTTATTCCAGCAGTTATACAATGCGTTTCCCTTAAAATTATGATATGCTGCTAGTCTGCTGGTTTATAGATCATTGATAATGGTTTCTGATATTTTCCTCCAGGGGCTCTCTGGAGCAGCAAGCTCAGCCACGGCCTCAGGAAAATCCAGCTGATTCATGGTATTCCAATTCTGCAGTCACCTCTCCTAATCCTTCTCGCCCAGCAACCCCTGGTTCCAGTTCTTCTAACAGTTACAACGTTTTGCGGCCAGCAGATCGTCCAAGCACTTCCGCTAATGTTTCCCCGGCTGCTGCCGGCATTATGGATTTGTTAAAGGATAAAAGGTTGGTTTTTATGTGAATTTTCTTCTAGGAGTTGTCTGTTATTTTCAGAACTTACTCAAGCATTTGGGGAAACCTAGTTTGAGACTTCAAATCACTCTCAGTTTCTTTCTAGTAGGTGCATACTTTGTCATCCATCATAACATTGCTCGAATGCTGTTGGTGCTTTTTTAGTTTCTTAGTTGGCACTTTTTACTTTATCGTCACATTTTTATGTTGGCAGCGAACTGCGGAAACGTAATATGACATGATTTCTTATGTTGGATTTTGCATACCCTTCTGGCCTTACATTCATTTTTCTTCTCCCTCCCTCCTTTTCTGACCTTGTTTAGTTTCACTCTGTATGATTAGATAAAGCTTAATTATTGTTGTTGTTCTGTGTGGCATTTTTACTTTGGTCCCGTTGGTATTAATTAGAATACTTTTGTAGTGTTGATGAGCTGCGGAAGCTTCTCTCTGACAAGGATGCTTATCATAGCTTTTTGCTTTCTCTGGAACCGGTGAAAACCCAGAACAAAGTAAGTTGAAAGTCATGGTTCTTTGTCTCACTGATTCCCCCTGCTTTGCCCGGCCATTACTACATTGTTCATCTTGATTATTAAAAAGTAACCTGGTTGGACCTTTTTCTTCAAAGTTACGTAAAAGATGGTTTTGGAGATGACGTCATTTTCTCCCCCGGTAGCTGTAAATTTTCTGTTAGTCTGATCAAAGTTTGTTCTGACATGACAATCTTTGCAATGGGAAATTGAGAAGCATTTTCAATTTTTTTCAGAAGCACAAGTTGAAGGATTTTGCTTTTCTATGTGGATGTAACTTGGAAAACTTATATATTCTGTTTCTGCTTCAAGTTTTCTTGGATCGTTTCCTTGCTTTTTGCTGTTCATTATTTTTTTACTTGTATCCCGTATCTGGATTGCTTTCTTCAGAACAGTACCACTTCCTGATGCCGATTGCATATGTAGAATAGGAGCTGATGAGCATTTGTGTTGAAGAAGATCATGTTACTTATTCGTCCTTTTTTAATTAGCTTCATTTCTAATTTCACATTTGGTTGTTGTTTCTCACTCTTTCTGTCTGTTTCTTACCAGCTGAGGGATGACCTCAAGAATGAGACCTTGCAACTTGCCAGTGAGTATTTTTTTATTTTTATTTTTTTGGTTTTTGGATTGTTTGCAAGGTAACGAACGTATCATTCAATGCAGGAGAGAATTTGGAAAAGGAGCCTCGTATAATGGAGCTCAGAAATCAGGTAAGATGCTTTACTTGTGTAACAAAACATACAGCACAAGTTTCAATTGAAATTCATCTTGTGGAGGTATATCATCTCATTTGTCATTTATGAATCCAGTGCAGAATAATTCGCACCACTGAATTGGCCGCTGCTCAAGAAAAATTACATGAACTGGAGAGGAAAAAGGAAGAGACTCTGAGATTCTATTCTCCGGCTTCCCTGCTACATCAGCTTCAGGGTAAATAATCTGCTGATGTTTCTTTCTTGGAGTCTTGATTTTTTCCCTTTCTTGTCTTGTGGTTTCCGTAAATGCATTAGGTAAGATATATATAGATATTTCGTGAGACTGCTTGGAAGCTTTCGCCTAGTCATTAGGTAAGATATATGGATATTTGGTGAGACTCTGCTTGGAAGCTTTCGCCTGGTCAACTTGTGTCAAAGGTTCTTTTTTCTTTTTCCACTTCCTTTCTCGAGGGATATGAATTTCTGGTTTGTAGTTTCCAATAATTCACTGTTGTGCTAATAGTATAAGGATCTATATTTGCTGTGAACTGGCCTTATCAAAACTGTATCTTACAATTTTAGCTGATTTAAGTATCCATTCAATAAAGTTTTGTTATTGGATTGAGGTTCAGGGATCAAAGGGACTTCTCTGACGTGAATGTGCTGCTCTTGTTTTTATATTTGAACTCCTTTTAGGTTTTCTTTATTTGTGCCCTTGTATTCTGTTTAATAAGATTTGCAATCACTGTGAATACCCTGCTGAAGATGATAAGCCTTTTTCTTTTGCAGAAGCAATGAATGCAGCTGACCAAGAATCTGAAGCCCTTCACCGTCAGCTTCTTGATAAGGAGATAGATTTGAGTTCTTTTCTTCAAAAATATAAGAAGTTGCGTGAAACGTATCATAAGCGAGCACTCACCCAGCTTGCTGCCAAGACAACTCTAAATGTATGATATGTATAATGTTTGTGAATATATGACAAAAGAAGTTAGATGCAGTTATGGTGCTTTGGTACTTCATAGGTGTTTCCCTTTCATGATTTTTTGGCCATATGTTCCAATGGATCTGGTTGTACCATTTCTATATTACAGACTTTTTTATAAAGACCACTAATACAATTTAGAATTGAGTATGTGAACTCTTTTTTGGCTGTACACGCATTTTTGAACACTGAAGTTGAGTCTTGTAAGTAATCACTTATGCTGAAGTACTACCTGTCGCAATCGGACTAATTTGATACCGAATGCAACTATTGAGGTGATCTCTTAAAGTGATGCAAGTTTAGAGGTCAAAGGTACTCGTTGCACATAAATATCGGGAGCACAAATGTATAATAATTGACACACTAATTACAGGAAAGGAGAGAGAACATGTGAATACAAAGGGGAAATGCAATTTACACTAACTACAGGAAAGGAGAAAAAGAACATATGAATACAAAGGGAAAATGGCGAACTGCAATGCAAAGACAGAGGAAAGGAGAATACAAAGGGAAAATGGCGAAGTGCAATGCAAAGACAGAGAACGGCATTGTTCAGAATCTGTTTCTCATTTTCCATCCAACAAACAAATGCTACCACAGTTACAATCCTTGGTTCTTTTGATAACTTACAAACATTCCAACAACATGCCTCAATAGAATTCAGGCCAGAAACCAGTTAACATAATTCGCATCTGTCTACATATTACATAAGGTAGACAGGAATGACACTTCACCTAAAATGGTGGCAACAAGAAGTTGAGCACAACCAACTACAAAAACAAAACAAGACAATGGTTTCTGCAGCATGAAATTTTGGAATAGAATAAGTTGTATAGATAGCTATCATTCTACCAAACAGCACCAAACCCACCCAGCACTACAAATATCAAGGTAAACCAAAAGGTGACGGTGAAATGAACAAGCAGATGGTATAAAACTCAATGAAGAAACACCTGCGTATAGATATCAAATACACATACTATTGGAAAGCAACAGTTCCGACTCTGATAAAAACAAGTTGGTGAGAGGTGGTCCATTTATCAGACCCGTGTACTAAACACTAAAATAATGATGCTGCTGCCGCAATAGCCATGCAGCTTTTTCGTCATCTAAATTTTCTCCTCCAAGCGTTCAAGTTCTTTCTCCCACTTTAGCCCAAATATTTGGCGACCAAAGGGGACAATAAGGTTGTACCGGAAAACCTGCAAACAACATACCCAGTGAGTTTGTGCAAAAGAAATTGCAAGTTATATAGGTGACCAGGAATACTGCAGCTCATAATAACTCAAAAGGTATGCTTGAAAAATGGTCATATAGTGGAGAAATGGAATATATGTGATCATCAGCAGCTATTACACTCTCCTTTGCAATAAAAACATCAAGAATGCAGCATAGATAACATAAAAAAATTAGGAAGATTAATAACAAATGCGAACTACTTCCAGTATATCACCCCGCTGTTAAAGTAACACAAATTAAACTGTAACTTCTTTCAAAACCATACAACAGGCAAATTGATTGATGTTTATCAAGACAAGCATAAGTATTAGCTTTGATTCATCACTATGTCATTTAATACCTCAGCACTAAAAGGACTACCAGAATCAGACATGGAGAGAAAATAGTCAACGGGGCCATAGGTATAATAACACAGAAACTAAGCTGTATGCCCCAAACTATAGACAAAACAACGTAGACTACCCACCTTGTCATTTATGCCTCGCAACTGAAGCTTTAACGCCTCTGAGTACTCAGTCCATTTGGCCTCATCTTGACTGTCTCTGTATGAGCAAGCTTTCTGAAGTGCCTTACGCCACTCTGCAATATTGTTCCTTATTTCCTTGTTTAATTCAACCCACTCCGGCGCACATCCGTTTTTTGAAAGTATCCTGTACAAGGTGTCTTCAGCTGGATCGGCATGAGGATTACTACTAAGGTTCAAAGGTTTTCCCTTCCCGGGCAAATTTTCAAAGTGGCCCTCTTCCATAGAATGATATATCCGCTGCTCCACAACATTGATAATGTCGGTCTCAGACCTGTTCAGCAACCATAAAACAATCAAAACTGCATCTCGAAGACAATGCAAAACTCAAACTGAAGTTATCCCGTGCAGCAAAATAATCATTGAACAAACAAAAAAACAGTTATGAACTACCACTTTGATGAAGATTTCAAACTATTCAAACTTGATCATCCTTTATAGCCATTTATTTCTAAAGACAACCACGAAAGTATGACAAGTTCATAAATTAAGAAAGTTAGAAGCTGACAGCTATATGAAGACAGAAATCCATGTCCACTCAGCTACCTGAACCCAAATTAGTTGTCAACAAAAGTGGAAAACTATGGAACTGGTAAATTCAACCAAAGTACTATTTGAGCTCCATATATATCATTTGCTAGCTCGACAGTTCTTCCTAAATGGAAACGGAAATAGGGAAAAAAATAATTGCAAATGCCATCTCCAAAGAAGCAGCAGGAGCTTTCAGCAAAAAACACAATCTTATTATGCGTGTATTTGTATTTTTCAAAGAATTCAGAAATTGCAAGGAAGAAAAAAAAAGACAGTTTTGTTGATGTTAAAGAGTACCTGACGTTGTTACGTTGGCCGCGGAGTTCAGGAGGCAGTTTACGATCATTAACAGCGTCAATAACGGAAGATAGACGGTCATCCACCTTTCTCCTAGGTTTCTGATTCGTCGTTGAAGATGACGAAGATGAAGAGGAATAAGAGGCGCATCTTGGCATCGGAACGCCATGGTCTAGGACAGCCGTTACAGATGATGACGACAGTTGCCCGGAAGTCGCTGAATTTTGGAGCGCAGGAACTGATGCACTCCACGGCGGTGAACTAGAAATGACGGCCGTGATCCGCGCCACCGCTCTAGACGAGCGGACCGCCATGACTGAGAAGTGAGGCGCGGCGGTTGTGGGCTTGGGTTTGGGCCTTGGAGGCAAGAAAGCCTATGAATTGTTGGGAAATTGAGATCTCCGATTGTTGATTATACGTGGCTCGTTATGAAGCATAAGTTTTCCAATGCTGGTTCTTTGATTGGACCAGTTGGCGGCGTTTCAAGTTCAACCACGGCCCAGTGCCCGCGAAGTTTGACTAACTCGTAAGGTGCGTAACATAACTAGAAAAAGTAACAAACCCTTTCAATTACACTTTTGGAACCAAAATTAAACAATAATTAATGGCAATCTCATCTCATTTTGACCGAATTGGAATTAATATTGCCTCCGCTACTTAATATAAGTCATTTTGATTTTTTTTAAGGTTTCATTTTCATATAGTACGCATTTTAAATAGATAAAAAAACCTTAAAAATATTTCTTAACAATTAGGAGAATGTAAGGAATTCGAAAATATATTTTCTTCAATTAAAATGCATATTAGGTGAAACTTAAGACAAATCAAAATATCATATATTAAGAACCGGAGGGAGTATTATGTTTGATGTAAATTATTCTTTTGTCTTTTGAGCTATTTTTCTTTGGATTGAGAGAATAATAAGTACTCATTTTAGAATAAATTAATTAATAAAATGAGTGATATATTAGTTGGTGGGGGAAAAAAAATCATAAATGACATAGTAGTTTTGATGAATTTGATTTTGTTTTTGAACCTGAAAATTCCTCTTACATTTTTTTTTGTTTCCATTGGAAGGAATGACACCAAAAACAATATGAAACCCTTAGACAAAATTAATGCAAACGGTAATCAACGAGATATACAGTACTTGAAGAGTGGTAGAAAAACAGAAAAGCGCGGCAATATCAATCACTTGCTTTATTTTTCGTCTCCGTTTGAATCTTCATCATCGGTTACCTCGGTCGTATCAGGTTCATCGCACATTGGGGTGGTATAGTAGAATGGTCCCAGAACATACTTGACAAGATTCCGGAACACGATGGCCGGCCGACCAAGCGCCACCCCTGACTTCCCTCCGGCGAAGTCGGTTGCAATGTTGCAGACTGGGTGTGGGGAAGAAACCAACCGTAAGAAGCACCTTTCGGCATTGACCAACTTCCCGTTGATATATTTGTCGACGATCATGTCGAATTCCCCGGCCTCGTCCGTCAAATCACTTCCATAGTAAATCACCCTGCTCCTGTCATCCAGGCAAGTTACCGAAACCTTGCAACCTGCCATTTTTTGAGGACTTTGAAGTCTAAATCACACTCAATAAAAGGAACCAGTTAATCTCGATGTGAAATTGGGTTAGTTACTATGAGTTACCTTTGATGGGTTTGGCGCCATTGACCCACTCGTTCCAGCCTTCGGTGCAGTCCTGGCATAATACTTTTCCACAAGCGTGGAATACTTCCTGATCTTCCTTTGGAAAATCGACGGTGGCTCTGGAACTACCAGCCGTTAACAAGGAGGCAGCTATCATGATCAAAACAAGATTTGCCATCTTTTTCTTCCCTTTCTTAGTGCTTGGTGTATAATTAGAATGAATGTCCTCTCTTAGTGAACTTGTATTTATAAAACAATTCGCATCGCAAGCCATGGGCATATGAGTAAGTGGACAAGCACTACGTACGACGTGCTTACCATCAACGTTTGTTAAGACTAATCAATTACATGGATGTACGTAAGAGCATATCGAAGTGTCATGATTTTTTTAGTAGAACATAGATTTTGCTTCTGTTCACACATCGAATACAGTTATCCGAACCAAACCAGAAATTTCTTCTTTTCAAGTTAGAACATCGAGTTTCTGTGAGGATGCAATGTAAACGATGTCAACATGTGCTGAAATTGTTAGCTACTAATTTGGGTCTGTAAAACCCAACATAAATTTTCCGATTTACGAATGATTTCAGCACTCGAAAACATGAGTAAATATGCTTTCATTGATTGGATTCAAAAGTTGTCTGTTCTCATTCTTCATTGAATAATTTTAATCCATATACCGTCTCTCTTGATCACCAAATACAGCAAAACTTACCCTAGCAAAAGCAGCAGTTTGCCAGCTAGAGCACACTGGAATTCGCTCCTGAAATACCACTACTAGCACAACTTCATTCAGACCTTAAAATGATCACCAATTACACCAACATACTGAGTACATCAAAATACTATCAAAGAAAAAATCATTCCTTCCACCTCCAGCACCATTGACTATTCTCAGTACTCTGTGTTCCATCTTCAAATACCATATCCAATTCAGACCCCATGATGCGAATCCTTGGTTGTGCGGTTGTGCAGGATACATCAGAGCAACCCCGCCTTTTTCAGAGCATCTTTAAATTCTTCCTCACTTTGCCAATTTGCTAACTGCAGATATTGATGCGAGAATGTCAAACTTCAACAGTCTGTTCTCTTTTTACATTCACTAAAATCTAAATTCTGACTACTCCAACTCCAATAAATTTTGTTTCACTCAACTCCAAAATAACACAATAGTGAATAGAAAACTGTGCATGACAAAAGACCACATACCTCAGCTATTTCGCAGTTGAAATACCTTTCTATCTTTGCCATCACTAGCCTATCCATATCAGAGCAAAGCAAGTTAAAAACAGCACCTGCATAAAGTTTAGGCATGGTTATAATCCTGTGATGCGCATGTTGACTTTAATGTAAGTTAGCATATTTGAATTCATCAGCTCACTGAAGAGCGTGTATAACCAAGACAAATGATCCAGACAGAAACATAAATTTTGAAGTGCAATCATGGTGCTAAATCAGAGAGAAATACACATATACATCAAAAGCACAGACAAAGATGCGAAGTAAGAAGATGATTGATAAGAAGAGGAAATAAAGGTAGAGGCACCATCTATATCTTAAGTGCACAATGGACACGGTAAATTGGAAGACATTCCAACTCAATCTAAAAGGATGATAAAGTTGTTCAAGACACTCTGAAATCTTGATCATCATCAAATAATTACACAGTACTGGAATCATTCTGTTTCTCAAATTATGAAACTGAAACCAATCAAAACCAAGTACTAAAACACGAAGAGGAATAAATAACATCAAAAAATTTAAATCACAAAACCTACCTTTGCGGCCAAATCGCCCCGCTCTACCAACCCGATGCAGGTAAACCTCATAGTCAGGCTCAGATGTGTGATACTCAACAGGAAGGTCATAGTTGACAACCAGATTTACCTATCAAAAGGAATATCATTTCTAAGAATGAAACACACAAGAGATTAAGAAAAAAAGAAAGGTGCATGAAGGCAAAAAGAACCATAATAAAAAAAAAAAAAAGTCCGTAAGCACCTGCGATTGGTCAAAGCCACGAGCCAGAACATCAGTTGATATAAGGACTGAAGTCAAACCTTCTCTGAACTCCTTAATTATCTGGTCGCGTTCTTCTTGCTTTAAAGCACCTTGAATTGTTGTAACTTCATAGCCAAAACCAACTAAACTCTTATGCAACATTGCAGCGCTGTTCCTAGTTTTAACAAAAATGATTGTTTGCCCCACTTTGTCACCAAATTCAAGGATTTTGTCTTTAACAATCATGACCTTGGCAAGTTCATCAGGGCAATTGACTTTATACTGTTTCACTGAAGCCAGCGATAGTTCTTCCTTCTTCACAAACATCTGATTATAATCTCGGTTAAAGATTTCTTTGATCGTCTGATCAACAAATACCCTGACTGCATCACTAAATGTGGCCGAAAAGAGAAGAACCTGTTCAGGAAAATTAGAAAACTCCAGCCAGGTCAAACAAAATCCAGTAAATTTTTTGAAGGAAGTTAGAGAAGGTTACTCAAATAAGTGTCGAGGATAATGATTGATACTGACCTGGCAATCGGGACTGCTTCTAACGATGAATTTCATTATCTTCCTAGAGTCATCTCTGAAACCACTCTGCAACGACAATGAGGGAGAAGTCACAAACTCAGTGAGATAAAAGGGATCCGCCTATTCTGGTAAGTGAGGCGAAAGACGTCACACAAACAAGTAACTCTCAAGGCAACAAGAAAAGCTACAGGAAAATAAACAGAATAATTTCTTATGTTATTTTATTGACGTCAAAGGAAAAGGCCATTAATTACCAATACAGGAAGTTATGAATACACTATAGACCCCTCTTTCAGCAGCTAAATTCTACTCTAAGAGCCAAAAGATTCCAAACACAAGATGTGTGATGTCGAAGAACATAAATGACAAATCAACAAATATCTGCCAATTACAAAATTCTTTGCATTTGGCTGAACATATTTATATTCAACAGATCCGAATTTACTAAAGAAACTATGAAATAAGTAAGAATGATAAAAATTACCTCTGCTAGCATATGATCCGCCTCATCAAAGACGAGTATCTTTAAGAAACTCAAGCTAAGCTTCTTTGCTGTAATGAGTTTACTTATCGTGCCAGGGGTTCCAATCACTACTTGAGCAGTGATAGGCGCTCTCTTGTTCATCGGAATGTAATTGGCAGTTTCAGCTGGGATAGCCAATTCCGATGTAATACCTGTGAACTTACCCATCTTCAATAGCACTTCCATATTCTGCACTCACATTAGAGAGTCCCCATCAAACAAATTTTTACTTGCAGCTGTCTAATATGTAACACACTTAAAGAATACGTATAAAGAAACAACCAAATTCATCTCATCAAGGTAGCGGGACTACAACCATAATTACACGAATAGTAAAAATGCTACCAAACATCTGTGGAACAATTTATCGATTTAAAAGGTACAAAAGCCATATAACTTGCACAATGTATACCAACCTGAATTGCCAGTTCCCTCGTCGGGCAGATACAGAGTGCTTGTGGTGCAGTAAGCTTAGTGTCTATTCGGCTCAACATGCCAAGCACGAAACAGGTAGTTTTCCCGGAACCATTATGAGCTTGTGCCACCAAATTCTTGAACGGAGGAGTCAGGATCATGGGCAAACTAATAGCTTGGATTTTACTAGGCTTTTCAAATTTCATCTCCACGTACAACCCTTTTAACAGCTCGGGAGATAAGTTCAAATCTTCGAACTTTTTTGCTGATTCATAAATAGCATCCCCACTTGTAACCTAAAATCACCACAGACGAATTTGGGAATGAACCGTTAAATCCACATATCAGCAAACACCATAGCTGCCATCTAAAATGCCACAATCAAATTGATATTAACTTCGAGCAAACAGTTAAAAAGAAGCTTGAACACATATCATACTGTCTACTAAGCTGATTAAAAGCTTACACAACATAATTAGTAAAGATTGAAACATAAAATTAGTTCGTGAAATAGGTCAAGAGATGCCTACAGCTTCGATACTGATATCATCGGGATCCGAAACTTCTTTGTTGATTTTTCTTGTTTCCTCGATGGTTAAGGAATCGAGAGCAACCTCCTCGGAGGTTGTGGCCTCCGCCGGCGACTTGTTTTCTTCTTCGGCATCGGCTTCGTCTGCCCAACTCCCAGTGACTTTGGATTCAGGAGCTTTTTCGGCAGCGTCAGCCATGAGAGATTTGGATCAAATTCAGGGAAGATTGGAGAGCTAATCAGAACGACGACTAATCCCGAACAGCACAAGGGGAAGAAGGGTTTACAGTAAGTAGATCCTCTACACTTTAAATGGTAAAGAATGAAAAGGTTATTTTTCTTTTTTGAGCTTTTTATATAAACTGTGTCAAATTTCAGAAGTCGTCAGTCAGCTTTGAGAAGACGCAGCCTGTTTGTTTGGAGTGCTTTCTAGTTAGGTCTTTAGAAATATTGTCAAACATTAATACTGGCCCGGGCAGATGTCCGGCGCCCCTCTACTTTAATTTTGTTAATAGATAAATAAATTCTTGATTTGGAAAAAATAAAATAGCTACAGATTTGGTTTTTCTTTTTCCCTTTTTAGCCAAAAATAAAAATAAAAATAAAAAAATCATCTACCAAAGGAGAAAAATATTGAAAAGTACAACGATACAGAAATCATACAAAAGAATGTGGAGTAATAAAGGGGATAAGTTTATGGGCAAATTTTAATGCTATTTTAATTTGATTGATAAATGATAAATGTTATGAGTTAAAATTGCGTAGCTCTTTTTGTAAAGTAGCTTTTGTTTCTCCGGATAAGAATTTTTTTTTTCTTTTAAAAAAGGATGACACGTGGCAGAATGGTTAATGCAATATGGCGCAATTGGAGCCAAAAATTTTTAATAAGAAGTTGTCACATCAACATCATGTATTCTGCTTTAATAAGGTAAAAGAGATTAGTTTATAAGGCATTATTCTTAATTGCTGGATTTAGGTATTTTTATTTTTTGTTTATATTAAGCCTACAAAACTATACGATTGGACATTTGAATTTGAATTAATATATCCATTCGTTTGAAATGTAACTGATCCTTATTTGTAGTAAAACATGTGTTTTTTTATAAAAAAAAAATTATATAGCTTCTAATTAAAAGAGACTTACACGTGGTAAAAAGACTTCTGAAATATGAAATATTATGGTGTATTAGAGCCAAAACAGATGCATACGTAGTTGCCACATAAGCTTCATGTCTTCTGCTTTAATAGGGTGTAATAAAACATGTGTTTTTTTAAAAAAAAAAAATTATATAGTTTCTATTTAAAAGAGAATTACACGTGGCAAAAAGACTTCTGAAATCTGAAATATGGTGCATTGGAGCCAAAACAGATGCATACGTAGTTGCCACATAAGATTCATGTCTTCTGCTTTAATAGGGTAAAAGGGACTAGAAGTTTGCTCCGGGCAAATGCCCGGGCGTCCTCCCACCTAATAATAAATTGATATGTAAATAATCAAAACTGATTAGAAATGAATTTAGTTTTTTATGAGGCTCTGTTTGGTTGTATTAAATTGGGACCAAGAATTGGAATTAGAACTCTTCAATTTCAATTCTTGTGTTTGGTTGACAAAAATTGAAATAAAAGAATTGGAATTGCAATACTATTTTGGGTTCAATTCTTTGTTTTTAATTCTTTTTATGGGGGTAACGGGTCTGAATCGGGTCGTTTCCGGGTTATAATATAAACGGGTCGCCCTTTCCTTTTTCCCTTAAATCCTTTTTTTTTCTTTCAGCCCTTGCCCTGTTGTTTTTCTTCCATTTTGTTTTTCTTTTTTTTTCGGCTTTTTGTCTTATTATTATTATTATTATCGATTTGATAATCATCAACGAAATCAATCTAAAATTAACATTATATTTTTTTTGAGGAAAAAAATCAAAAGTATAATTGTCCCAAAAAAAATTAATAGATAAATATTTTAGTTTTGGGTTAGAATTTTTTATTATATACTAACACAATAAACACCATAAAATTTTCAAAAATCTTTTACAATTGTTCCATATGTACACCTATATTAATATATATATATATATGTATATATTAAATAATTCATGGCAATTTTTCATCAAAAATTATGTAAGTTGAATTTTAAGTATATATTTTTTCATATATAACTATATACTAAAACTAAAATATTTTAAGCAAATTTCATAAAATAATGTCAATATATATATAATAAACATTAATATTCATAAATTGAATTTATATTTATACAAAATTTTTTACTAAATATAAGGAAAAAATCAATAAATCAAAAATTAAAAAAAAATTGAAAAGTGATAAAAGAGAGGGAAACAAGGATGTTTTCATGTTACTTATTTGTGTGTTAATTGAGAATTCCACATATCATAGTAATAATTCTTACGTAATAATATTTTTTTTGTTTCCTACAAAAAAGTGTGTACATAATAAATCACAAAATAATATAATAAATTAAATAAAAAAATATTTTTTTCAAAAAGGATTAGTATAAAGGACAACAAAGTAATCTAATATACATGTACATAATGATTTTTTTTTTTTTTTGGTTTTATACATATCCATAATAGATTATTTTGACATTAAGAAATTAAGTTTTTTTAAAAAAAAATTTTGACATGAAGTATAGATTGTATTAGTTATATAGTAACAAACTAATTTCAATTCTAAAGTATCCAAATTTTGAAGCATCCAAACGCAAGAATTGGTATTAGAACGTTAATTCTAGTCAATTATTAAGATCTCCCAAACAAATGAATTGAGATTGAATTGCAATCCCAATATTTCAATTTCAATTTTTTTTGGATTGTAATTCTGATTCAATTCCAATTCACTCCAACCAAACGGAGCCTGAAGATAACTGATTGACCGAAAATTAATTTTTTCGAAAGTCCTAAATAAGTGGAGAAAGAAAGTTTCATTCACTGTCAAATTCAAAATTTGAATGAACATGGCCATCTGATCTCTTCGTTAATATTATAAATATATTTTTTGTTTTTAAAAGTGGTTGACACATGACAGAATGGTTTATGCAATATGGTGCATTTGGAGCCAAAACATTTTAATAAAAAATTACCACATCAACATCCTGTTTTCTGCTTTAATAGGGTAAAAGGGATTACTGTTTACACGTATTTAATTAATTACATATTTTATTTACCTTTCAAAAGACTAATACCTTAAAAAATAAACATTACAATGGGTGAAAGGGTTGGTTGGGGTGGTTAGGAGATTAGAATGCGGGATGGTTATGACCTTAGAAGGTCAAGAGTTCGATTCTTACTAAGGTCATCTAATTTTTTTTAAAAAAAATAATTAAATAAATAAACATTTCTCAAAAAAATATAACGAATATTTAGGAGACTTAATAAAATCATAAATACTCAAATGTGTATATTGATAAAACTCCACTACGTTAATAAAATCGTAAATACTCAAATGTGTATATTGATAAAACTCCAGTACGTTTGATAAAAACTTAAAGGTATCTCCTACACCACAATCCTATAATAACACTTCCTAAGTCACCATATATTTATCACATTTTGATTCAATTGTTATTTTTCTTTTTAAAAATTTTATTAACACCCTAGTCAACTATTGGATGAACACCAGGTGTCAAAATCTTATTAAGTGATGTAGGAAGTAGTGTAATATAATGGTATAAGAGATCTTTTGCCTTTTTTTTTTTTTTTTTTTTTTTTGCAGATGATTACCGTATTTCAATCTAGATGTTTAATTTAAAATTTTAATAATTGAAATAAAATGCTTAAGTAACCATTGTGTATTTTTTTTTCCTTTCATATTTGGCAACAGTGACTAATTTAAAATTTTAATAATTGAAATAAAATGCTTAAGTAACCATTGTGTATTTGGCAACAGTGACTAATTCCTGTCGCCGAATTGGTGTCCACCGTTGGTTCTATGCTCATGGAGAGGTTTGAACCCCCGGTATATTGTTAAGGATGGAAGAGTCCCTTCCACTCCACCACAACCACTTTAGTTAACCATTGTGTATTCAAAAATAAAAAATAAAAAATCATCCATAGCTGATAGGATACCAAAACAAAGTTAAGTCGTTCGTTTTTCTACTCCAGGCCCAATTACTATTATACTTTTAAGTTGGACAGATCCAACCCTTGGCCCGATAAATGTGTTAAAACACACTACTATTTACCACTTAAATTTGCCCACAAACGGCTCATTTCTTGTGCAGACATGCAACGGCAGAAAATAATTACAAGCAGCACCATAAATAATGATTCGTGCACTGATTTTACATTTTAACTTATTTTATCTCTTAAATATAAAACTCAATGGAAAAGAAAATATCATCCAAATAACTTTTTGATTTACATTTTAAATTCCAACTTGAAACACTTTTTGTTAGTGTAATGACCATTTTTGAAAAAGAAGTAGTTCAGTGATTAAATCTAATAAAGGAAAATTTTAGAGTGACGAATTTGCCAGGTTTCTGTTGTTTAGTAATTGTTTTTGGAAAATTTATTTTTTAAAGTGACTATAATTGACAATATTTAATTATTTAGTGATGATTCGTACTTGATATTTCAAAATGTAGTTGAAAATATTTTTTTCAAAACCAACATCCAAATAATTTTTTGCTCAAAATACCATCCAAATGATATTTTCATTTCTTATTTAGTTTTCAACTTGAAACACTTTCCACTTTTAAGTGACAAAATGAAATGTAAGATGACGTCCAAACAAGCGCGAAACTTTTGCTTAGACAAATTCATGGCAGCTAAAGCATCTATTGTTGTCTCCACTGCCAATCCAATTCTCCCGTTACGATTTCTGGCACAGAGTCGCTATGATCGTTCTGTTTACTAATTGCTGCACTTAAAAAATAAGAATACAAAAAGATTTTCACTTATTTCAGGATTTCAGGAACATTTTCTTTTACGAGACGAAAGAATACTACACACGGTGCGCATTTGATGATCTTCATTCTTCAAATTTTGAAAGGAATACTTACTTACGGACTAAGAAAGCGCCAAATCGATTCAAGTTTCATTTTTTTCTACAAAAAAAAAAAAAAAAACTTGAATATTCGATCTTCCTTTTTCTTCCTTTCCACTATCGTATTGTTTTGGTACGTTTGGATTGTTAATAATTACTGACTTCAATATGAGAAAAGAAAAAAGGTTACGAGCAAGCAATTTGTTTTCCCCCCACTTATTTCCGAACAGGAGGGAAAAAATAAAAAAATAAGGAAACAAAAAAGAATAGGAAAAAATGAGAAAAAGAGTGACAATGAAGTAAAACTTATTTTAAAAAAAAAAAAAAAAGAAAAAGAAAAAAAGGACAGAGACAGATGTCTTCGGCCTTCCTCCTTTTCCTGGACGACGTGGGTCAGAATGTCGGTCTCTCTTTCGTGCGTCTCTACATCGCCAACTTTGGTTTTTTGTAGCTGACAAAATCCACATTTCCATACGTAATTAATTACTGTGTTAACACTCAAAAAAAAGGGGGAACCACAGAAAACATAAAAACTAATGTTAATTTAAGCATTAGTACAGTGCTATTTCCTTGTAACAATCCGCATTAGCAGCGCGTGGTATTCCACATTCGGTCCGTGGCCGCCTTAATCATCATCACTAATTCAAACTGATACTGTATTAATAAAGAAAGAAAGCTCTACATAATCATCAAAGGAAAATTCACACCCTTTTCCAAAAATAAATTAATTTACATAAATATAACTACTAAGTTACAGCTAATGTCATTGGTAGGCCGGTACACTTCACTTAGTATAAATCCCACAAGTTATGTATGTAAGTTACATAATCTACGTTAGTGTAGTAGCATTATTGTAAGTAAGTATACTAAGTAGAGTATTTGTATTGTAGTTTTGACTATAACATTTTTCTTTAATTTCATTTCCTAATCAGACGGTACACATTCCGTCTCAACGGTAAAACAATTAGGCAAAGCGTATAAACAACGCACTACCCAAACAATCCACACATTTGCACTACCTTGACAATCGACTCCATTTCACCTTTTTTGTATTTATTTGGAAATGTGCTAATTGCAAAACATTCCCTTAACTATGCACTTACTCTAAACTGATCTTTTGATTTATAGAAATCAAAGTCTGCAGGGATAGTAGAAAGTAAGAATAGAGTTCACCCGTTTTAATTTATTTTAAATGAAACAAAATGAAGTAGTAATTTTCATCTTGAAATAATTATCGTTTTTATTATATTGTTCATAGTTAACGAATGGAACTTCCATGTTGAAACGGGAGAGTATTAGTATTTCGCAAGATAACAATGACTAGCTACTAGTGATTAATTGATGAGGTGTTTTTGCATTAGATTCATATAGGCGAGGGGTAATTTTACAATTATTATTTTTCTTAGAAATACTAAAACTTAAACGAGATTATAAATAAGTCCGAGTGAAATGACAAAGCCGTTCATGTTAAGTAGAGAGAGTGAAGTATCTTCTTCTATCTTTTCTATGAACTTTCTGTACCTAAAAAACAAAAACTAATACTACTACAAACTCCTTAAATTAATACTACTATTCCAGTATACATACAGTGTGATGAACTAAAAGCAAAGCAATCTCCTACAATTATCCTTATCCCTGTAGTTAAGAGTATAAAATTCTTCTTTTATCAATTTACTACTCTCATTTGATTGATTCACAGCATGTATAATAAATACACTTATTGTTGCTGTGCTTATTTTTCATAAATTACTCGTAACTCGCCGGTTAAGCTTTACGTGTCTTTTGGGAGGCGGTTTTTAGCATTTTCAGTGCCCGCCGGCAATGGCTGGCGCTTTTCTGATTCTAGCCTTGGCGTGCGCGTTCGTTTTCTTGGCAGTTAATAGTGGTGTCGACGGCGGCGGCGGCGGCGGCGGCGGATTTCCCCGCGGCGTGCTTACTTTAGAGAGAGCTTTTCCGTTGAACCAGAGAGTGAAGTTGGAGGAGCTTAAGGCTAGAGACCGAGCACGGCACGCTCGCATCTTGCAGAGCTTCTCCGGCGGCATAGTCGATTTCCCGGTGGCCGGAACATCCGATCCCTACCTCGTCGGGTAACTTTGCTGATTTATTTTTGTTTCTTTAACAATCTTTTTGTTCTTGAAAAGCTGAACAAGGAGACGCTGCTACGTTGCTGATTTTTGACAAAATGTTGCTGAAAGATTCTGTTCCATTTTCAAGATTTATGTCTTCTATGGAATTTTTATTATGACAGCGTTTAGATTGTTTCAGTTATATTGTCTTGATAGTATGCGCTTCAATTCTTAGCAACTGTGCTCCTGGCTTATTTAGCGAAACCTTGAAGTCTTTTTTCTTCATAATATAATTTCAGCGGAAGAACCTGAGCATTTCTGTATTTCGAATGTTACAATAGTATTCCGAATGCAAATTATATGTTTCCACTGTAATGCGTGACTTAGCTTCGTGATCTTGTTGGCTTGTCATTATCTTGAAACCATGTGTCCAGTACTATTAGATATGAGTGTCCAGGTTTTTCTTATGTCACCAATTTCTGATGTTCTTTGTTTATTTGCAGCCTGTACTTCACCAGAGTAAAACTTGGATCTCCACCAAAGGAATTTAATGTGCAAATTGATACTGGCAGTGATATCTTGTGGGTGTCGTGCGATTCCTGCAATGATTGTCCTCAATCAAGCGGACTTGGGGTAAGACTCTGCTCTAATTTTCATGTTACCATTTTAATTCCTCTAGCCGTTTGGAGGTGGTTGAGTTGCGATTTATATGGTACTCTTCCAATTTTACAGGTTGAACTCAATTTCTTCAGCACTGCTGGCTCATCAACATCTTCCTTGATTTCTTGTTCTGACTCAGTGTGTGCCTCCATAATTCAAACTGCATCTGCTCAATGTTCAGCTCAAAGCAATCAATGTGGTTATTCATTCCAATATGGAGATGGAAGTGGCACTTCTGGGATCTATGTCTCTGATTTGCTCTATTTCGACACAATTTTGGGCTCTTCATTGATTGAGAACTCATCTGCTCCTATTGTATTTGGGTAAGCTGGCCTTCATTCTATGCTTTACATATTTAAGATTATGAATTATGAATTATGTGCTTCACATAAAGTTCCTTGCGGAAGTAGTTTCTAACAAGTTGTTGATAGTTTTTTTGGTATAAGCTGGCAAGCACTTGTAACAACATCTCATTCATGAGTAATCTGGAGCCTGTATAGGTTATAGAAAGGTTGATTTCAGGTGTTTTTTTGGAATTAGTTTTACAGAGAATTTAAAAGAGCCGGATACCAAAGAAAATCATGACACAAATGATGGAATATGAATATTGAAATTTTTTAGGGAGCTTTGTTTCCCCCTTTTGGTTCGTTTAATCTCCACTTCTTCTGGATGATTTTGCTGACTTCTATTTTTTTTTTTTTTTGCCATGTCCATCTCTAGTTTCTTACTGCTTTGGACTCTTTGCTTTTCTCCTTTTTCCTACTTTCATTTGAGACAGCCTTCTAGGTGAAACTTTGCCTTCACTGGTTGATTTTTATGCTTGGTTCCACATGAAACAGGTGCAGTACTACTCTGTCTGGAGACTTGACTAAATCTGATAGAGCAATAGATGGAATATTTGGTTTTGGTCAGCAAGAACTTTCGGTTATATCACAATTATCATCTCGGGGAATTACTCCTAAAGTGTTCTCCCATTGTTTGAAAGGTGAAGAAAATGGTGGCGGGATACTTGTTCTTGGTGAGATTTTGGATCCGAGCATCGTTTATACTCCCCTTGTTCCGTCACAGTACGTACTTTGTTGGTCTACGGAGACACTTTTTTACATTTTCTTTTAACTAGAGTTGACTTGATATTCATGTCATTTTCATGCAAGATTTTTATGCCGCCAGTTCTAGGAAATATTTACTGTTTTAATGCTTTTCATCAGTTGTCTTTTGAGTGCTAGGCCAAAGTATTATTTTTACTTGATATATGATACGAAGCAATTTTTTTCAGGCCTCACTATAATTTATATCTACAGAGTATTGCTGTTAATGGGCAGTTATTGCCTATTGATTCAGCAGTATTTGCTACATCAGAAAACCGAGGAACGATTATTGATTCTGGAACCACTTTAGCATACCTTGTGGGAGAAGCTTATGATCCTTTTGTCAGTGCTGTAAGTGAACATTCTTTTGCTAATATCTTAGGGTTTGAATTCATGAACAACTTTCAAATAGGTGCATCTGATGTTCAAATGACCTGGATATCTAAGCTTCCTCGCCAAATTTAGGCTTGCCTCCTTCAGCCCTCAGAAAACTAAGGATATGAAGTGTCCTTGATCAGGAATTTGTTTTAGAAATCTTAGAGTTTAAGTCATTTAAAAGCTGCCTTGTTTTAATTCCATTTTGTTCGTGATGCTGGTAAAAGTATCTAGATTTCCGTGCTTCCTGCCATCTCTATGATTTTTCATCTCCGTGCTGTGGCCACAATCCTAGTTGAAATGTCACTGTCTATCTTAGTTGTCTTGAAATAACTACATATCATCAGGAGCACTACATTTAAAATTTCATTTTGTCCTGATTAACTTGTTATTTACATGAATCATCATTGTGAGTTTTTTGCATTGGATCAGTGCACGCTATGCAATAATAGTATAATACACGTTTGCAGCGCTCTGGTGATACTCATTTTAATTCCAGAGAATTTACAAACAATCTGTTACTGATTTTGGTTCATTTACTTGCTTTTCAGATAACAGCTGCTGTATCGCAATCTGCCAGACCAATCATTTCAAGAGGAAGCCAGTGCTATTTAGTATTTTCTGGGTACTGCAATCCATAACTAAATCATTGACATATTCCCATTTTCGTAAAGTTTTATCAAGCATGATTTTTGGGCTAAAGGAATCCCTATCTTCTGAACAGAATAAATGAAATTTTCCCTCCTGTTTCTTTAAACTTTGCCGGGGATGCATCCATGATATTAAGACCAGTCGACTATCTTGTACATATGGGGTTTCTGGTGAGTATGGTGATTTCTGCGCATTAACCTTTACACTGACCAAAACTTTCTTATAATGGATATTGCTATGTACTGTAATAGTTTTGTGTTACCAAATGTGTGATTAACCTATTAATAGTTGTTTTGGCTACATTTGCATTTGCTGAAATGAATGTGCCAATTCCTTCTTGCAGGAAGGTGCTACTATGTGGTGCATTGGCTTCTCTAGGGTAGATCAAGGGGTGTCAATTTTAGGAGGTACGTTTATGCAAGCAAGTTTCTCTGAGGTGCAAGCCGTATCTAAAAGTTATTTTTCTTCGTTCAGAAACTCTATCTAGTACTAGATCAGGTGTTTGCCTAAGCAGATAGTTCAGACATCTAAAAATGTAATGCAGCAACCTTTCTGGCAAATATAACAAACTCTGAGGCGCAAGCCATCTCTATAAAGTTAATTCATCATTCAGCAACTCTATACTAGATCAGGTGTTTGCTTAGGCAGATGCATCAACTTTTCGGGCAAATTTTAACAAATCTCTAATGTTTGCTAATGGTGCTTCAGTGCTGTTTTTGCTGATCCAAAACAGCCAAAATTCCCGTAGTTTTTGTCTTGAGGATCTAATGTTCTGGACCCGGTCTTGCTTCTTTGGTGATTATCCTAAAGATGGCATCTTGTGTTTTGCAGATCTTGTTCTAAAGGATAAGATATTTGTCTATGATTTAGCTCGCAAAAGGATTGGATGGGCAGAATATGACTGTAAGTTGGGTCAATTGATTCAATATTAATTCATTAAGGCTTGAACTTTGTTCTGTATGTCTCATCCGGATCGGCTATCATGTTGTATGTATTTCTTTCAGGTTCATTGTCTGTTAATGTCTCCATCACTTCTGGCAAGGATGAATTTGTAAATGCTGGACAACTGAGTGTTAGCAGTTCATCAAGAAGGGTACCCTTTAATATACTAACAGGCACCAATGCATTTTACCTGAAAATGTTAGTATTGGTTGGTTTCCTGTTTTTGTAGCACATATTATAGTTTTAGTTTTCCCTGTTATCTGGAAATAGGCTTAGCCAGTTTATAATATAGCAATTGGCAGCATTCTGGTAGTGTTATGATCTTTTAGAGTAGCAGCCATTCTTCATCCTTCTTTCTTGGCAGATATAGGTCTCCTCTCTAGTCTTGCAAATTTCAACAGAAATTTCATCCTCTATTTCCTAGTGTGTCCATCTAGAGGATTAAATCATTATAACATGTAAATTATCATCCCCACCAGCTCAGGTTGATTGATGGTCATAGGGAATCATTTTTTTCTTCTCTCCTCTAAGAGATAGTGAAACTGAGAATGTATATAACTTGAAAATTTTGGAGTTTTAGTTGGGGATTTTTGGGGTACCAAATACCCCATTTCTCTTAGAAAAATAGTCCTCTTTTTATTGTGCTATTTTATTAATACAAGAAAAATATAAAAATAAAACTATTTTTATGGAATGGAACCATGCATCATTCGGTATTATAATTTTGTGCTTCTTTGTTTACCTTGTCGATACAATTTTAAGCGAAAATCAATATGCATTATGTAGAATGGGGTTATATCATTTTTCCTTTAGTTCATAACGTCACATCCTATATTTCCTACCCACCATACATACGGAACTTCAATTTTACGGGCATAAATCGGAGTGTTTTGACTCCATGCACCTAAACGTATCAGTTGCCTCTTTATGTAAAGGATTGTTACGTAGTCAAACTCGGAGCTCTGGAAAATGCAGATAAATAACGACAATCATATTAGTATTTTGTCTCAGCATCTCTTCTGGAATGTACAACAAATAGGAAATGATGATATTCACTTCCAAAATATGTGAAACATACAACAGGTTAACATGCTACAAAGTCAAAATCAACTACATTACATATCCGTGTAGATCCTAACCTAAACAATCAAAAAGAAATATAAGCTTACAGCATTTGGGGAAAAAAAGAAATCTAAGAAAATAAATAGCTGAAAACAACCAACTACAGCTCTCATCTCCACTTCTCCTGCAACTCTTTTCTCTCAGACAAAATCCATGTAACGAAAATAGCCATTACTAGAGCAACAATAGTGAGCAGCAGCAGAGCATAACTGAAATCTTCAGTAAGAGAATCATAGGTTTTCGAGGGTGCAAGCCTTGTAAAAAAGAGGTCAACTCCATGAACAAAGACCAGAGTGGTGGATTCCAGTTTCGCAGGTATTGTCACTATGCCCCTAAGACCTTCCACTTTATAGGCATGTGTGACATAGGACTGCATGAATGACAAGAAGCTCAACTCAAAAGACGAAATCATGATCAACACTATAAGTTCACACAATCAGGGAAAACTAACAAGGTCTTCATTTCCACGGATAAATCCACCCACATGAAATGGACAATGGAAGTGAGCTACATATATAAGAAGAACTACAGTCTGGTAAACACATACATCTTTGAGGTAACAGGCAAAACTCTTTCACCCCCTTTCAATGATGTTGGCTATTTCAGGGTGGGGGGTAATTCAGATTAATGCAATAAAAGGGGTGCTGGTACTAGTAAATACAGTTGACAATCTAAAGGGAAATCATAATCAAGAAGCTAACAACAGTACAAGTAGACAAAGGAATGCTACCTGTGGAATTATTGGCAATGAATCAGTAAGCGGTATAATGCCTTCCTCTTTCTCAGCCTGTGTGGGGTTCAGTGTTCTCCGTGGATCCAAGAATCGCTTATCAAGGGCCAAAACCTACAACCAGTGCAATTATAATAGCAATGGTTAAACATCATTTACAAAATAATTTATCATCATTTGGTCATCATGGCATAGCAGTAGCCAAAACAAAGAGGATAGAAGTCATCAGATTGTTTCCTGAATTTGACCTGATCACTGATGGTGCCAATAAGAAGCTGTTTGGATGTGATGCCTTTAGCTGTGGATGTGGCAGCTATTGCCTTCACAGAGTGGGAGAAAAAGTAGGATTGCTGCTTGGTTACAACTTCAGGGCGGGAATAAGAAGAAATAGGCGATGTAAGATTGTGCTTTCCAAGGACCAATTTCAGAACATCTTTGTTATCCTGCATGAAAAGGCAAACTTAGAAATGAACAATGAAGAACGTACAATATTTATATAAAGTATGTTAACAGGAAAACGTACCGCTCTAGACTGATCATAAATTTCAATGACAGACATCTCATATCTGTGAGCTCTAAGGTTAAAGTAGTGGTAAACAACCCAGTTCTCACTAAAGACCTTCACATAGAGAAATGTCAAGTAAATAACAGAGACATCAGAAAGAAAAGTAAACTTTCTCGAGGGAAGTCAAAACAATATCAATGAAGGACAAGAATACATACAGCATGGACGGGCCCCTGCGAACCATGGTGAGTCATGCGGTGCAATATACGACCAGTAATGGTATCAACAAGATGAACAACAAGCTTTGACTCATCGGGGGTGACAGAACCAATACCTCCAACAGCTTTTGGAGTAGTAGTTGCAACAAATATCAAATTTTTTGATATATATTTATACATCACATCTTGATCTGCTACCACTTTTGCTTGAGTGTGAACTACCTAAAGATAAGTAAACCAAAAATGCGAAGGTTACCATCTGTATCACAACAATGTAATCTGAAAAGGATATTAGAACATACGGACGACTATCACAAAAAATTCACAATCTCTAAAAAATCATGCCTCATTACACCACATAAGTCATCTCTCCTTCCAGACTACCAGAGAAACAGACAAACAGGCATTCGAAATCCTAACAGACTAAATTGAAGTTGAAAGTAACACGAACTGTAGTTCTTCTTTTCCTATTACAAAAGAAAATCATATAAGGTAAAATACACCGACATAAAATTTTCAGAACATGGAATCGCTCACTCTGAATACCCGTTTACCAGAAAAGAATAATTCCAATAATCTACAATAAATTTTTTAAAGCCAAGATACTATAAGGAACAGAAAGTACCTCATTCAACCTCCGGTTTGTAGTCGCAATTATCTTTTCTGATTCTGGTGGGAATACTATTGACCATAAGTTTCTCGTGTCAAAACAATATTCATCTGAGACCTGAAGAACACAATTTCCCTTTGCTGCATGGCCCCGCAAAATTCCATTATCAGCTTCTACAGAATACCAATAAGTGTTTCCAAGCTCACGATGAAAAATAGTAAGAGCCTCGGTAGTTCTGGGGTATAAATGAGCTCGCCATTCAGTGTCCATGACTAGATGCAGACGCTGCTCTTTTGAGTCAGTGTATGGCAGTGGGATAATTTGAGCAATTGAGTGAAAAGGTCCAAGTGAACTAAGCTCCCTGCCAGTATAAGCATCGACAGTGGTGTACACGCCAGGGGCATCAAGAGTAGATCCACATCTACCAAAAACAACTATTGATGGGTTCTCATCTAGTGCATGATGATGAGGAACTTGCCATTGGAGCAAGTTAAGCACTCTCGGGGCTTTACATGTTTCTGACTCACGAAGGGAACTCAACAAGACTGACCAGACAATCCGTCCATCTCCTGTGTGCAGAGCGAAAAGTTTCCCAGCTCGAGTAAGTACTATGATCAATTTTCTGAAACCATTGTGGTCTCGAGTCATTTTATTCTTCTCAGAACTTTGCAGCCTGAGTTTTTGTATTGCTCCAATGTCATCGGGTGTAGCAAGCATAAGTGTTCCTTTAAGCTTCAGCAGATGCCCCTTCAAAAAGTAAGGCAGAAACACAAATTAGAGGGATATACAGAAGATAGTAAGAAGAAGCAGAAAGAGGTGAAGTTTATCAGATGCAACAACACATCCATTGTACGCCCAAGAAGCATGGTGCAACATATAAAACATACACTTTCTATTTCTTCAAGTGAACAGCAGGATAATGCATTTGCACATGTTTATTGTTAGTAACTAAAATCATGCAATAACAATCAAGCATATCACTGTATGTATCCCACATCCCACATATATCATTTAGGGAATCCAATCATCACTAAAGATTACTATGTCTAAGTATAATAACAAAAAATCACAAAATGCATGAAAAACTATGAATAATTCTTTATACCTTCAGCCATTCAAAAAGGCTGTGCTCCACTTTTGCAACAGACACACCATCCTTCTCTACTGGTAATTCTGAAGTTGTGACTTCGAGTATTGAAGCCAATCCATCTTCTCTACTCCAGACAATTTCCCCTTGTTGGAGTAGCAGCAGAGAATGGTCTTCCATGACAACCAATGCTCTGAATCCTGAAGATCTATCTGTTCGGATGTAATTGTTCAGAAAAAGCTTCTGCACTTTCCCTCGGTGACTGTCAATCCTAATGTTCTCCTTTATTAAACTACTACTCCAGTCACTGGAAAGCTTCACCGTAAGTTGAATATTACCATCTTCATGCTGCATTAGACCAATAGCTTGCTGCCCTTCGGAGAGTGGCAGAGAATCGCTCAAAACAGCAGTAACATCAACGTTATCAACTATGACAAACGAGCCTTTGTTCGTCACTTCCAAGAATACAACAGACTTCTTCGTTTTAACTGCAACCTTTTCCACAAGCTTATAAGGTAATATAGCAGCAACTCCAGAGAAATCCTGGACAAGGTCTGAAATTTGTGCTTGCTGGAAACTAATAACTCCATCGGAGAAGCGAATGGACACCAAACCCTCTCTAGAGGAATCAAGGGCCACAGCAGTGTCACTACTCAGGAATGAGATATCCCCACTAAAGCCACTAGGGAAAGCAAACTTATCATGCTTCAGCAGTTCCCCACTATTGACATTAACTTCAACAACTCCAAACTGAGTATCACTACTAAACCCTAGAACTTGAATTACGTTTCTTCCACGAGGATAAACTAACTGCCGAGCATCAAAGCTGCAATAAGACTAAAAGTGCTAAGTAACGGCGTCAAGAGCCATCAACAAAGAAAAAAACTAGCAGTCAACATGTTTATAAGTGTAAATTTTCATACCCTTCAGACACTAAGTCCCTTTTCCAGAATGGTTCACCGTCAACACTTGAAACAGCATAAAGAATCCCACTACTATACACAAGGATAAAGTCCTCCTTGCCAATTTTTAGATTTGTCTGCAAACCCACCAGGTTGTCAATACTATATTGATAAAATTATCCAATAGAAAGATTCAGCAGATAATGATTCAACAAAAAAGGTAATAGCAGCTCAGTTCAACCAACACCAGCAATGAGTATTTCTTTTTAAGATATTCATCAGAGGTTTCTAAAATTAAAAGCATTTATAGCAACATGAAGACACCATTCCAAGATGACTGAAGAATAGATACTCCGAGCAAGAGGGGAAAAAACAGACTATTAAAACAGCAGCGCTGAAATTTCAAACAGCTAAAATGTCATAACAGACAAGCAAAGATCACAAATAGGTACAAAATCTAAAATAATTTACAGAACGGAGCAGAACACATATTGAAAGAGGGAGACTGGGAAATGGGGGAAAAAATGGTCAGGTAAAGATGATTACTTACTGGGATGAATAGTATAGACTTTGAGGGCAAAGATCCCGGGAGAAACGATTCCCATACCATCTGCCCATCAGCAAGGTTCCAAGCCCTTGCAATTTTTCCATCAGATGACAGGGTAATGACATCTGAAATTTGACAATCGCTTAAAATTAGAAAACTGTTCACCTTTCACAACAAAATGCAAATATCAGAACTTTCATCCACACCAGAAACCTACTTAAGCAGAGAATTCCATGGTCCAAGAAAGACTAATAAACCCAATACATCCGATAAGAATAAGTATTATAGCTGCCTGTAATTGCCTCTTTCAAAATCTCTTATCTCATATAGCACCGAGGTTTGTTTTCATATGATAATCATCATAATGACAGAGTAAAACTTCAAAGATCATAGAACACGAAGGAGAATGTATATTCACAAATTGAAGGTAAAGAAGCTGTGTGACTAATTAAACAAATTACCGCAGGAGAACAGCAAAAGTAACTCTAGATTATAATTGCTCCAGAGAACTGGAAGATCAAAGCAGTATGAGGGGTGAATACCTCAAACTTTTAAGGTTAGAGAAATATATGCTAGTGGTATTAGAAGAAGATAACCAAAAGATTGTCGCAAAAGTAAAACTCCGCAGTGGTAAAGTTTCTTTATTAGCATCCAGAAATAGTACACCAAAGCTTACACTCAGTTGAGGAGACAATGCCAACTTCTACAACGGGAATTGCCGATATAGAATCATAAGGAAATAACAATAATCTCAGCAAGTTTTCAACAAGGGTTCACGTGAAGGATGCAACATCCAAGCAAGCAAACTCCTCAAAAATCAAACTATCACTTGAAAATTCTTTTTAGTGTAACATTGAAGCGATAATAGTAGTGAAAGCTAGAACATCCGGACAATAAACAATTGTGAAAATCCAAACATCCTTACACTTTCCAAGAGCAATGTCGATTTCATCGATGGAATCATTCGCCCCCAAAACATGCCTCCAAACTGCATCCGCAAATGACCAAAATCCCCAATTATGTCATGAATACTCGACCTTCTTCAAATTGAACTGAAATAACAAGTAACGAAGCAAATACTCACAAATCTCGCCGTGACGAAGATCGAGGGAAGCGATGACGTTCTCCTCGGTGGATACAACAACGCGCTTCCGCCCCGCCTTTTGAGTATGGAACACAGCGTGCTTCACTTTTCCTATGTACCGCTGATGCCTATCATCAGATAGCAGACAATGATTATCCCAAAAAAAAAAAAAGAAGGAAAAAGACCAACATTCAAATTCCACAGGAATTCGGAAAGGACAGTGAGGCTAACCAGTCCATGAGACCGACTTGGTCTTCGTAGAGAGATAAACCGAGGTATGAGCATGATAGTAGGAAGAAGAATAGAGCTAAAACCCTAGAGCTCATGGCCATGGCCATGGCGATTACCGTTGGTTCGTTGATCGTATTTCAGAGCAGAAAAAACAGATCTAATGAACTCTTTACACTTGTTTTTCTTGTTTTCTTCTTCTCTTCTACTGTATTTTACTGCCGGCTCCGCAATTTGTAAGACAATTGTGTATATCTTTTTCCCGCTGTAATGTAACTTTTTCTGCCTATATTACTTTGGGTAAAAAAGCACTGTAGGTTACGGGATAAAACTTAAAACAAAGAGGTACTACAGTATGATAGGATTTTTTTAACCAGAAGTTAATTTGACAAGTTTAGATTTTATTGGATCAACATCAACTCAGTAAGTTTTTCTTAAATCTCCGTCTAAAAAAATAATTCAATATGAAAAACTATTCTCATAAGTCCATTTTTATAAAATTTAATTTCTAATACGCACTCGATGTCCAAAATCATTACTTTAACGAATTCGGATTCAAGCCATGTAGGTACCTTTCAGGAGGCAAACTCTCCCAATAAGTATTTTAATCACTTGTTGCATGTTGATGCCCGAATTTCATAATTAACCTGCGCTAATACCTTTACCACTTGGACCAAGTGTAACTAAGAGAGTATTGTGTTAGCTAAACAAAACACAAAAGTTATGTTTACATTGTCACATAGCAAAACTGTAAAAGAGAATGACTCTTTACATTACAATATTACCTCGTAGTCTTTCACTCATCTTCTACTTTAGAGCAATGTTGTTCCAATGTGCGTCTGGAAAAATTTAATCTTTATCACATGATTATTTATATACATTTATTTCCCATTATATTTATCATTAACCACCTTAAACCGACTAATGTATCTTAGCTCTAGTTTTTAGTAATAATATCTTTAAATGCCTACTGAAATCATTCTTCACTGTAACGTTACACGCTATTCGGTCATTCCCTTTCATATAAACCGATGCATCCATCGTACTAGTAATTAACTTTCTTCTCATTTATATGCCATATTTCGGTAATTCAATCTCATTCCAACATTTTTGGTCCATATAAAATCGAACTAATCTCACCTTTACATATGCGCACTTGATCATATACAACTAGCATAGAAAAATTTATATGTATACTTAACACCCCAAAAGAAATCTATACATAAGCTAGTATTGTAGTTAATGATGTGCTTAGAAATCGAGAATACAGAATTAGCGATGATTAACGGAGAACACTATCCTGCAAGCAATAAATCAACAAAGCTTCCTTCTGGAATGGAATCAAACGAATCTAGTCTTAATCCCCAAGGTGACTGATCCTTCTTCCCTTCTGGATTTTAGGCCAATTAGTATATGCAATTTTAAATACAAAATCATTACAAAAATGGTTACTAATAGGCTTAAAACAGTCATTCCTGACCTCATTGATGCATCAAAATGGATTCGTCCTGGGACGAAATATTAGTGGGAACATACTCCTTGCTCATGAAGTCATATAGCATATCAAAAAGAAAGAAGGCGATACAGGTCTGATTGCTATTAAACTGGACATGAGTAAGGTCTATGATCGTGTTTCATGGACCTTCCTAGAAGGGGTGCTGGTTAAAGCTGGATTTCCTGCCAACATGATCACGTTAATCTCATAACAGTATCTTATTCCATTCAGCTTAATGGATAATCACTGCCATTTTTCACACCAAAACGAGGCCTTAAACAAGGTTGTCCCTTATCACCTTACCTTTTCATCCTCTGTCAACAGGTATCATCCTCAGCAATCAGGTTTGAAATTCATTCTTTTCGAGGACTAAGAGTTAAGATCAGCAGACATGCACCACAGATAAGTCATTTAATGTATGTGGATGATAGTTTATTCTCAATTGAGTGTACTGAGCCATCCATCCAAGCACTCTTAGGACTCATTGAGACATATGCTGCTTTCTCGAGACAGAAGATCAATTATCACAAGTCCTCCATTCTGCTAAGTGCAAATACAACTCCTACTATGAGAGATCTCATACATTCCACCACCCGGACCCCAGAAGGAAACTTCCACAATAAATATCTTGGGCTCTCTCTAGACTTTAAGGAAAAGAAATCTCTTATTTTTCGAGACTTCACCATAAGGCTTACTAACAAATTCATTGATTGGAAGACAAAACTCCTCTCCTTTGCTGGAAGAGTCACCCTGGCAAAATCTACTTTATTAGCTATGTTAGTTTACCTTATGGGAGTCTTCAAGCTTCTGGCATTCACACTGAAAAAAGCAGACATCATTATTGGCAACGTTATCTGAAAAGGGGATTCTCAATCTAGAGGCATTTACTGGAAATCATGGAAAAAAATCAGCAAATCCTTACTCCATAGTGGTATGGGGTTGAAAGCTACTAAAGAGTTTAACCAAGCTCTACTTGCTAAGCACGCCTGGAAGATTCTTTCTAAGCCGGAATCCCTATTATCCAGAATTTATCGAGTTAAATATTGTTCCACAAAATCCTTTCCTCCAAGCACACCACCAATGCTACATGGGGATACAAAAGTGTCCTTTGGGGAGCACGACTCTTGAAGGATCATATCAAATGGAAAGTAATCTCAGGGCAGGATATAAGCATAGGTGATGATTGGATTCCCAATCATCAAAATCCGATCCATCCAACTTCCTTCTTTGCAACTCTTCTAATTTAAGAGTGCACGATCTCATTAAACCTCATGGCCAATAGAAGATCACTTTCCTATGAACAGTCTTCCCGGATCATATTATACCACAGATTGCTGAAATCTTTGTGGATCCCCTGAGGTTTGCGGAAAAGGACAGAATCATTTGGTCCAATATAATCCATGACAAGTACACGGTCCAGTCAGGCTATCACACCTCACTCAATGGAGAGGTGTCATCCCAACCGCAAGTCAACCAACAGCAGTAGTGCCAAACAAAAGCTTGGAAATGCTTATGGAATTCCATAGTGCAACCAAACCATAAATACCTCTTTTGGAGAGCTGCCCTCAATGCTTTGCCAACAAAAGCAGTCCTTCAAAAACAAGGAGTTGAGGTGGATCTCATGTGTCCAAGATGTTTCACACAGGTGGAGGACAATACACATTTGTTTCTCACATGTCCAATTGGATTCAATCCTCTCCTACCAAAGAAAAAGTGGATTTGTTTCTCATCATTTGCCGAAGAATCTGGATAGAAAGCAATAATAAAATTTGGCGTCACAAAGTCATGGACCCAGTGATTTCTTGGAGGATTATCCAGGACGAGCTACATCAACACAAACACGCACTACAAGTGCTATCTTCCCATACAGCCCCCCATCATCAAGAAAATGCATCAACTGCACTCACTAGGGATCATGCTCAAATTCACTTTGACGGTTCTTTTCATCTCACAAACAGAAGGGCCGCGGAAGCATGGAAAATAATCTCTCCATCAGGAACACTATTATAAATCAAATCAGTACCAATTTCCGCCTTGTCAGCATGTCAGACAGAGGCCTTGACTTGTTTACTCACTCTCCAGGAGGCCTGGTCACTTGATTTGCAGAAGCTGGTCATGTACAAGTATTCATTACCACCAAGAGAATTTCGGATTTCCCCACGAAAACTCAAGAGGTAATGATTAGTTTAAGAAGTTTAATTTCACAGTTCCAATCGTATATTTTGTTGAAAGTTAGTAGGCAAGATATAAGTGATCTATATAAGTTAGCATGTGTAAAAAATGCAATGTAATAGCATAGTACCGTTATCATAATAAACAAGTACGTTCTAAAAAAAACCGGAGCTTATCAGCTAAGATGTCTTGCCCACGATGCGATTAGCAATGATTAATAATGAAGCTCAGCCAGATTGGGTTAGGGCTTATCTCATTGGGCTTCGTATATTAGGATAACATATCTAATTCCGAATTTTTATCTCAATTCATTTTTCACAAATTGTGGGGAGAAACTCTGGACTTCAAATTGATTGGGAGTTGGGATATAGAAGGTTTAATAGGAGAAACAGTCCAATGATAATAGAGTTAACCGGTGTTCATAGACAGGGAAATGATATTTGGCACAAGTCACTACACCAGCTTTATCGCCACTTTCTCTAAAGAAAAACACACATTCTCATATTCAAAAAAGAAAAATGTCTCCGCGAATTTATCTTTAACTTTTATCTCTACTTTTTTTTTCTCCTTAACCTTTTTTTAATCTCTACTTGCTTGGTATTCACTCAATAATTTAGATTTTGAAAATAGTTACTATCGCTATACTAATAACAAAAGATTAAGCAAGCTTAGCGTAAAATAGAGATCGATTAGTTGTGAAAGATATCATGATTTTTTCAGTAAAGATAGTCTTTATTATCTATTACAAAAATATTATTAAAAATCATTGCATTTTTCATGATAGTGTTGATATTTTGCTCTCAAACTCAAACTAAATACTACTAACAACAGATTTCATAAAGAACCAAAACTCGGCTGTAGGTAGTAAACTAGGTTCATTCAGCTGCCGTGCAAATATGCAATGACATCGTACACACTTTCATCAGCTTTTTTTACTGTAATGTATCCAATAAACCCGACATGGTAGTTTTTTGAACTACTCCACATTTTACGGGTTTTCCAATTTAATTTATATAATAAGTTATAAATAATGTACACACTGTATTTTGTAAAATAGTATAGTGACTATCACGATACAAATAAAAATACAAAATTCCTTTTACACTAGCAAGTTATTGGAACTGTGATTCGGTCATTTTTCAGTCTCTTATTTCACTACCGCTCTCATGATTTCATCATCATATTCAAAATTATAATGAAATATAAGTGCACTGAAAATATTTGAAAAAATAATACACCATCATAAAGCGTGATGAGTGCCATCTGTTACCAAACAAATTTCAGGGTCCCATCTCTATTTATTAATGAAGAATTTCTTCCGTTTCGGATCAAATAAGGAAAAACACTTTTAATGTAGGTTCCCCGAATCAGATTGACAAAATCCGGGTGCTTGTTTCGTTGAAAATGGCCCTCTTTTAATGAAACTGCAATTTTGCTGCAACAGCCCACCTGCCTAAGGCTTCTTCATACGCTTGCTTACAGTAGTGCCTTTATGAGGCAGCTCCGATAATTCTCAAAAAGCCAAATCCAGTGATTTATTGCAAAACAACCTCATTTAGTATATGTGGTGAAAAACAAAAATTCGAATTAAATATTCTTCTCATTTCTGTTTTTAATTTTATTAATTGTAAATGTAGGAGGCTAAAATATGCATTGAATTGCCACTCACTTCTTCTTCTTTTTAACGACATTTGTACGATGTTAGTTTAACACTGTACGTAAAAATGTCAGTAAAATTCGACGTCATTTTTTATATTATCATTCGTTGAATTGTGTATATGTTTATATTTAGTATGTACTACTAATTTAATAAATTTGTTATTTTGGGGTGGGGGGGGGGGTTGGTTTATAAATGGTGATGATTTAATGATAAGATTAATTAAAATGGTGTGGGAAAAAAAAAAAGAAAAAGAAGAAAGGGGCAGGAGAGTTAAGAGTGTTGTGGTACAATAAGGTCCGATAAACAGGGCGAGGGATGTGGTTAAGGTCTGGTTAGGAAGTAAGTAGTAGACTTGTGTTAAGTGTGTGAGCCCACCTTTTGAGCTTTGAAGCAGTCTTTGACAAGTTTAGGTCCACTCCACTTTTCACTTACCCGTTTTCTCTCTCTTTCTTTTGTTTTAAGCGCTGCCTTCTTCCATTCTGTATTTCCCCAGTTTAACCACTCGCAACCTAGGAGCGTGAACATTACGAGCACACCAGAAAAAAGGGGAAAAAAAAACTAAAAACAAAAGTATACATGTAGGCACAAAATAAGCAAACAATTTTGATTCAATTATAAACGTGAACTTTTTATTGTTATGAAATTTTTTGTCGGACCGGATCATGATTCATATGAATATTCTAGAACATGTGATTATTTGGGAGACTTGGTAAGGGTCAACGGTAAATTATACTTGTTCTAACAAAATCTATCAAATGCTATTATTACATGTGATTTACTATTACTGGCTAACTATATTGCATATTACCATGAAACAATTTTTTGTTGGTACTATCGTTGATTATAAATGGGAAAATCAAGCACCCATTATTGTGCATAATAAACTTAAAAAATTCCAGTAAAAGTTTGTTACTAACATGTATAATATAGAGTGTCATCTATTATAATTAAAGTCATTTAGTGGTAATTATGATACTATGTTATACTCTTCCTAATCCAACAGGTTAAAATTATTTGTCATCAACAGACTATAGTGTAAGATGATTCAATTCATGGTAAGTGTAACACACAATCACATTTAAATTAGTTAATTTTTTTTAACAGCTATTTCGAGTTTAATGATATAGTGATATACTAATATTTCCCCAAATTTTAGTAACAATATTTGTTGAGGATCTAAGCCATTTATTTTAATTTAATTCTACAACCAATTGCCATTATGTTATAGGAGAAAGTATGGCAAACTTATATTTTATACTCAATATCTAGCACCGATTAAACGAACAAACTTTGATAGCTTTAATGTGGACTAGACAATTTCTCTCCCCGACCAAAAAGTGCCAAGCAATGCCGTTTATAATCTTAGATGTAAAACATTTGTAAAAATTATATGAAGAAGAAAATTAGTAAAACTGTTATTAGTATCATCATACAAAAAAATGTTATAGATTCAATCATCAACTACTGTATTTTGATTTGAATACTAATAACAATACAATATGAATCCTCTACATAATAGATAAAAATATTTCAATTTCAGAAGATTTAACTCATTAATTTTTTTTTAAAAAAGTTTTATAATAAAGGAGTTATCAAATGTGCAAAATCAGTAATAATGCTCAATAAAAGATCTTTTGTAATAATATATATAGGTCATATTGTGAAAATACCCTAAAAGTAAATTTTTATTTTTTTTTAACCTATAGGAAAATATCCAAACAGCTTCCTTACACGATGTCGGAATTATATAAACGGTACAAAAAAAATAACACTATGTTAGAGATTTGGGGAGAAAGTAGTATGGAGGTTGGTAGGTTAAATGAACCGCAACCAGAGAGGAACCAAACCCGAAACCGCAAAACTTTTCGGAGGTGTGAAAAAAGTCAAACCCCATTCAGATGAGCAAGTCCAACCGACGTGCCTGTGTTGGTGCGTGGTAAGAAAGGGTGGCCTCTTTTCAGTTCACACGCACACATACACACACAGTGGGACAGAGTATCCACCTAGTTAAACACAAATACTAATACTCATAATACTCCCCGCGTCCATGCAAAATTCCCCCAAAATTTGTTCCCTTCTCTGATCTCTCTCTCTCTCACACAGTCACACACTCAAAATCCCCTGTCACACTGACTCGCCGTCTTGTCCCGGCCCGACCAAATCATCATCGGCATTTGTCCGTTTGGGGTGCGAACCCAAATATCCCTTTAGCGAGTCTGAACCCCCCGCCCACCCGCAATCCTTTCACTAAACATCCCAAATCGTAATGGTTTCTTTCCCTCCTTAAATGGAAAAAAATCCAACACAATCCAGGCAACCTAACTATATAATCTCCCTCATTCTCACTGCATCGCTCCACATTTGATCCCCCCTCTTTTTTTCTGGCAAAATCTGATTCACCCTCTTTCTCTATTCTCATCACCGCTGTCTGTCTGTTTGTCTGTGGTTCGTCGTTCTTTTTATTTCCTTTGATCGATTTTTGTAAAACCCAGAGAGAGAAAACCAAAAAAAAAAAAAAAGAGAGAGAGAAGAGAGAATGGCGGTGGCTCTACCAACGGTGCAGTCGAACGCGTCGCTGTATGTGGGGGACCTGCATCCGGACATCAGGGAGGCGGAGCTGGTCAGTGCTTTCATGGAATTCAAGACGCTGACGTCAGTCCGGGTCTGCCGTGACTCCACCACTGGCCGTTCCCTCTGTTATGGCTACGTCAACTTTCTCTCCCCCCAGGACGGTAATTTTCTTTTTACTGTTTCATTCACTCGTTATGATGATGATGATGATGTTAATTAAATCACGTGCATGCATGTTTCAATTGATATTCCACTGCTGATCCATGGTGATTCAATTGATGATGATCAGTGTGTGTGGTTTTGTGTGTGATTTGGGTTGATTCCCGATCAACCGGATTTGATTGGATTTGTTTTTGATCTTTTGTGATTCATTGATTAGATTTGCTGGTTGATTACTGACTGTGTCTTTCAACTTTTTTTTTTTGTATCTTTCTGCCGCGTGTATCAGAAAGATCTGAGATGTAATTGAATCTTGTCTGTGTGTACTCGTGTGTTTAAAGACCATAAAATGGGTGGACTGGGAATCCCCAATTAATCATCTCTGTGGTTGATATCAATTGGTGGGTTTTCTTCTTGTTGCTTTTTAATTTTATTAATATAATAATCAATTTAATGATGGGATTACTTAAATCTGTCTGGTGGATTGTATTTCGGCGAGAGCCTTTCTGAGGTTAACTCAACAGATTCTGTCATTGGTGTTTTCATCGTTAGATACTCTGTCGGGCTATCTATCAAAGCAAAAAAGTATCACTACTTGTGATAGTCCATTCATTTTTATGTGTCTGTTACTGTTGATCATTTCATTCGGTTATGATTGCTTGATGTGGCTGTTTTCGTATGTGCATGGTTTTGTTTAGTCATGACTGTTACTTGTGAATGTCCCTCACCAATTATTTTCATGATCTTCCTTATCACTGCAGCATTCACTGTTATTATGTATCATTAATAATTTGTGAATGGTGATGTTTATTATTGTAGTGATCTGGTACTCTGATAATGAAGTCATTCTTTTCTGTCAGGATACGTTCGCTTGTCAAAATAATAACCTAGCTGTTCATGCTGCAGTAAGATTGTTGGTTGACCTAGTATCTGTGTGCTTAGGGTTTTGTATTTGGCTTTTCTGTCATAGTGCTTTGATTTGTAAAATTCTGTCACTGTTAATGTTGTATTACAGTGATATGTTCTCGTTTGTAGCCTTTCTTTTAAAATATGTCCTTTATTGTTTTCATCATTTATTAGTGCTTCAGTTCTGTTTTTTGCTCACTCTTTCTTGTGTGATTCTGTTTTCCTTTCTCATATGTTTGAAAATTGGCAGCTATTCATGCAATTGGGGCAAAGAATCATTCCAAACTGAATGGAAAACCCATAAGGGTTATGTGGTCGCGTAGGGATCCAGAGACTAGAAAGAGCGGGGTTGGGAATGTTTTCGTGAAGGTACATATATCAACTTTTCTCGTTCTTTTTTTCCTAATTGCATTTTGTGTATCTGGCTACATCAGTACTCGGTATTTTTTTTTTTTTTTTTTGGTTTCAGAATTTGGCTGACGCTATTGACAATGCTAAGCTTGAAGAAACATTCAATGCATTTGGAAACATATTGTCCTGTAAAGTTGCAACATATGATGATGGGAAGAGCAAAGGATATGGCTTCGTTCAATTTGATACTGAGGAGTCTGCAAACTCAGCCATTGAGAAGCTTAATGGCTTTGCAGTTGAAGGGAAAGAATTGTAAGAGTCATCTTACTTACTTACTGTTGTACTTTAATGTGATACTACCAGAAGTTTTTGCATATGAACGTGTCCGCAAACACACTCACCCTTGATGTAAGTTTATTCAATACTTAACAATGTCCACCATTTATTCAATGTTTAACCATTGCAGGTTCGTAGGAAAGTTTATGAAAAAGGGTGACAGAGTCCAAAATAGTCCGAGTGTGAAATACACAAATCTGTACATGAAGAATTTGGATCCTGAGGTGACGGAAGCAAACCTAAATGAGAAGTTCTCTGAGTTTGGCAAAATTCTGAGCCTGGTCATCTCAAAGGATGACAATGGTGCATCCAGAGGCTTTGGATTTGTGAATTTTGAGAATCCAGAAGATGCTAGGCGAGCGATGGAAGCCATGAATGGATCACAACTTGGTAGGTTCCGTGTTGTCAGTGATTGTATTTCTTAACTTGAAAGCTGTTGGAGCTGTAAATATTATATAAAATGACAGTAACTGTTAGATATTAAACTAATTTCTGAAAATGGCCGATGCATTGATTAGGCTCAAAGGTACTGTATGTTTCCAAGGCACAGAAGAAAGTAGAGCGTGCAGAATTTCTGCGCCGTCAATTTGAGGAGAGGAGGAAGGAGCGAATGTTGAAGTACCAGGTTGCCTTGCTGAATTGTTACTCGTGTCTTCAAGGCTATTTTATAAGTAGCAAATTTTCCCATCATCACTGGTTATACATTTTCTTTTCAGGATTCAAATGTGTACGTGAAGAATATTGACGACACTGTCACAGAGGAACAGTTGCGTGAATACTTTAGCTCCTGTGGTTCAATAACATCAGCAAAACTTATGAAAGATGACAAAGGAATTAATAAAGGTTTTGGATTTGTTTGCTTCTCTTCTCCTGAGGAGGCCGTTACAGCTGTAAACACCTGTCATGGTGAGTATCTAGTATTCATGTTCTTTGCCTTTTTGATGTCTTTTTGTGCTTAGGCATGAATTGGCATTCGATTTGTATTCTAATTTTCCTTTCGAGTTCAACGTGTCCAATATTATCATCAGTGTGAAGGGAATGCAATTATGGTAAATGATCATTATTACTTTTAAATTACCAGTGGATCAACTGTTGAATCTATCTACTATTCTGAAGTGCTTTTTTTCTTTACTTTTAGATCGTGGTATTTAATGAGAACAAGGTACATTTTCTAAAATGTAGAGAGTTTGTGCATGGGTTGACTGTGGCTTCATACTTAATCTCAGTCTGTTGTGGAGATTGTAATTCTTACCTCTTCATACATTAAGTAGTTACCACATGTCCGCCTTGAAGTCAATTCTAAGGGTGATTAATTACAAACTGACCTTTTTTTTTCTCCTTAAAAACAACTTGATGTATTACAGGAATGATGTTCCATGGAAAGCCATTGTATGTCGCCATCGCCCAAAGAAAGGATGAGAGGCAGGCTCAATTACATATACAGTATGCACAGATAGCCGGATATGCAGGCACTTCAGGTGTTATCCCTGGCGGATACCAACCTATGTACTATACTGCTCCTGCTGTTGTTCCATCACTATCTGCGCGACATGGTATGATGTATCAGCCTATGGGAATGAGGCCAGGATGGAGGCCAAATGACTTCACAAATGCAAACAGAGCCGCTTTTCAGCAATCTCCCGTTCCCTTGGTTAGTTTGCTTGACTCACGTGCCCAATAGTGACAATTCATTTTCTCTCCAGTGATAATTTTACTCACTTGTTTAAAGGCTGGTAACTGGCAAATTTTTTTATTACATGAATCAAGTGTGCTGGAATCAAATGCATTTTGTGCTGAGGTTTTACGCTATATATAACTTAGTAGTCGATTGTATTTGCTAACATCATTGTTCCAGGTTCCTAATGCTCCAAGACACCACAGGCAGAATAGGGGAAGACAGGGTGGGCATGTGGTTCCATCGAACGGAGGTCCAGCTATCTCACATGCACCACACACACAACAGGCAAGTGAATCAACTCCATCAAAAGAATTGGGCGATCAGCAGGTCTGCTGTTGTTTCGCCGTCATTTATATCATGTTATGCTTCTTTCAAGTTGTCAAAAGACATCTTGTACTGTTAAATGCATTGTGAAATCATTCACGTTTGCTGATGCCTAGAATTTTTATTCCCACTGTAAGTCCAAATTTTGCTCATAAACGAGCAAATAAAAAAAGAAAATCCTCAAATGAATTCGCACATATAGGGCATTTATTGGTTGAATATTTGGTCGCATTCATACTGGTGCTTTTTATGTTGGCCATTTTTAATAGCATGTGTGGTAAACATGTTAGAGAATGACTCAACAACGCCACAAATTCTCAACAAAGCTAAACTTTCATTAAATTGCTTACACAAGTTCATTGTGTCATAGTGACATAATATTGAAAATCTTGACCTGTATTTGCAGCGTGGTAAGTTCAACAATAATGGTCGTGGCCGAGACATGAACAGAGCATCTACTGCAGCCGCAGCTACTGTAGCAACTGCAACTGCAGCATCTGCAACTCAACCTGTACCTGCTGTACCTGTGGTTGCTGCACCTGTGCAAGAGGGGTCAGAAATGCTGAGTAGCATGCTTGCGGCAGCATCTCCTGAGAATCAGAAACAAATGCTAGGGGAGCGTCTTTTCCCTCTGGTCAGCCAGCAGCAGGTGAAGTTTCGTTCTTTGATGTATTGTTTTGTCATGATACTCATACGGCCGTTATAGTGTAATTGTTTTGATAGTACTGGAATGTTTTGATTAATCATTTCTTTGAATTTATCATTGCAGCCTGATCTTGCTGCAAAGGTTACGGGTATGCTTCTTGAGATGGATAACTCTGAGCTGCTTCTTTTACTGGAATCACCGGAAGCCCTGGCTGCCAAGGTGGATGAAGCTGTAGAAGTGTTGAAGGTGTCAAAGCCAAAAGTATCAAGCAGCAGCCAAGAAGCACTTCAGCCTAGTTTCCTTTCAGCTGGTGTTGCTGTCAACTGAAGATTGCTTAACTAGGATGGTAATGTGGAGAAGTTTGACAGCTTCTGAATTCCGGATCTCTGACCTCTTGAAGATTTTGATAGTTTTCATTTTACAGACCTTTTAAGTTTAAACTCATTTTTTTCTTTTCCTTGAAACTGTAGGGTTTTTTTTTTATTATTATTTCTTTTTCTTTCTTTTCTCCCTTTTTTAGCCAAAAAAAAAAAAGAGAGAGAGAGTGGGGGAGAAAGAGAAACAAGGTAGCTTAACTGATGATTTAAGCTTAAACGGTGCTGTGAAACAGATGGGATTTGGATTTTAATGGTTAATCTAGAGTAGTTAGAGACCTAAATGGTGGTGCGCCTCCAATTTGCTTTAGATTTGTGATTTGAGTTTTTTGTTTTTTTTTTTTGTTTTTATTGCCAAGAAGATGGTTGATGGACCGTCATTGTCTTGGATCTGTGGTATACATCCTGGAGTTTTATTTAGTAGATTGATGATTAACAGAGAGATGCCTCAACAGAGGTGAAGAATCTCTGGAGCCAAAGGCCCGTTAAGGTCCAAAAGTGGCATGGAGTTGCATACTGTTTAGCAGAAAAAAGAAAGAATCTCTGTGATATGACAAGATTCTTGTTAGAAATTGGAGAAATCCTTATAGATAGAAACTGATCTTATGATCCTGCAGGTCAGGTACAGGAGAAAATATATACCTATTTTGGTCTGACTTTTGGCATCCAGGAAGTGCAAAAGCTTCTTGTCATAGTTTCCAGTATACTATTAGCTAAAGGACTCTAGGCAGAAACTAGTGTGGTGTAGGAGCCTAGTTCCCATTGCATTTCAGGATTTAGATAGGCTAACATGTTAGGAAAACAGTAGCGTTGGAGCATAGCGAGTGTGAAATATCGAGTTCTGATAATTTAGAGCCGAGGCTAATTAATGCGTATGAAACTTAGGGCATGCAAAGGACAGAATGAAGGCCGCATAGCATAATTGTGATCGAGAGACTCTGTTGCTATGAAAAGTGAACGGTATAGTGTATAGTAAGATTTTGTCTAGTTCTTTTCATTTAGCATGACATCGCAGTGAATCATATATACAAGCAACAAGCCAAAAACGAAAAAAGGATGAAGAACTTGATGCTATTGCACCATTCCCTTTATTACATGACAGACTAGATATTCCGTTGTAAGAAGATCAGTAATGGTTGTCTAATCATATCCTGCTATCCTAGGTAGGGTAACATAACATGGGACGAATAGAATCTGAGAAAGCTGATAATGACAATCCATTTCAGTATGCATATTATGAAAGGAGCAATCAGGATATTCTCAATTAGACCAAGAAAATAAACATGATCTGAATATATTAGGAAAAAAAAAACAATTAAAATGAAAGTGAAAGTGGGAGTGAAATGATAAAATGGTAATTATATTACAGGTGAAAATCCATATCCAGAAGCTTCAATACTTTCTACTTAGAACAAAGTACGTAAATAGAGCATCTTATCTCAACCTTTTGCATTCCCTTTTTCATCCCACTACCACCCATATCCTGCACTTATTCATTGCAATCTTGGATATTCAGAAAGTTCATATTCCGATACTCAATTGCATATCATGGCAAAGATACACTAAAGTGAACTTAGTTCGACACTAAACAGTACCAGTCTCCTGCGACACTTTTTTTGTGTTACACATCCTGTAATAATAAGTGCTACAATATCATTTGGCTTATTCTTGTTTTATCATTTGAGTAATACACTTAAGTTCTTGAACGACATCAGTCATGCTCGGCCTTTCTCCTTTAGTCTCTCTTAAACAGGCAAGAGCAAGCTCGGAAAATGTCTTAACACTAGACATTACTTCGGCTGAAGGTTCATCTCCGAGCAATGCCTTGTCCACCACTTCCATGACTAAACCTTGGCTGGCTTTCTGACTCACGTAAACAGCCAGGTTTACGTCGTCATATTCTCGCGAAAAATCAATAGCCTTCTGGGAAGTAAGAAGTTCAAGGAGCACAACTCCGAAACTGTAGACATCGCTTTTTTCAGTTAGCTGGTAATTGCGGTAATACTCAGGGTCCAAGTACCCTACAGTTCCTTGGGCACAAGTGGATACATGACTTAATCCTGGGGAAGCCAGCCTAGATAGGCCGAAATCTGAAACTTTTGCGTTATGATCATCATCTAAGAGAATGTTGTTCGACTTGACATCTCGATGATAGATTGGAGTATGTGCAGCTGAGTGCAGATAGGCCAATGCTTCTGCTGTTTGTAAAGCAATTCTTAACCTTGTTTTCCAGTCAAGAGAAGTGGCATACTTATTACCATGCAGATGGTCATGCAGAGTTCCATTGGAAATGTACTCATAGATCATCAATGGCTGCTCAGCTTCAACACAATAACCCAAAAGCTTTACCAAGTTCTTATGATTGACTTGAGAAAGTATGCTTAATTCATTGAGTACTTGCTCAGTGCTTTTAACGTTTCCCACCTTGGCAGATTTGATTGCCACAACAGTTCCATCTTGCAGTTCACCTTTATAGACTTCACCAAAACCACCACTTCCCAAGATCCTGTTTTTGGAAAATCCATTGGTGGCTTTCTTCAGTTCTTTGATACTGAAAAGCCTTGCTGTTTTAACACCGCCATTCTCACATTTCAGCATCTGCTCCCTTTCTTTTGCAAGCTTTGTCTTCCCAGAGAGTCTCCCACAATTTCTGAAAGTGATTACAGGTAATATCACACAGAAAACAAAAACTGCAGCCACTCCAAGGGAAACTTTCAGGGCAAGGCTGAATTTTGAAGCTGACTTCTTCTTTTCCATCAAGCAACTTCCTGAAGTGTGGTCCCAGTAATAGCTTTTGTTGCAGAAACAACGAGAAATGCCTGGTTTACCGGCAGGTGAACACGTCGAATGAGTTGCACAGTCATTTTGGACTTTGCAGGGAGGTTCTGGTGGAGGAGCCCATTGTAACTCAAGACCTTCCTCCCATAGACTAGCAGGTTTTTCAGCATCCAAGTGAAGGACACTTCTGAATGCCTGGCAACCTGAAGCATGCAACCTTATCTTGTAGGCTGATGGCGTGCCGCCAGCAACAAAGGTGCAGCATGGATTGAGCGCACTTGCACACTTGGGTGCTCGTACTTTGTCGACATGCCCAGAGCTATCTAGATACCTGTGGCAAAGGCTAGCTGGAGTGCAATTGAGAGGAGACACAAATAGACGAGGTGAACAATCAAAAAGGAAGATTGTGTTAGAATTAGTTATGTTAAATGGAAGTGTCTGATTCAACCAGAGCCCCTCACTCTTTTGCATGTCTTGAGTGATGCATGTGCCTGGAACCCACGCTGATGGTCGTATAACCATACGTTGTGACGAAGCCATGATGCTAGCGACAAGGTAAGAGCTCCCGTTCAGGGCATCAAAGTAGAGCTTTTTAGAGTTTGAGTCACAGCGTATGTGATAATCTGGATCCCCACAACTGGGATTGCTGCTCAATGGATATGGAACTTCCACGGAGCCACACCTAGGGCAGGTCTTTTGGGAAGTAGAGCATTGGAAGATGAGTGAAAACAGAATAGAGACATATACTCTGGTGAAGTAGTATTTAGTCATTGTAATTTTGCAGGGAAAGAGAAGAACATGATACAAAGAGGACAGTGAGATGGGGTAAATAAGGGCAACTGGGCAAGAGAAGAAAAAAAGGACAGTGAATATGTAAAGTGGATGCTGGGATCTATCTCAACATCTGTGTGGATGACTTTGACAAAATTGGTGATAGGATTAGTAAATGATGCTGCCTCAGGAATTCTCGTTAAAATTAGTAAGAGCATTTCTAGAAAGCAAACATAATGTTGCAGGTCAATGGATCCTAGTGATCTTTTTTGGGCCTCATTTTCAAATTTAGAAAGGAACAATTAAGCATAAGCAGGAATTAGAAAGCTATCAAACCATGACAGTCATTGTTGAAAAAGAAAGTTTCAAAAAGCAGTTATGCACTTACAGGTGAAGCATTGACATTTTCAATAAATTAACATAATTGCAACAGCAGATAAAGTATATAATTGTCCTTAGTTCTTAATACAACCTTTGATGATACCTCATAATTCCCTACATACGCTGATGAAATGCAGAAGATGCACATGGATCCCCTTGAAAGATGGACACGTTCAATGCAAACCAAGTGATCATCACATAACCACAGTGATTAACAATTACTAGTGCAGGGGGAGTGCGAAAATTATGAACAAAATAGGCAAATATTCATACATCAAAATGCTGGTGGGGCTTTATAGTTAATGTTCTTAAAGCCACTTCTTTTCCAAATATTCTTCACGTAAAGCTATGGTGATGGCTTCGGCAAGTGTCACGTAGGCACTTCGGTTTTAAACTTTTTCTCTATAAAAAAGTAGATACAGGCAGTGGGAGTTCCGCGAATTCGGATCTCAGTTGAGAAAAGAACTGGACAGTGTAAATAATACTTACAAGTTACATACTCATGAACAGTCTGATAGAATTTGACTAGCACTGAATTTACCAGTGGATGATAAATATTCAGCTGTAGTTTGTAGGAAAAGAAGAAACAAGTCCCTTTCATGCAACAGCTGTGTGGATTTATAATCTTGATCACATGGCACATGGGCATCAAACTAGCGCATTAAAACTATCCTTCAATAACTTTAACAGGAGATCTGCATCATTCAAGCAGTCATTTTTTAAGTAAAATTGTGATATATGTTGGAAAAAACCAGAAGTGCAATGCTGAGATCATTAAATAACATACCCGAAAGGGCTCTGTTTGATCGACAACAACTCAACATCTAGCTGCAGTTCAATAATACAATATAGTAGTTAGATATAGCCATATAGGTAGCAGAAACACAGCAAAAGAAAGATTCAAAACATTCTGAAATGTATCGTCGAAAGCTTTGGCAGGTTAAATTCACTTTGCACGTAAATTCCATCAAAGGTGGGAAACGGAAACTTGATGTTACATCAGAGGCATTGATTACCTTTCTATTTTAACAAGTGTTGGGGCTTACAACTCTAATAATAAACTATTACCATGTTATTCAGAAAAGTGATTCACAAATACCTCAATCGTTGCATTTGGAGGAATTTCCTGGACACCTTTGCTTCCATAAGCTAGCTCAGGAGGAACAATCAACAACCGCTGCAAGAGATAATGAATGTAAGAATTATATTCTAGAACTAACGTCTAAGGCATACTATTGAAAGTAAGGAGTTCCATTATATATATATATGAAGACAAGATAAGAATAGCGAGTTTTGTTTTGTGAAATTGAAGTTCTATCAACATACCCATTCAAATTTTAGAAATTAGGATACAGAAGGTCTGCTTTTATGTCTAACCTGGCCTCCCACTCTCATGCCTTGGACACCAAGGTCTAATCCCTTCAAAACAGATCCTCTCTCCGATTGACCAACATCAAATCCATAAGGCTGCATGAATTGTAAAACAAACGCATGTAGAAAGAGAGATTGTTTTTTCTTAATATGTCCAAAAAGTAGCTCTACATAAGGGTACATAACTTTGATTCATCATAAACTAGTTGTTCGAAATGTTAGTTTTAAGGCTTAAAACTCGGAAAATCCAAGTTTTAAATTATAATCTGAGAAGTTGTCTACGATTACAGAAACACTATAAATGTTAAGGAGAGAACAGCATTGATAACTATTCACCTTTCAGTCTTACCGTTCCTCCACCGACACCAAGACCTTGTCTGCTAGTCATGAATGTGACACCCCTCCACTTAGCAACATAGTGGATCTAGATTATTCAGTTTGAGGGAGCAGTTAAATGAGAGTTTAAACAAGAGAAATTCAAGGATTTCCAAGCAAAAGTATAATGGCAACACTAAAATGTAACAGTAGGCATACAGAAGAAACCTCATATCGAAACACTATTGGTTAATCATAATTGTTCATAAATTTGATTTAAAATTCTCTATTCGCATAGATTGGAAATTGAAACTGGGATGTTTGGAAGAAGAAGGGAAAAAAAAAAGTTTAACTGAGACACAACCGTACTGCAACCCGAGATCCCTTTACAGCCTCAGCTCCACTTCCAACCTTTATATCATAGTATCTGAATGAAATCCACCGAAGTTGAAATCAAATTTTTTGCTCGACTAAAGAATTGATAATTAGAAAATTTAAACCAGCACAAATGTGTAACTAAGAATGGCAGCTTTTAGAATAATTAGCAACAAACTAATGCATAAGAATGGTACCAACTTTAGACCATTGGGCAAGGTTGTATATTCACTCTCGGGTATTTTCGCTCCTTTAAGCTGCACCAAGTGAATAACAACAAGTATTAGCAAGTTGTACAAGTGAATAATCAAAGCAAGTGATGCAGAACACAGTCATAAAGTCTTACAGCTCTTCTACTCGTGCTTACAGCACTAGCTGCATCACAGACAAGCAAGCCACTGGCTGGACAATTGACATAAAACAAAACACCATTAGGGAACAAAAGAGCAGTATATCCCCAACCAGCAAAAAGCATGTCTCTTTTACCATGGTTCATAATATCAAAAGTGCTTGTTACTGTCTTCTGGACTTGATCATACAGGAAGTTGAAGTATTTCATGCAGCCCATTTTAACCAAATTCAGATAGCTCAAAGTAGTGTTAAGTACCACCCACAAACTTAAAGTTATTTCCACATTCTTTATTCTGTTCTTTCCATTTGGTAGGCATTTAATGTTCTCCATTTCCTAATACGTCATACACAGCAGTCTTTGTATTGCATGTAGCGATCATTTTGAACTGATTTAGGTGGAAAACAAAGATAAAATTTTGATTCATAATCCGAAAACTTATGGAGTTCAGCAATCTACTAACCGGTTGCAATAAGATAACCCATCAACGCCCTCCTTCCTTCAACAGCCTCTGAAGAAGAAGCCGGGAATGAGCACCGGCAAGGCACTGATACTGCATTCCTCTTGAAGGGTCTTTTCCCTGTGGGATCAAGATGATCACATTCACCTCTTTTCTTTCTTTTTTTTTTTTTTTAATTTTTCTTAAAAACCCAATTGCCAAATGTGAAACATTGTGCAGATTATGTGCGTGCGTGAAAGAAAACAACAAGAAAAATTAACCTGTAGCAATGGGGATCGAAGTTAGAGAATTGAGCAAGATGGAGGATGGCCTGAGAGGATGGTTTAGGAGAAGAGAGGATTCCATTAGTTCAACACGCCAAAAGGTCTTGCAATTAGGACTGTGTTGTTACTATTGTATCAACTGTGAGAGTGTAAGAAAAAGGCGAGAGGATAACCTCTGCAATTCTGCAGCAGCAGCTCAGCCACAATTTGGCTTTTTTGGCACTTTTCATGATCTTCAATGGTGTTTGATCATGGCCCCAGTGGAAAAGGAAATTAAATTGCAGACAGAAGGCGTGGATTACATGGTAAAATAATTTGCGCCTTCGTCCACTCTTAGAACAAAAAAAAAATAATAAAATAAAGTACTATTACAATTAAGGTAAAAAAAATTGTTTTTTTTTGTGGGTACTTAAAAATTAATGTTCTTATCATATTTCAACATTACGAAAATATGAAATTCCCATTACATCGTGACATCGCCATTGAGTGACGAACACGGGAAGTTTATCTAATTTCCTAATACCCCAATCCACTTGTTCCGTCATTCCTGCCAAACAATCTGCAGCAAAGGTCAAATTGTTTTGTTTCCTGAAAAAATGAAGAAGAAAAACTGTGTTCGTATTTTACCTTAAAAATAATAAAAATGACTCTCACCACCCGAGCTGACTATTTTGTCCCTGGCATAATTAGGTTCGAGATGGGCTTTTTACATATGATGGTCCATTGGCCAAAGGGCCCAAAGAAATGAAAATATTTTGGTTTGGTTTCCGAAATTGAGGAGGAGAAAGAACACCCTGCATCCAACAACTTCTCGGTAAACTGTTTATAAAAAGGAGGCAAGAATTCTCAGTTGATGACAGCGTTGGTACTTTGTATACCGTAGTATACAACACAAATCAATCATAATAACCCAACTCATCAGATAGAATCAAAGATCCATCCATGGCTGATTCCCAGATGTTTGGCCGTCTAAGAATTCTTATGGTTGCAATATTTGCAGCCATTGTTTTCTTGGTTGTTTTGCGCTTACCTTCGCCAAACCTTTTCTCGCCCATGAACTCCAAAAGTGACACCCACATCGATCCCTTAATCTTGCATCAAGAATTTGAGAAATTCATCCAGGACCATTATAGAATGTACACAAACGACGAGGAGAAGGCCAAAAGATTCAAGATTTTCTCTGAAACTTACAAATTCATCCAACAACACGCCAGGTATAGAATTCACACTGGGTATCAAGGTACCGACGTCTACACGGGATGCGCAATAATTGACGTTGACGACAGTTACTGAGATTGAGGAATTGAGGATTGTTGCCTTATTTTTAGATATCTAAGCCTCTCGATAGTAAATGTGCAATGGGGGATTAATGTTCGTAGAATAAATTTCAGGAGTATTGAGATATCTTCCTAGTTAAAAGTAGAGATAGTGATAGGGTTTAATTTTTTCCGTATTGACCACGTTGTTATATCGGTCTATATATGACCATCTCTTGTATCATTTTCCAATAATGAAAACATCTTTTACCATACTGTTTTACAAGGAGACTCGAATGTATAAATAATTGTGGAGTGATCCATCTACAATGAACAAATAGCAGTACAAGTATTTCTTTTGCAATCATCAGTAAGATTGATTATGAAACAAAGATTAAATTTACATTTCTGATTAGTCTAGTTTATAATATCCTTCAGTCGGAAGTAAAACACCTTAAGTAGATGATCTGGTAATAAAGGATAAGTATTCCCGATAAATGATAGCATATCCATTTTTATTTGTACCCATCACAAATCAGCCGTGTACTTAATAATCCCATCCCATCTCATTCATAGATAGGTGGAGAAAATTGTACCCACAGTAAAAAAAGATGGGTGGAGGAAGAATCCAAATCCAACCATGGGGATTGTTTTGTTTTGTAAAGGTCAAATTGTTTTGTGTCCTGATAAAAAAGAAGAAGAAAAACTGTGTTAGTATTTCATCATCTCTTTTTTTTTACAGTTAATCCATTTAGACAGTGAACATCGGTTTCACGCTGACCCCATTTTTTGTAATCATCAAAATATAAGGGAGACTTGCGCCCGGGATGAAGCACATAAAGTGGGCGGTACGATTCACATTCAAACCGAGAACAAACTTTGTTTAAAATGGCAGCACAGAACAGAACAGAGTACTTACAACTTACAATTCTCATTCTAACAGTTAAAAAAGACGGTTCTAAATCTATCCATGGCTCCCCAACACTTTTCCAACACAATCGTTTTTGTTGCAATGTTAGCCTTATTTTCTGCCTTTGCGATGTTGTTACTTTCATCATCAGCTACTTCAACTTCACCATCGCCGCCACCAAATAACTCCGGGCTCCTCCAGAAGAAAGTTTCCGACGACCCCTCAGTAGTCCTGAAGCAAAAATTTAAGAAATTCATGCAAGACTTTGGTAAGAATTACACCAGCAAAGAGGAAGAGGACAGGAGATTTAAGATCTTCAGGGAAGCCTTAAGAGATATCGAGGAAAGGAATGACAGCAGTCTGGGGATAAATTATTTCGCAGATTTTACAGATGGAGAATTTACATCTTACGGGAGCTGCATAGAAATTCCGGAGGAGGCATTATTAGCAGGAGATGATGAACGCAGTTATAATCAGTCTGATTCTCTTGAGATTCCAGATGATCACATCCCTTCTGCCATAGACATGAGAAGGCCAGATCTTGTAACACCCGTGAAAGATCAAGAACGTTGCGGTGAGTCAGAAAATACTCTTCATTATTTTTGGATTTTCGTTTCTTCCTTCTTCTACAAAATAAACTGTTATTGACTATAGCTTCTATCCAATCCTGTGGACTAATGTCAGGATGTTTTTGAATTACATAATTTAGAAATGTACTAGTTTTGGTACTATCAATTACTAATATATATGTACCTTCTTTTTTTTTATTAAAAAAAAAATGTCGTAAGATATTGATATGAACCATGACTTTGGTTGGATACAGGTTCGTGCTGGGCGTTTGCGACGGTAGCCGTTGTTGAGACGTATACAGCAATCAAAACCGATGAGCTGATTTCTCTGTCGGAGCAGGAGTTGGTGGACTGCGCCGGAAGAGCCCGTGGTTGCGTAGAAGGCAGTGTAGTAAGGGCTTTAGAATTTGCAAAAACAAATGGGATCGCGGCTTGGAGCAAATATCCTTACTATGGGTTCCAAGGTTCTTGCGGCGCCCCTTGGCATGACAGTGTGGCTAAAATTGACAGATACGAAAGAGTCCTCCCCGCTAATGAAAATGCTCTGATGAGAGTTGTGGGTGGATACGGGTTGCCGGTGGTGGTCAATATTTGTGCCAACGACACTTCTTTTCAGAGATACACCGGCGGACTTATAAGGTCGGATTGCGAGCCGAATGAAACGATGTCGCATTCTGTTGCCATCGTTGGATACTTCACCAGCCCTAGTAGTAATGTGGAGAATTATTGGATCATCAAAAATTCTTGGGGAACTGGTTGGGGTGAAAACGGATACGGGCGGATCAAAATGGGACTAAACCTTCGTAAGATTGCTAGCTATGCATGGTTGCCTGTCCCCAACTGAAATTTAGATAGTTATTATACCCTCTATGTCTCGGAATGATTGTACAATCATTTTGGGGCTACCAATAAATATATACACTGAGGTACGATGAACTGTAGCAGGGAGTCTGTTGTAATCATCCTCATTAACATTTTATATTAAAATAATATAAATATTACGAATTAGAGATCGTGATCAACATTTAGGAAAAAGAAGCAAAAATCTCCTTAATTATGTCCAAAAGAAAAACACCCCACCCCACGGTCCCCACCCCCACTATTAAGGATAGGTGTTCCCGATTAATGAAAGCATATCCATTTGTACTTGTACCCAACGAATTCCTAATTGTAATTCGGGAATTTTTTTTAATTGATTCTTTTATTCGATTTTGATATTTTATAACGTCAAATATATCCGTTCGATCATATCTTACTAAATAATCTGACTGAACCGAAAGGTGTGTGAAGTGTTTGATTAAATGTATCGAGCCTTTTATATTATCTCCATTTTTGAACATTTACTTCTCTTTATCTTGTTTTTAGTTTTGCACTAATTAGGTTTAGATGAATAGCATTAGTCACTTAGTCTAGTTTCTTGATTATTTCTTTTGTTATTGTTCAAGGTAATAAATACAGTTTCAACAATTCACTTCTTCTGTTATTGTCCAAAATAAATACAGTTGTTCATCTTCGCATAAAAAATTTCTCTCTTTGCCTATTGGGATGAATGTACTCAGACTGGAAAATGTGATGATCAGGCACTGGAGAATGACTTTCTCCTTGCATGAGTTATATGTCCTTGATGATCTGGACTATGAGGAACGGAATGTCTTCCAAACAGCTTATGTTCATGTTTCTCTTTGTCATCCCCTTCCATCCATCGTTTGAATTTCTCCATAAATCTTTTCCTCCTTGATGAATGAGCACGATGACGGCCGCTTGTTGTGGTTAACTGTAAGCAGGAATGTCCATTCTCCGAATTGGGATGACTTCCCATCTCATAATCATCTGATCCAAACCCAAGATCTGCAATTTCCCCAAATTTCAACTCCATTGGTTGGTTCTTTTTGTTACCTTGATTTGGGTCTTGTAGTTCTTGGTTCTTCCTCATTAACTCGTGCCTTAGACACGCATTGCACCACCTTAGGTAAATCAATTCTTCGGTTTCCATGGCACGTTGGGACTCGAGTTCTTCCAATTTACTTGCAACTTCCCTGTAGTTATCTTCCATTTTCACCTTCTCTGCTTCAATCTGGGGAGAAATAATGACAACTATTATAGTAAAAATTTCTGCAAGGTAAACTACACTAGTCCTTTATTTATTACTAAAAAAAGATGAAATAATGCTAAATGTTTGGCAAAGTTTAAGTAAAACAAACCTTCAATAGAGCTGATTGGTTAGCCAGTTCCATCTGGTTTGACAAGTCATTCTTCTCCTCTTGCAACCTAACCAGAGTCACTTCTTTTTCCCGGATTTCATCTTCCATCTTTCTAATGATTTCACTCTTTGCCTTTAGTTCCTGGCAAATTGCTGATTTCTCTGCAGCTTCAATCTTCTTATTTTGTTCTTCAATGAATTGCCTTTGCTTGCTGGTCTTCCTCAGGAGCTTATTGATCCTCCTCTGAAGCAATCTATTTCTTGATCTCGATAACTGAAGCAGTACATAAATTTTCTGGTAATCAATTGCCATTTGAAAACGCTGCCTCTCTGCTTCCGCGGATGAGATATCTTTTTCCATGATCTGGGCTCTAGTTATCTCCAGCAATAACATCTTCTCCACCTCCATAGCCACCGTTTCCTGCCCTTTAAGGTCACGATAATGAAAGTGCTCTATCTTTAACTCCAATTCCCTCACGTGAAGATTTTTCACTTGATCTCTTAAGAGCAAGACCTCTTCTTCTAGCTCATGTGAACGTTGATCCTGCGCTTCTCTTTCGGAGTTGCCCTGATTTGTTTCTGTATCAGAATGATCAGAGCCCAAACAGGACACATTTGATGAATCAAGGCGCTCCAGATCATGCAAGCTCACTTCATCTTGGCAATAAATATGTTTTTCTGCTTTGGAAGCATCATGATTTGGACATTTCCTTCTGGTAATCCGAGCCAAAATAAAACCAGCTGCTGCAGCAAAGGCCAGAGGAATACCAGTTTTCAGGAAAACTGGCTTAATAACGAAATCTACCTGTGTGCTTGTGCTTGCGTTTTCCATGTTCATCAGAATTTGGTACGAGCAATTTGGAAATTGGAACTGGGATCTTTCAGAAATCAAAATTTGAAACTTGTAGCAAGTAAAATACTGTTCCTCAGTTTTGTTTGATTGGTTTTGGTGGGTTCTTTATTCGGTACGGATCAGATCAGATGGTTATAAAAGCTTGAAACGCACATTTGGCTTTGTGTAGAAATTCTTTGCCTTTTGGATTTGCTTGCCTTTAAGCTTTGCTTTGGTTTATAAAGAAAGTTTAGCTCTTGCTTTTTGACCACTCAATTAGCCACGAGTTTTTTTTTTTTTTTTTTAAATTTAGGCTTCTACTATATTTTAGTAATAGAATTGCATTTGGCACGAGTTGCATTTTGGGAAATTAACAATCTCTGTCTTCCTGGCTTGGGAGCTTGTCAGCAGGGAATCCAATTCGTTTTCCACTGGAATTCGAGAGATTCCACCATGTTGCATTAAATTTCCAGTTCACACTTTTGTGAATTTGTCTTCTAGCGTTAAAAAGTCGCAAAGAAAAAGAGACAGCTTGATGGGCTCTTTGTCTTTTCCTGCCTCGAATTCATTGGCCCAATTGTCTTTTTATCCTTATATTAATAGTTGGGTCATTTTTGGATCTTGGAATTTGATATTCTGTGAAAATGGGAAACCCCACAATGTTCTGTGGCCCAATTAGTCTTAAGAACACATCTCTTTTTAAGGGTACAATGAGGGTATGTTCTATAGTGTTTTTTTTTTTTTTTTAATAGGGGATATATGTTCTATTGTTCTTGCTGCTCGTGAAGCTCCATTCCAATCTGATCATCTTCATTCTACAATTTGCTTGCGGTGACGGAATTTGAAATTTGGTTCGAGATGTTTCTGTTGCTTGTTGGGGTGCTGGATTATGTTGGGGGTTAGCAAGAATTACTACTTCTTTGTAGATGACACGTATACATATGCTTCTCTGTTTTCTTTGATTGCTACTTAGGTTTTCTTATTTGCGCTCATCAGATGGCCATAAAGTAGATTTTGATTTTGGGTAGATATTCTTTGCCCTCTTGGATTTGCTTTAAGCTTGCTTTGGTATACACCAATCATAAAAGGTGTCATGCACGATAAAGTCTCGCTCTCTCTCTTTTTCCCTTTGAATATCTAGGAAATCCAATTCAGTTTCCACTAAAGATTTCTTATACATCGGGATTTCCCTTTCAGTTCTAACTTCTAATGGTCCATTTCATTGATTAAATTTTGTTCAATGAAACCTTTTATTTGTGGAATTTTTTCTGTTAGTCCGAAAAAATGAAGCATTTTAGCTAAGGAGGTAGGTAAGCAAACAACTGGAAGTGGAAACCCTTCCTTAGCTTTGATAACTTGATCTATTTCTCCCTGACGCATTACGCATTTCCAAACTAGTAGATAATAATTATGGGAGATTGAGTATATGATAAGCATGAGAAACTTGAAAATTAATGACAAGTTGGGCAAGCAAAAGCAACCAAGGAAGTGAGCTGCCAAAATTCATTTCAAAAACTATAACAGAAAGTCTAAAACAAAGCTACAGTTAACCAAAAAGATTCACCATCTTGGCGGTTTCTCTTGAGTCTAGACTCTAGACCAAACTCTCTTCTTTTGGGTCAGCCGTCAGCACTTAGTTAACTAACTAGTTAATCCGATCAAGCAAAGAGATATCCTACACTTCAACATTTTGGAAGACCGAATTTGTTGAGTACTCCTTGTAGTAACATTTTCTTTTCGTCATTGGGTCATATTTACGCTATAATTTTCAAGACTATAATTTGACAGAGTCTATTCTACTCCCTCCGTTCCCACAAAAATAAACCAGTTTCACAAAAGTCAAAATTAATTGAATTGAAACGACTTAAATATTTAAAAGAGTAGTGGTAAGGAAAACAAGGTCAGTTCCTTTGATTTTAATTTCTTTTTTAGAGTTTTCTCCTATTTTTTCAAATGAGGATATTTTTTAATACATGAATAATTAAAAAAATGTGTTATATATCAAATTAATCTACTTAACGAGATCTTTCCATCAAGATCCATTGTGAATATTTTTTGAGATAAAAATTTTGATCCAATTTAAGTTATAAAATAAATACATATGTAATTAACTTTTATAGAAATAATTAGAAGCGGCATTGGTGTAAGTTAGTGGCATAAAATGAGTTGTACATTTGGTGTGTTGACAAAATTTAAAAAATTATACATTTTCAAACTGTACTATTTTTTTTTTGGACGGAAGGAGTATTATACTAAAATTTTATAGTACTCTATAATTTTATATGACTATAACATTTCCATCATTGGGTCATATTGCTCCTAGTAATAGGTATTTCAAGACTCCAGCGAATACTTTTATTTTTAGCACAAATTTTCATGTATTCAATAGTACTATATTATTATTATTATTCTAAATATGCTACAAAATAAAAATCTAATTTACAGTATGCAATAATTGCAGATCTTAAAAAAAAAAAAAGAAAAAGAAAAAGAAAAGAGGAGTCCATATAACGTTTGTCATCTCCAAAAAGAAGACAGAAGAGAATCAGACAAAGCATTTCGGAGTTGTGACCCGCCCGTGACTCTAAAATTAAAATCAAAATCACCACGTTCTGAGGGAAAGCCCTTTGTCCAATCGGGCGGCATATATACATAGAATAACTGAAACAGCCGCCGCCGTCAAACTCGTTGCCAACCCCTGCAATTCTTCCTGTAATTGCATCGACCGATCCAAAATGGAGGTTCTAGGATTGGTTCCGGCCAAAACGCTCCCTCTCCGGCCTAAATTGCCCAACGTTCCTGCGTTAACCGGCAAAGAAGCAGCCGTCCACAATGGTTTTCCTACATTTAAAAAGAAAAAGAGGAACAATGATCATTTCAAGGCAGGTTGTGCAATATACGCCGTCTCAAACCCGACCCTTGATAATAGATTGACGGAAGTCCCTGCGCCGGCGGCTGCTGTTGTCCCATCCGAGCCGTTCTTGACCGTGTCACCCAGCACCCTGCAGTGCAAGCCGGGATTTCTGATACCGAATCCTTGGTTGAACCTGGAGAATGGGGCGGTTGGAGAAAATGGTGCCTTGAGTTCCACGGAGTACTTGAGGAAAATTTTGATGTCCAAGGTGTACGACGTTGCCAGAGAGTCTGAGTTGGAGCTCGCTACTAAGCTTTCGAAGAGGATGGGCGTCAATATTTGGCTCAAACGTGAAGATCTCCAACCGGTAAGTTTATCTTAATTGTTTTTCTGGGTTATCCATGATCATTTTAGTTTGTGTGGTGGTTTAATGATCAAACTGTCACCATGTAGTTTCTAATTTTGCGTGCTTTTGAGTTTAGAAGTTCATAATTCTGCATGCTTTTGAGTTTAGAAGTTCAAAGCTCTCTGGTTGTCAGAAATCAAAGTGTTTCCTCCTTGAGTAATCTATTATCTTTTTGTTTGTTTTAATGAAAGCTAATTCAATCAAAGTGCTTATATAATCCGCCATTTTTTTTGCACAATCTGTAGTATTTCAGCTTATTTTGTGTAAACTTGTCAAATTGATGCCGGAAAAAATAAGAATTAGGGTTTAAGAATTATTAGGAAATTTTAGTTTAGGGAGGTTTTAGTCTTTTACAGAATTTTAAGTCTTTTTAGATATTTTCCTTTTTTAAGGTTAGGGTTTTATTATAAAAGGAGTTAATTGTATGTTTGGGGACAGTTTTTATTGGTATTTGATAGTTGATTTCAGAACTGCGAGTTCTCTTTCACGGCTGAGTGCCTGTGTTATGGTTTTTATTGGTTTTTGTCTAAAAACCATTGCCTTTGTTCATGATGATCATGAATCAAAGTGGTGTTCCTTCTTTTCATGCTTCCGCCCGCATCACAAATTCATATAAGAGTTCTGCGTTTCAGTGAGAACATTTAATGTTGGTGTAATGCTTGCCTTTAATAGATTGTAAATTCAGGTGCAATGTTCAATTATTGATTTCACTCTAAATCCAGCCTACGTGTTGAAATAGACCTTCTTTCGTAGGTCTTCTCTTTTAAACTTCGAGGAGCCTATAATATGATGGCCAAACTTCCCAAGGAGCAGCTAGAAAGAGGGGTCATTTGTTCTTCAGCTGGAAATCACGCTCAAGGAGTTGCCTTAGCTGCTAAAAAGCTTGGCTGCAATGCTGTTATTGCAATGCCTGTTACTACACCAGAGATCAAGGTTTGAATATATGGCAACTTTCATTTTAAATGGACACTCTGTTCGTGTTAATCATATTTCATATTTGTTATAACAAAACTCTTTGATGTATTGAGACAATTTGGATTTTTATATGCATGTATAGTGGATGTCAGTTGAGCGGTTGGGTGGGAATGTTGTCCTGGTGGGAGATTCATATGATGAGGCTCAAGCGTATGCCAAAAATAGAGCCCTAGAAGAAGGCCGGACATTTATACCCCCATTTGATCACCCAGATGTTATCAGCGGGCAAGGAACAGTAGGAATGGAAATTTTACGCCAAATGAAGGATATTGAGGGCCTGCATGCAGTTTTTGTACCCGTGGGGGGTGGGGGGCTAATAGCTGGTATTGCTGCCTACCTGAAAAGTGTATCCCCAGAGATAAAAATCATCGGAGTGGAGCCTTTTGATGCAAATGCCATGGCCTTGTCATTGTACCATGGTCGAAGAGTAGTGCTTGACCAAGTTGGAGGTTTTGCAGATGGTGTAGCTGTCAAAATGGTTGGTGAAGAGACCTTCAGATTGTGTAAGGACTTGATAGATGGTGTAGTTCTTGTTAGTCGGGATGCTATATGTGCATCGATAAAGGTAAGTCTTTTTTTATCCTTCTTTTTAGCGTAAATTATATTAACTTATTTTTGTACGGCTGATAGACTAATGGTTCAACAACTCTATAACTTTGATTTCTTCCCTGTCTGATGGAAATGAACTGACTTTAGGGAGGTTTATAATCTTAGAGAGATCTTCTAACAACCGTGATACCAAGTGTGTCATTTGTATATAAGTTTTGCAGTGTCGGTACTTCATGGCTTCTCTTCTTGTCACAGGACATGTTTGAAGAGAAAAGGAACATTTTAGAACCAGCAGGTGCTCTTGCACTTGCAGGGGCGGAAGCGTATTGCCAATATTACGGCTTGCATGGAGAAAATGTTGTGGCAATAACTAGCGGTGCCAACATGAATTTTGACAGACTCAGATTAGTTACTGAACTAGCAAATGTTGGTCGACAGAAGGAGGCTGTGCTGGCAACATTCATGCCAGAGGAGCCAGGCAGCTTTAAGAGATTTAGTGAACTGGTATGCAAACTATTCAATCTAACTCATTTCATCAATATTAGATAACCACGTTGTCCAGTTTCTGAGTCCAATCGATTTGATTTTCAGGTGGGAGATATGAATATTACAGAATTCAAGTATAGATATAACTCAGAGAAAGAAAAAGCTCAAGTATTATACAGGCAAGCTCCATTCAGTCCAACTGTTTTCATATGAGAGAGAGGAAGTTGTTTGATGTGATGAATCTTTTTGACAAAATCCAATGTTTATAAATGCTATGTTTCTGTAAAATGGTTTTTCGTATCATTCCCAGTAGAGAATAGGAATCTATCAACTTACATTCCTCTTTTTTATTCGAGCAGTGTTGGCCTTCACACAAAAGCTGAACTGGAAACAATGATAGCCAGAATGAAATCATCAGAGCTAGAGACCTTGGATTTGACTGATAATGACTTGGTTAAAGATCATCTTCGATATTTGGTAATTATTTTGCTTACATTTTATTTCTCTTGATGTTTGAAGGGATTCAGGCATCCGGCTGAAAACTGAAAATTATTGTAAACTAATCTTTACTTTATTGTTGTCATTATTCAGTCCGGAGGACGTTCACATCTTCAGAATGAGGTTCTTTGCCGATTTGTATTCCCTGAGAGACCAGGCGCTTTGATGAAATTCTTGGATGTTTTTAGTCCACGGTGGAACATAAGTTTGTTTCATTACCGAGCTCAGGTTGCAATCTTCGAAGATTTGTTAATAAATTCATTATGTTCATGAGCATGATAGTTTATTGTTTCGGAAGCTTTTAAGCTTCAACTGGTCACTGATAGCTTTTATCTTTTGTGGGACTCACCGGGGATTAGATTCAATTGATTATTGTTCTGTTTGGGAATATATGTCAGGAAGCTAACATTTCCCCCCCTTTCTATGTTTTTCTTGTCTTCTTAAGGGAGAAACTGGTGCAAATGTGTTGGTTGGTATTCAAGTTCCAAGAAGTGAGATGGATGAATTCCGGTATCGAGCCGATAAACTGGGTTACGAGTACACCGTGGAGGAGAATAACAAAGCTTTCAAGCTTTTAATGCACTGATATCTACCACTGCCTTGGTTGTAGCTTGTAAGACGAAGTCTGTTGCTTGGCTTTCCAAGGTTAATTTCTTCACTGCTGGAGGATAAACACAAACCTGAAATCAACATTGTGCGTGATCCATGGATCGTGAAATGTTAGTGAGGAGGAAACTCCTCTTTGCTGCCATTTCACGATCCAAGAATCACATACTATTGCGACTTCATTTAGGCTTGTGTTTGTTCTCCGAGTGAAGCAATGCCCTGCTGGGAATTCATCAACCCTCGTGGATTCACCCTGGATTTGGAATTTGTTTGCTTTTGGATTTGTACATATCTGACTAATCAGTTTCTCGATGTGTTCTTAAGAGTTTTGGGTCGAATGGACACTTATCTTTCTCTCTCATCTGATTAGTTTGCTGTTAAGGCCTTAAGAGGAATGTGGGATTATTGAGTTTTGGTCCTTTTGGAGGGTGGGGATTTTGATTGAACCAGTAGGATTCTCCATTTTAAGAAGTGGAGTTGATGCCGGCTTACGATCTTATTCAAACCTTTTGTAATTTCTTCAAATTACATCTCTTTTTGGTTCTTAGGTTTCAATTTTTTTGTCCGGATTGATTTTTCCTGCTTCCTAGGTAGCAAGAAATCACTTCATATACCATCAGCATTAACCAGTCTTCTATGTTTCTTTTTTAATAGAATTGTAATCAAACTATTTTGTGCGGATTTTATACTCAAACAAATGCATATAAACACATTCTAACACTAAAAAGACTGCACTAAATTTGATGAAATGCAAATGACTGTCTACAACATGACTTTCACTCAGTTATTTTAATTTTAAATTTTTTTTTTTGTAGATTATAACGTGGAACAAACAAAACTTTATCAGGATCAATAAGTGGAATAGAAGGATACCCTTTGTTGTAATCTTTTCCTTAAATTTCTTCTTCACCCTTTTGAAACAAACATTACATCTGTGGCAAAAGTTGCCAAATTCTGGAATTCGGTTAGTTCTAAACTTCTAATAGATGGCAACTTTGTGAATGATTAAAGTGGGAACTTTTTGTTAATAAATTATTAATGTGATGGTAATGCAAAATTGTCACATGTCACGATAGTATATAAATGTATGAATCACTATCCATTCAAAATGTGTGTGTGCGTGTTTTTTTTTTCTTTTTTTTTCTTAATTGCCAATTAATTTGTAGGACTGTCTTCTTCTTCGAAGTGGCCAGATTGTAACAATCACTACCCAATTCAATTCCCCACCTGAAAAAAAAAAGAAGAAGAAAAAGACTGTAATAGTACATGAATTAGCCTAAATTAATTAATCAATCGCTGTGACCTCTAACAGAAAGCTTGGCTTAAGAGAGTGACATTTTCCTTAGAAAAAATTAATTTTTTTGCTCGGTGTCATTACAAAATGAAGAGTGCACGTCAGGTCCTTCAATTAAGTTCAAATTATACATACGAAATGGACCTTCTAATTAAGACTTATAAATTGATTTCATAACAACTGAGCTCCCTTTTATCCTCCCCTACTCGTAGAATTAATGATATCAAATTAAGAAAAAGGGTGTTTAAGTAAACATGGGAATGCCTGATATATCATCCCATAAATCGATTGTTTACACACAATTGTTACTTCAATTCGGTAAAAGTTTTATTGGTCGAGAGCAAGCAAAAGCTCGAGGGGAACAGCACCTGACATGCGGACTAGAGGTCTTCAACCTCGGAGAATATCAAGAAGGCAGGAGGAAGAGATAGCTATGAAATGAATCCTCTGTCTTAAAATGGTTGTACTGATTAGATTTTTAGTAAAATATGGAAAAAAAAAGTAAAAGTTCTAGCCTGACCATCATTTACTCTTTAATTTTTTTTTGTTTTACTCATTTTAAAAACCAATCCAAACAAAGCTGCATTACATAGTTACCCCTTGATTAAATTGAAAGGGTGATGCCACTGCCAGCGTCCAAGACAATTTCAACGAACTTGTTGAGAAAACATTAATCTATTTGGCATATTTGGTGGAAGAAAAATGTGCAGTTTAGCGAGGCTTGGAGTGGAATATGACAAAGAAGACGCTTTAAACCTTTTTAATTTTTTGTTTTGGCCTTCACCACTACGAAATGATTGCAAATTATCATGGCGGGCTCCCTCTAAAATTAACTTATATCACCGACCACTACTCACCCAATTTTCCTTTTAAAAAAAATACTACGCAGAAACTTACTTGTGTAATTACCTTAACGTTCAACCTGTTATGTATGGCTTCCAATTCACTTCAAATTGATGCTACGATTAGAAACGTTCACCTATGGAGTATGTGCATAACTATCAAGAGACCATTTTTTTTTTTTTTTTTTGTGCGGATCCATTTGCAAAAAGAGGCAATTATTTTGGCACTAACACATCTGCCACTTAATTGTTATTTCCCCAAAAAATTAGATTTACTCCATAGGTCACAACAATGCAAATCGGTGAATAATATACTCTGTTAAACGTCCGTATATGCGCATTCGGAATAAGATATTCTTTTCTCTTTTTTCCCTGGCTTTATGCAATGGATAACAAATTATTTCCCAGACATTCATTCAGGCATAGTACCCTTTCAAATCACGTGGGGGGCAAATTTATCTTCCACTTTAATGGATTGATTAATAGGTCAAACGCGGGATGCTAGAATCTTTAATTACCATTAATACCACTAACCTTTTAACCCCTTTTGATCTTATAGTTTAAAATGTTGCCCAGATTAATAAAATGTATACTACACTCCAATCAGTCTGCTTAGTTCGTTTGTCGCTATTCTAAAAAATAATTAAAATTGGAATCTTTATTGAGAGTGGTTGCAACTTTCAATAATACATTAGTTTACTGCTAACACATGAGAATATGGTCCTTTTTTTTTTTGATAATCAAAATATGGTCGTTAAAAAAAAACACACACAGACACGTACACAGAAGGACCTGATTTCCTCAACTCCCAAGAATAATTGAATATATATACCACATTTTTTCTCATAAATTGGAGTGACATTTCCCCGGCCTGATTACTGCATTATCATTTATAACATATACTCAATAGAAATGGAAGTTATGGGATTTGTTCCGGCTAAGAATTTTCCTCTTCCACCGAAATGCAATACTTTCCCTGACGGCAGATTCGACGCCGTTCAAGCATGGGGTCCCCGGAGCTCCGGGAACAAGAAGAGAACACTCACTTATTGCCAGCCGGGAGTTGCAATACGCGCCGTTTTGAGCCCGACCCTTGATGTAGCTTCGACGGATATCCCAGCTCCGGCAGCTCCGGCGGTCCAATCCGCGCCGTTATTGACGGTTTCGGCGAACTCTCTACAATGCGAGCCCGGTTTTTTAATGCGGAATCGCTGGTTGAACGTGGAGAATGGGGCGGCCGGGGGAAACGGTGCGTTGACCTCCGCGGCTTACTTGAGGAAGATATTGACTTCCAAGGTTTATGATGTGGCAATTGAGTCTGAATTGGAGCTCGCTACTAAGCTCTCCAAAAGAATGGGAGTCAATATTTGGCTCAAGCGTGAAGATCTTCAACCCGTAAGCTTCATTGAGTTACTATCGAATTCATACTTGATCATATTATTGCTTAATATTGAACATATTCGTAGGAATTATTGCTTAATTATTCTGTCTCCTGGCAGGTATTTTCGTTTAAGCTACGTGGAGCTTATAATATGATGGCAAAGCTTCCGAAAGAGCAGCTAGAAAGAGGGGTCATTTGTTCTTCAGCTGGAAATCACGCTCAAGGTGTTGCCTTAGCTGCTAAAAAACTTGGCTGCAATGCTGTCATTGCAATGCCTGTTACCACTCCAGAAATCAAGGTTCACATAAATCCCAAAAACAGAGTTAATGTAAAACGGTTTGTTATAAAACGATGTAATAAAATTCTCGCTTCTTGATGTACAGTGGAAATCAGTAGAACGGTTGGGTGGTAACGTTGTCCTGGTGGGAGATTCCTATGACGAGGCTCAATCGTACGCGAAAAATCGTGCTTTGGAAGAAGGCCTGACGTTCATCCATCCCTTTGATCATCCTGAGGTGATCAGCGGGCAGGGTACAATTGGAATGGAGATTGTGCGCCAAATGAAGGATATAGAAGACCTGCATGCGGTATTTGTTCCCGTTGGTGGCGGCGGCCTAATAGCCGGCATCGCGGCCTATCTGAAAAGTGTATCTCCGGATATTAAAATCATTGGGGTGGAGCCTTTTGATGCAAATGCCATGGCACTTTCATTGCATCATGGTCAACGAGTAGCGCTGGATCAAGTCGGTGGTTTCGCAGACGGTGTAGCTGTTAAAATGGTCGGTGAAGAGACCTTCAGATTGTGTAAGGAGTTGATAGATGGTGTAGTTCTAGTCAGCCGTGATGCTATTTGTGCATCAATAAAGGTCCGTCCTAACAAAGCAATCTTGTTTTATTCATTTTGGGACGAACATAATACAATACAAACAATAACTTGTATTTTTAATTATCCCCAAAACAGGACATGTTTGAAGAGAAGAGGAACATTTTGGAACCAGCAGGAGCTCTTGCACTGGCAGGGGCAAAAGCATACTGCCAATATTATGGTTTGCACGGCAAAAATGTCGTCGCGATAACGAGCGGTGCTAACATGAATTTTGACAGACTGAGATTAGTTACAGAGCTAGCTAACGTTGGTAGACAGAAGGAAGCTGTGCTTGCGACATTCATGCCAGAGGAACCAGGCAGCTTCAAGAGATTTTGTCAACTCGTATGCATTATTATTAGTTGTTACCATTCAGCCTTACTGGTTTATCATCAACCAATTTGGGAGTTTCTGAGTTCAAATGATTGGTTTCTTTTTGCAGGTGGGAGATATGAACATTACAGAATTCAAGTACAGATATAATAATAATAATAATAATTCAGATAAGGAGAAAAAAGCTCAAGTGGTGTACAGTATTGGACTTCATACAAAATCAGAACTGGAAGAAATGATAAGCAGAATGCGGTCGTCAAGATTTGGGACCTTAGACTTGACAGATAATGATTTAGTCAAAGATCATCTCCGATATTTGGTAATCATCAGTATTATATATACTACTATTTCGTTAGATATTTCAAGATATTTGGGATTAATTTGATTGGACAAAATAATTACTAGTATATTGTGTGTAGTTGAATTGATTTGGGTCTATGAAATCTTGCAGTCGGGTCGTCTTTCACACATTCAGGATGAGGTCCTTTGTCGGTTTATTTTCCCAGAGAAACCAGGGAGTTTGATGAAGTTCTTGGATGTTTTCAGTCCACGCTGGAATATTACTTTGTTCCATTACAGAGCACAGGTTCTTACTTCTTCTCCCCCACAAACTTATTACTTCTACTCACTGATTGTTAAGGTTGTACTATGAATCTATGATTGTATCTTGTCTGGTAAATTGCCAAATTGGTCCTTAAGCTTTACTCCAAAATTTTCCTTTTTGTCCTTCAACTTTACATAAATTCATATTAGTCGTTGCATTTCACTTTTTGTTTTAATTAAGAACTGCTATTTAAAAGAAAATGTTATTTAAAGGCATGTTTGTTTCCTGTTGTTTCTTTTGAGTATAAATATTCCAACAATCTCTGTGTGAAAAACAATGCATTTTCTATGGACATTTTCAATTTTCAACGGAATCATGCGTCACGAGTATGATTTTGACCGAAAAAACCAAAACCTTTTTCCCGAAAATATTGACATTTTCCTTAATTCGTACCGAAGTTTGCTAAACAACTACTGATCGATTTTATATATACAAGCAGATTTTTTTTTTTTAAAAAAAATGTAAAGCTATGGGACCTAATACACAATTTACCGTTTTAAGTCGAATCAAGAGTTAATGAAGCTAAATAATATGAGTATATTTTCCCAATCTTACTTGTTTCCTCGTCCTTAAAGGGTGAAACAGGTGCAAACGTGTTGGTTGGTATCCAAGTTGCAAGGAATGAAATGAATGAATTCAGAGATCGAGCCAACAAACTTGGGTACGAGTATGCAGTGGAGGACAACAACAAGGCTTTCAAGCTCTTAATGTATTGATGCATGACGATTCTGTCTTCACCATGCACTGTTTGTTGATAATTAGGCACCTTAATTAATTTACTGCAAAGGCTAAGTGTTATTTATGCTTGCCATTCTAGAATGAGTAAATTGCTCTTCTCAACTACACAAGGACAGAGACATATATATATGCTTGACTTAAATTGAATTCAAGATGATAATATAAGCAAACATGAAATGAGAATTCACAATATTTTCATCTTTTCCGATCACTTGAACAATCTGGAAATTTTCAAAACAATAGGTCCATTTGCCTAGTTTTGAACATGGGACTAGATCGGCCGGTTCGCATAAATGATTGATTGCACTCCGCTAATTGGCGAGCTCAAAGCGCATAACACGAGCCCGAAACACAATATCTTTAGTACTCCAATCGAATACGAGTATATTGTTTCAAGTTCGAACTAATTTTTAATCAAAGTACTTAGGAGCCATTTGTCCTAAACTTCATATCTTGAATTACAATGTTGGTGATTTCTTAGAAAAATAAAATTGTGAAAAAGTCAGCATGGCGCCAATGTAAGAGAATTGGTTTGGAAGTATTACTACTGGATAATGGATATACTGTACTAATACTAGTACACTACTCTTTTTTTTTTCTTTTTATGCCTATGCTATTCGTTGACATCACGAATTAGAAGGCGGAAAATACCTAAAAGGGTGACAATTCGTTAGGATAAAATCATCTAATAAGAGATATTTATGCTGTTTTTTACTCTGTTAATTAAAAAGATATGGAGGATTTGGTGCAGTACATAGAAAACAAATGACTTCACAATCATCTTATGTTTAACCATACAACACCTATGTCAAAGGGATAAACATTCTATAGCAAAAGAGATCATTATAATCTCATTTTTCGGTTATCCAACACTGCAAATTAACTCCTCAAATATGTATATAAAGCACAAATTCAACAAACCTTACTTAAGTCCTCCCTGCCTTCATACTAGTACCTAAACATACACGATTTCAGCCATGGGGAAGTACCCTGTTTTCTTCATCGCATTTACGATTGTTTTCTTTGCATTTTGCTGTTGTGGGAGTGATTCCGCTAATATTTCATATGACGGACGAGCTTTGAAGATTAATGGGGAAAGGAGACTCATAATTTCAGGATCCATCCATTACCCTCGTAGTACTCATGAGGTAAGAAATTAAAACATCTCTCGTTTTTGGTTTCTTGTTTATATTTTTATGTTCCTTTTTTTTTTAATAGTCTATAGGTAAGACATGTTCAAGTACTAATCTTTCTGACACCAATAATTTTGTGATTAGTTTATGAATGTTGTGTACGGATTTGAATGTGAATCATACTAGTGTTATACTATATTTGGACAATGTGAATTCACCTTTACCAGAAAATGTACATTAATTGATCAGGTTCTAAAAGAATTAATTAGTGAAACACTTTTTCTCTTTATCATTAAATCATTAATGGTTTGGTTTGAATCCGGTCTGAGAACCATTCAAACAGGGAAAAATTACCACAATTAATGACAGGGCTAAATTGTGGATATACTAATCCCCAGATAGCTTGTGAAAGAGGACATGTTGATAGCTTGTGAAAGAGGACATTTTATGAACAGATGTAGTGCGTCCTCTTCTCCCTGCCAGCACCTTGGACATATCAAGTAAACTTGGATTCCCTGTTTGCCAAGATCATGTTTTGTTGGAAGAGCATTTGTGAGTGCCCTCCACAACAAGACTTTCTACTTTGGCTGAACTGAAGAGTTCCACAATTTCTTCCATGTATTTTTGTCATTATCAAGCCTTTTGGAGGTGTGATAGTTAACAAACTCCTGATAACCTGAGAATTAATCAAATCTGATCGCAGAACCATTCATCTTAGGTTAGATGAGAACCATGTGCCTAATCATAAAAAAAGACCATTCAGGTTTCAAGCATGTTGGCTAATGCATGGTGATTCTAATCTTTTATGCTTAGTACATGGTTTCATCAAGTTGGTTTTAGAGTAGCAGGAAGGGATCTTCCAGGAAACGCTGATCATTTGGAACAAGAAAGTGGCTGATTAAGATGTTTTTTAGTTGCTTCAATTTGGCGACTGAGACTACAGTGCATGCTATAATGGATTGCAGTGGTGCAAGACACATTTGGGAGGCTATAGTTCCACAAGATAGACTACACGACTTCTTCGACTTGTCGCTGAAAGATTGGCTCAGTTCTAACTTGTCATCCAAAGAGAATTTGTGCAAAACTATGTTTGGAGTTGAAACTTGGTTAATGTGTACTTTGAGAAATAAAAGGATGTTCAATTGATAAATTATAGGTAGATATGAGGCTATTCGATGCATCGTACAGAAAACAGAAGAAATTACGCGTAGTCAGTCTTTGTTGAAGTGGCAGAAACATGGATCAAACCGAGAGGAGGAGATCAAATGAAATGCTCCGCCTGCTTCATGGATCAAAGTTTATTGCGATCGAGTAGTTTGTAAAGACAGCAGCAAAGCAGCATTGGTCAGAGTTTTTAGGAATGAGGAAGGAAAGATCATGAAAGCTTTTCATAAATTTTTAGCTGGTTGTTCGATTGTAAGAAGAAAGTTGCAGTCATCAGACACAGATTGGAGGTTGCTTATTAAGCAAAAAATCATTGTGAAATCAGATTCCCAAATGGCAATTAAGTGGTGTTTAGGCCTAGACGGAATCATAACTCTTGATCCTGAGCTATGAAGGATTCAAGAAGCTTTGATTGAAGATTGGCAACTGTGGTTTAAGTATACAAGTGGTGATAACAATCTTTGTGTTGATAAATTTAGCTAAGGAGGCATTAGGCTTCTTATGTGGGGATATTTATTTTGATGTGGCCCTAAAATTTGTAGACATGCTGCTAGAATATGACTATGTAGATTATTAATCGACAATTGGCTAATATCAATATCCATTTGAGTTTTTTTTATTTAAATTTAAATTATGACATCTAGAGTGGACATAAACAGAACTTCTCATTAAAAAAAAGTTGTGCATTTTAAACTTCAAATCACATGTCTGGATACCTATCGTATGATGTTCATTCCATGGTTAGATTCTAACGAAATGGATAAACACAATCAGAGATTAGGTTGTCAACTAACACCCATATTACATGGGATGGGAAACTCTACTTTTTGTTCACATTTTCATATTTACACAAAACATATATATATTTTTTAAAAATATCCACATATGGGGACATCATTTTCTTGGCGTTTTACTGTTTCAAGAGTGAATCTACTCATGTTTTATATGATGCACAAGCTTTCAAAATAAATGGTGAAAGAAAAATCATCATTTATGGAGCCTTACATTACCCTCGTAATACTACTAAGGTATTAATGTATACTTCGTGTGGCTGTGTAGTGATTGTTAAAGAATCATATGATTTATTTTTGTGTTGGTTGAGTCGATAAATTTCTTACGATACGAACGATACCGATTATACGTTGTTCTATGACAAATTTTTTTCTATTTTGTCTTATTTCTTTCCACTTTACCTTTTAAATCTTTTGTTATAGGGTTTTATTTGCTACATTGAAATCTACCAATGCAATAACTCCTCTCTCTAGTGATCAAAATCAACAAAATTCTTAATCAACATGTCAAAATAAATATCGTGATCTTTTCTTTCCAAATTTGCAAATATCATCTAAATAATAGCAAATTTGGGAAAGTGGATAATACTTTTGCTATTATTTTAAGGAAAATTTGGAAAAGTAGAATTATGATACTTTTGCGATTATTTTGCTTTGTGTTTTGTATATTTGTAATGATGTTAGTTCACATTTATCCTATTATCAATATGAGCTCGTATTTTTTAGATTATAATAGAGTTTATTGTTGCAATAATTGGCTGAAAATGACTTTCCCCCCTATTTTTCAACACTATTAATCCATTCAGCCCTGATGTATTTATAATATGATACTCGGTATGCTACACGAGTCATAGAACTGGAATTTCGGTACATGAGAAGTATCTCGACTCGACAATTATGGTTCAAACTAGAATTTTGAACCGTCATTATAACAATTCACCATTATCACCAACTCAATTCTTCCAACCTTGTAACATTATTGGACTTTTCTTTTGGTTTACATATATTTAGAAATACCTCCCATAATTATAAATTGTAAATAAGTCAAACACAAAATCAAGCATTGTCTAAGTATACATTTGGTCTCTTTTATTTAAATTTAAATTATGACTTCTGGAAAGGGCAAAAATAACATGCAACAAATTTGAATTCAATCATGCGTTATGAGTCAAATCAATCCAATTTTCAAATTTCTATATTGAAAAGGAAAAAGTTCTTCATTTTATAGGGACTTAATTAATAAGAGGCTCGGAGATGCTGGAGCACACCCAACGGCCTAAAATTCCCTAAAAAATAGGGATTGTAAGAAAATTCATTGGCTCAATGTCTATCTAAATCCATTATTTTCTCCATAAAAACTCATTCATTAAAAAATTTAGGCTTGGATGGATCTAAATAAAGAGTTTTTTAAATGGGTATGGATAGTCTATATCTATTCATTGAGAAACTCAATGGTTTTTAAAATTGTACAATCAACATTATTGTTTTATTGTATTTTGAATTTTTTGCATTTGCCGATTTCCAAATAGGTGCTCTTGCACACATTATCATTCAACAAGATGACTACCATATTGAGGTTGTTCTTCATATCCAAGAAATCTATATGACTAGTTAAATGAGAAGTGTTTCAGGCGTGACTTCTAATCAAAATACATAAACAAGTAAATTTATGCAATAATATATTTTTATCGTATCATACTCGACATATGTATGTGCAAAACTTTTCAATACATGAAATATTTATAATTTTTGGAAAAGAGAAAAAGGTACAGTATAAAGTTAGCTAATCCAATATCACTATGTAAATAAAATAAAAAAAAATTATTGGAAAATAGTTGAAAGACTTTAGAAAACAATTTACAATATTCACGACAATCTTAAATCGTTAAACTTTTTCTAAAAATAAATTAATCCACAAATAAATTTTAATTACTGCCAGCTACATAGAAAATCTTTTATTAATTTGAAATACTTTAGTGTTGAGTAAATGCATAATAGAGAAATGGGCAAGCATGAAGGAAAAATCTAGTTTCAAAAAGTTAAAACACTATAGCAAACGTATATATAATGTATCATTAAAAAGTAAGAAGAGGGTAATATTAACTTTGAAAGATCTACATCACAAACAACTGATAGTTCAGCTAAACTGTCAACCCTGTATCATACCCCATCTTATAAAATTTGGTTAATTCATAAAAACCCCCCAAGCTATTTAAAACTACATGAAAACACACCCGTGCTTAGTAAACAGCCAGAAGACCCTCTCATGCTTTTTACGGAATATGTAAAATGGGCAAAAGTTGTTGATTTTGACGGCAAGGGGACTCCACACGCCTAAACACGAGTAGGTCTTATGAAAAACATCTGAATGTAATTTTTCTAACTAAAACAATCTTATACCCCTTCTTTTTCTTGTTTTCAATATAAATAACTAAGGGTATGTTTGTTTCGTTTTTTTAGTGTGTGTTTTTAGTGTTTTTTTTTGTATTGAAAACGTAAAAAAATGTATTAAAAATATAAAAAGATATGTTGAGATATGGTAAAAAAGTATGTTGGAATAGGACGGTTATTAATATATTAATTTAAAAATACCATAAAAAAATGAAACAAACAAAGCTTAAAATCCTGGCCACCTTACTTCCAGTACGATTACCTCTGTTTCATCATCAACCTTGCAACATCAAATACACGATCAAATTAAAGGCAAACCGTTCATTCTGATTTTCCTTCTTAAATTGTCAGATAATTCTTTATAACTTTTTTTTTGTGTTTTGAAATTTGTTCGTTTTTCCCCCTTCAAGTCAAGAAAAAAAAAATTATTCGAAACCTCAGTAAAACTTTTCTCACTATCTTTGAATTATTATTAGAATCATAGGTAAAATTAAACACCTTCACTGAGATCAAAAGTCAAAAACCACAACTACTGCTTTCAGAGAATCCCATCATTAATCTTCAAATAAAAGTTCTCTGTATACAACCCTGCTTCCTCCGCAAATTACCGCCATCGCTATCAACTCATCAAGAACTATATAGGTTGCTGGCTTGCTGGTGATTGGATAAAGAGAGCTCCGGGGGTAGGAAGGTGATTGGGAAATTGGGAGAGAGTTTGGAGAGATGTCGTTTGAAGTTGTGCATAAAGAGGATTAGAATGGGGAAAATAAAATAAAAAGGAGTGGCACAGTAGGAAATTCAAAAAGAACTGTTAGCGTTCCTTTAAATTTACAGATTTCGGAAAAACATAATGAGGTCTTTTAGATAATTATTATGCATGGGGTTGTTTTCGTGTAGATTAGAATACCACGAGGGGGTTTCTTTGAATTAACCCATAAAATTTTATGACTAAACTTTTTAAGTGGGTGAGAGAAACAAAAAGATTTGGTCTAGCCTTGCTTCTTTTTTTTTTTTTTTTTTTGTTTTTGGTTGCGTACTCTCTAGCAAATCTAGTTATGTCATGTCTTGGAGGTTTTGCATGGCTGCAGGAACCACTGACTTGTGTGAAATATTGGTTACAACATGGTATTGTTGGTATTTCATACCAATGTTATGTAATAAACTAGAAACTCAAGGCGTAAGCTTCCTTTATTGTGAAAAAAAAAAAGACATGAAACGGTTAAAACTAATCAACATAATTATCTAAAGTTAATGGTAGAGAAGATGAAAGAGTGATTTCTGGTTTATTTATTATAAAAGTAATGAAAAGAGATGAAAGAAACAAGTTTTGAATAGTGAAAATAATTAATTGGAAAATTTTTATAAGGGGCAATAGAGATAGTTAAATTAATAAAAGGGATATGGCTTTGAAGTAATTTTTATTAAGGGTAGTAGTTTATTTAGCAGGAATCATAAAATAAAAATAATTATGAATTGCCATCATTAGCCTTATTATTTATTTTACTAACCAAACTAAATTTTCCACCTCCGGGACAATATATTTTCATCAAATAGAAAATTCAAGAAACAAAATTGTCCCGCGAGATATGTTTCTAATTGCATCCATATTCTTTCCTTGGAAATTTTTTGCTGAATAAAGAGTGAGTACGCAGCCGCCAAAGGAATGAGTGATTCTCTGGAGATAGTGAAAGTTTTCTCTTTCCGCAAGTGTTTGCGCTGCGGCTATTATTTTTTTCTTGAGTTTTGGACACTACCAGCAATGGAGTCCCTAATTCATGTACTATTTGGAAAGCAATTCGTATATTCATAACATCGGTAGATTGGTGAGATTTTGAACACTTCCATACGAACCTCAATTTGTGGTGTGGAAATTTATCGTCAGCTGCCGGGATGAACGGTCGACGGAATGTAATCGGAAATCATAGCTCCGTTAACATCACTGAATTTTTTTTTTTTTTAATTTTATTTCCTTCTTTCAGGTAAATTTCGGAACGGAAAAACTTAAAAAACAAAAAATTAGTTTTTTTTGGGTGTTTAATTTTTGGATGAGTGAAAAAAAATGAGAAAATGAGATATTGAAACGGAATATCTAAATTGGAAAAGGATTTGATTTTATTTTATTTTGAATAAAGTTAGAAGTAAAGGGTAATCAAGTCAACACATATTTAATTTTATTTTATTATTTTTATCAAATAAATTACTGCCCTTAATAAAAATTATTTCAAGGTCTTACCCCTTTTATTATTTAAATTATTTCCACGGCCTCTTATCCAAATTTTCCATTAACTTTTGAATATAATGACAAAGTAGAAACGCCAATTATGGTTCATGGTTAGGATAAGTCATTTGAAATTACTTTATGGGTAGAATGAGGAAAATAAAATCAAGAATTAGATGTAGGAATAGGATATAACAGCATATACATAATTAGTGCCCATACTGTTATACTTATATAACAATACAGTTACATGGATTACAACTAAACCCCTAAAAGGACAACTACCATGCTTACTAGTTAACAAGAAGGAAAGGGTACATTTAAAAATGTTCATCTTCGTCGAAAGTTTTTTCCTGAAGATGTACATACCACGCAAGAGAGGACCGGCATCACCGCACCAGGGCGCGCAGGCGTGGTTCAGATTTTTCATCGTTGCTTCATAATGTTAAAGGATCATCCTCTACAAGAATTGTTGTTGGCCATTTAAAATTGAAAAGATAATGTGTTACAAGAATTAATGCTGGCCATTTAGAATTTTAGTTTAAGTTTACACCTGTTGGTGTTGGTGGAGTACTAGCTACCAAGGTTTAACCGTGAGAAGTGAAAAAACCGGTTAATTATATGTATATATAGTTAGAACAATCAAACAACTAAATTCAAGCATTAAATGGCCCACGATGAGAATTATCTGGATTGAAACCTGATCATTTTTCACACGGTTTTATAACGGGATTTCAAAATTTAAAACTTCCTCAAACTAGCTACCAAATTTTTTTTAAATTTTTAATACAACTTACCTTCCGAATTTGTTTGTTTACGTAATTATTAATACAGACCATTAAAAAAAAAAAAAAAAGCCTTCAAAAGTTGAGCACCTCCAAAATTTTTAACCGCCTCCATTTTAAACTTCAAATAATTATTATAATGCTGGCTGCCTATCTGATGATATTCATTTCAATTTTAAATTTTAAGGAAATGGATAAACTCTATGGAGATCAGTTGGTCATCTAACACCAATATAAAAATGGGATAAACAGCTCGACTTTTTGTTTACACTTTCATCTTTCACAACAAAATCACATTAAACAAATCAAACCATGGGGAAGTTCCAAAGAATCTTTGTTACTTTCACCATCATTCTCTTGGTTTGTTGCTGTTTTAGGAGTGAATCTACTAGTGTTGCAAATGATCGAGGTGCTTGGATATCATATGATGAACGTGCTTTAACAATAAAAGGTGAAAGGAAAATCATCATTTCTGGATCCATACATTATCCTCGTAGTACTGCTGAGGTACTGATTTATACTTCTTCTTTCTTTTGTTTTTTCTTTTAAATTGTTTTCTTTAATATTGTTTTTTCAAACAGAAAAAAAAGAATAATGGAAATTTCCACATGGTTTCTTATGCAAATTAGAAAATGCATGCAAAATGTTGAAAAAATTAAAACTATTTTCTTAACACTAATGTTTTTGCTTACCTTGATGTAGATGTGGCCATCACTTATTCAAAAGGCAAAAGAAGGTGGCTTGAATGCAATTGAAACTTACGTGTTCTGGAATGTTCATGAGCCAGTTCGCCGTCAGGTATTTCAAATTTCAAGTTTTTGCTTTATTTTCTTTAGTTATGGCATTTGGTTTTTTTTTTTCAAATAAAATTGTTATCTAACTATTTTTTTTATATATAAAAAAAAAATCCTTCTTCAATGCAGTATGATTTTACGGGGAATTTGGACCTTGTAAAGTTTATAAAAACTATTCAAGATGCTGGACTATATGCTATTCTCAGAATTGGTCCCTACGTGTGCGCTGAGTGGAATTATGGGTAATTAGTTAACGCTGATAATGATATCATTAATTTGCTATGTTCTTATTTTAATTATGTATCAACTCATGCGTAATGTTTATAAAGTTGAACGTGGCTTGTGTTTCAGAGGTTTTCCGGTGTGGTTGCACAATTTGAGCAAGGATATGGCTTTCAGGACAACAAATAAAATATTCATGGTGATTCAATTCATTTCTCGAATATGACTTAATTACTGTCTCCCATTCATCATATGTGTTAGACTTTATCTTCTTAATATATATGATTTTAGAAACAAATTTATTAGTTTATAAAACGAAGAAAGTAGTACCGTTTTCAAAACGTCACGAAATATTTCACTCATTTTTGTCATTGTTTTATGTCGACTTATCTATTTCAGCAAGAAATGGAGACATTCACAACTAAAATAGTTGATATGATGAAAAAAGAGAACCTTTTTGCCCCAGATGGGGGTCCTATAATCCTCTCTCAGGTTAGATCCGTAACTACATTTCTCCATTTTACCTTTAATTCTCTTTATAATTCCCTAAACCCTATAAAGAAATCATCATCTCTCTCTATTATAAGGGATCGATATTCTTTCCGACCTTATAAACATATATGTATATATATATATATTAAATGTGTTGTTCTACTCTGATGATATGTAGATCGAGAACGAATTTGGAAACGTGGAGGGCGACTACGGTAGTGATGGCTGGCCGTACGTCCAAGCAGTTGCTGAATTTGCTGATAGCTTAGATACTGGAGTACCATGGATTATGTGCCAACAGGACAACGCTCTGTATCCTATTGTAATTGCTATTCAATCTTATAATATTTTTTTAAAATCTTTTTTGTTGTTACAATAAAGGAGACTTATGTCGAACAGTTAAATTAACTATTACATTGCATTAGTGTGAAACCCCGATTACATCATGTTGGAGCACACTGCTAGGACCTCAATTAAACTTCCATTTAATTGAATGTTGCTAATTTGTGGTGAGTTATGATAGTTTGTTCCTGCTCTTTCTCTCAGGTTTCAACAGTTAATGGTTTTTATGGTGACCAATGGCATCCCCCAAGAGACTCCATCCCGAAAATCTGGACTGAGAGTTGGTCTGGCTGGTAATCATGTCGAAAAATACTGAAATTTTATGCAAATTTTTCACTTTTCGGGTTCAAGTAATTAATTGATTTCTAAATTTTGATTCCCACCCCCCGGGTTTATATTAATGATTTAGGTACCAGAAATGGGGTGAACCGTCTCCTCATAGACCTGCTGAAGATCTTGCTTTCGCCACCGCCCGCTTTTTCCAACTCCGTGGTACTCTACAAAACTACTACATGGTATGTAACAAAAAGTGTATATGGTTTCTTTCAGATTTTCATATACATTTTTATAACTTTCTTTAAATGTTTATGTTTGCAGTACCACGGCGGAACCAATTTTGGCCGGACTTCTGGCGGACCTTACATCATTACGAGTTATGATTATGATGCTCCGCTAAATGAATATGGTATTGTTATTAGACTCTAATTAAATTCAGTTTTTATGATTCGCTATATAAGCTTTTTTCCAATAATACATATGATTATTATCTCTTTGACCCTTCCTATGTATTTTTATTTGTGTACACCAGGTTTGCCAAATCAACCAAAATGGGGGCATCTCAAACAACTACATGAAGTTCTCCGATCAGTGGAGAAATTATTAACCTACGGTGACTTTGTTGACAAACCCTATCACGGGCGTGGTGATTTATATGTAAGTATTTCATCTATTTTGCATTTGTCATTTTTCCCTTTCGGGAGTTGGAAACCTATAGCTTTGGTGTATAAAAACCTTGTAGATGTCAACAGAGTTTTCTCACAATGGGTCGAGGGTTTGCTTCTTCGGTAACTCTGATAGTGGTAAAGCAGTGACGATCGATTTTGAAGGGCAACAGATCACCGTCCCTGCATGGTCCGTCAGCATTTATCGTGATTGCAAAACTGAGATTTTTAACACTGCTCGTGTAAGTGGAAAAAAGAAAGAAAAACCCTTTACTATATAGAATTGAAATCACTATCTTTGTCAAATTAAGTAGCGTGCATTAGCCTAATTTTGTTCTTCTTTGTAATTATACTTTCTTCTTAAATTACAGGTTAATGTCACTCGAGAAGTTTTGGAAAGAGTGAGACATCAAGGTCCGTTAAAATGGACATGGAGAGCTGAACCTATTGAAGCCATCAAGGGTCAGTCCGATACATTTGCTCCACATTTTTTGGAGCAGAAATCCGCCACAAATGATACATCTGACTATCTTTGGTTCATGACTAGGTACGTACGTACCTATGTGTTGTATATTCTGAAGATGAAACGATCCTTAGTATTCTTTACATATTGAACTAGAATCATAAGATGCCCGGAGTAATTCATTGTGTTTGGTGGTAAACATTATAGTGTGGATGCGGATGAGGATGATGGATGTGACCCACTCACGGGTCATGAGGTCACTCTAAACGTACGTACAAATGGCCAAGTACTTCATGCATTTTTAAACAAGAAGCATATAGGTAAATCCGCGTTGTACCCCTATTGAAATTTACTCTCAATGTTTGTTGATGCATTTGTAATTTATCTCACAAATTTGATTCTTTGTTTGGTGCTTAATTATAGGATCTCAATGGAGCCCAAATGGTTTTACCAGCTTTGATCTGAAGGGAGTTGGCAAAATTAAACCTGGATTGAATACAATATCATTGCTTAGTGGCACAGTTGGACTACCGGTACATACATTTTTCTTCTTAGCAATCATTCATACTTGGTAACCGTAACTACATACTTACCAGTTACCATTGCTTATTGATTACGATCTTTTTGTTGTACTTATTGATATCAGAACTATGGCTCTCATTTCGACACTGCGTCTATGTATGGGGTTTCTGGTCCGGTAACATTAACTACTTACAATGGCGATAATTTGGATCTGTCAAACGGACACTGGAGCTATAAGGTTGGTATGAGTGGCATTGACGAAAGAAAACTTTTCTCTGATAAGGAAAGGCGTGGTTGGAAAGAGAATCCTAAACTAAACAAACCACTGGTTTGGTACAAGGTAATGTTAGAAGTTTGTTTCTTATACTCTACATAATATTACTAACTCAATATATGTCCATGAAACGTAGAAAAAAAAATTATGATATTTAATTCTGAAAAACTTGTACTAAGATTTGAAATTTGTTTGTTTGTTTGTTGTGTTGAAATACTCCAGACAAGCTTTGATACTCCACCAGGCGTTGACCCGGTTGTGTTAGATTTGGAGGGATTGGGAAAAGGAACTGCATGGGTCAACGGGCACAACATTGGACGATATTGGCCGAGTTATATTGCTGGGTACGGGGGTTGTGACTGGTGCGACTACAGAGGAGAGTATAACCACCCTGAGTCGAAGTGCCGCACAGGTTGTGGAGAAGCATCCCAAAAGTATTACCACGTCCCTCGATCTTACCTTAACAAAAAGAAGAATGACTTGGTCTTGTTTGAGGAATTCGGAGGCAACCCTTTTAATGTCACTGTACTCACAGTTACTACTAAGAAAGCTTAGGGCTTGCATCGCAATTTGGGACGAATAAATAAGGGCAAGAGGTCGTTTCATTAATAAGTAGCTTGAGTACGAATTTTAATTCATGCTAACTGACTAAAGTTAGCAGAAATAAAGTAGAAGAAGTTCATAAGTTAACATATAATAAAATATGTTGTAATAGAGTAGGTTCCGTTCGATATATGCAAGTACCTTTATAAAAAAAAAGAAAGGCAAGCGACACAGTTGAATAATATTGTGATCTTTAATCTTTTCTTGTTCAATGCATGTCTTACTACCACCACCACCACCATAATAATAATAATAATAATAATAATAATAATAATAATAATAATAATAATAATAATAATATATTTGTATCTAATTTTGGCCTGGGGCCGTTCGTTGATTCTAGGTTCTTATCTTTCTTCTAGTAAAAAATAACTAATCGGTTTGGCTTTGTTAGCTACAAATAAATATTGTTTCTTTGGATCACTACAAATTGCAACAAATAATAAAAAGGCTAACTAATTAATTTAAAACTTACATGGTGTGGTAGTTTTTTTTTCGGTCATTGACCTCTCTTCGTTATACATACTGAGGGAGAAAAAGTAATGCTTAGAGCTTGTTAAAGAAGAAGAAAAAAGAATAAATTCAGCTTGGAGTTGTCCCGCTTTAGTTTTCCATTTCAGAATACTACATGTATACCAAGAACATGTGAAAGTTTCAAATTCCTTTTTCTTTTTCTTTTTTTTTTGTTATTTTCATTGAAAAAAGTTGAATAAGATTCTTATTTCATCATCAGCTGTTATCTTTTCGTTGGCATCAAAATCAGTTTTCTGCTTATCCCGTTGTATGAATGCTTAAGGTAAGATTTTTTTCTTTTTCTTTTTCTTAATGTTATTCTCAGAATTGGTTCTTACATGTACGCGAAGTGGAACTATATGGTAATCAACAATATTTACTTGATAATTATCAGTAATCTTTGTCATTGTTTATTTTTTCCAACATAATTATTTTCTTTCTTGTCTTTTCCAACTCCGTTACTTTGCGAGATGCTGAACCCGGTTTGTGTTTCAGAGGTTTCCAGCGTGGTGGCACAATCTAAGCCAACAATTAAACTCTTGTCCTTGCAGGACAACAAATAAACTGTTAATCATTATTCGTACTAGTTTCTGCAGTTGAAATTTAGATTACTATTTAAATTCCATATATAATGTTATAACTTGATAGAGTAATGATGGTTGTAGGAAAACTTTGCAAGAAAAATATAAAAGGAATGAATTAGAACTGTATATAATTAAAATTTATATTTTCGGGTTTATCTTTTAAGAGTTATGGAATAAGGTTTAACTATACATCATTTCTTACTAAAATTTCCTTTAAATTTTCTTTGAAAATATCACTGCTTATTTTGATAATAGGATTAATTTTGAGACGTTATAATTTAACTTATATTGTCTTATCCATTTCGGGAAGAAATGGAGATTTTCACAACTAACTTCCTTATTCTGATGTATTATCGTGAAGCTTAAAAATGTTTTTTTTTTTGCGAAATGGGCTTTGAGATTTTGTTGAACTGCGTGCATGCTGCATAAATTTGATGTATTTTTGGGTTTTGTTTTGGTTTTTGAAAAAAAGATGATATTTTCTTAGCTTTAGTGGTTTCTTGTTGGTTTATTTGAAGTTGCATCAATTAAACATTTGTATATAATTGAGCGGCTAGATACTTATTCTGTACCAAATTTAGGGAAAGCTAATTCCAGAGTTGGATTTGCCATTTTGGCGAAACTTTGGTCTTTTTTTGGTTGCTTACGTTGGTGAGCTGAAGTGTGTCAATGAAACTACGTAAATGATTGTTGTGTTATACAAAGTCACATGTTCTATGAACGTATAATTAACTACTTCATGTTTCTCATTGTTTCAAATTTAGGTGGTCAATGGTGATGCATTTTGGCGGACATCTTGTTTCATCTACTTGGAGTTGTGGAGAAATAAGTTTATTCATTTGCTATAGTTGTAGTGAGCTAAAATCTCCATTTTTGTACTCCCTCCGTCCCATAATTATTGTCCACTTTTACTAAAATGAAAGATTTTATTTTTGGTCAAACTTAACTATATTTTACCTTAAACAACCGGATATACCCCTACATAAGTAATTGTTTAACCACTAAGATTTTATGGATAATGTTTTTTACTAAGGACAAATGTGTAACTTGGTCCATAAAAAGTCAAATTGGACAATAATTTTGGGACAAAATTTTTTGGGCAAAGTGGACAATAATTATGGGATGGAGGGAGTATTAGGTACCTTATTTATCAGATAATTAATTAGAGTACTTGATTTCAAGTATTATCGCTATAAAAGTTCAACTAATTGGTATACACTATATATTAAAAAGTATATTATGGCATTTGTGATTATGATGTATTTTGTATAGACTAATTATTATTTAGATTAGATTTTAATTTAAGAAAATCGATGTAGGCACTTAACGAGACGCTTATAAGAATCCCCAATCCACATATCAGGAGTAACTTATAATTACATTGGACCCATGAAAGTGTCCTATTTTCAAAGCATGTTGGGACGGTTAAATTGATCTTAAACGTAATCAATATAACAACAAAGAGAATGGATGCGGAAGGAGTTGCGAGATGCCTGACAGATACCATTCAATTTGATAAGATAATCACGGAATTCTCTGCACGATTACGACGTGATTTTTGTACAAATGTTACATGTTATACGTACATATGTAAATGGGCAGCGAAAACAAAAACAATGTAACAGAATTGATATATACCCTTTGTACTGAAAAGGAAAAAAAATCAAGAAACGATGAAGGCAAATGTCATGCTCATGGCAATGCTGGCAGCAGCAGCTGCTCAGATGATCAGTAATTTTTTTATTTTTGGTAGCTGCTGGTAAGATGAGTATGGAGTGATGATTATTATTATTATTGTTGTTGTTGTTGTTGTTCTTCTTCTCCTTCTTCTCATTTGTTAATTTTGATTATTAATTGAACGGGGTGTTTTGGAGGATTATGATATTTAATATTTCCTCATCCAATTAAATTTTTTTATTTTTTTGACATTGTTATTAAAAAGAATGATGGATCGAAACTACACAATGTTTTCGACCGGAAATTAAAAATAACTTTTGCACAGGCAATGCAGGTTCGTTGATACAAGCATATGAGAAACAGTGCGTTGCGTGTGGTCCGGACCAAGTTCGATTGTGTGGGATGTCAATCCTTGTGCGTCGGAAAGATGCGTATATACAAGAATTTTGCAACCGATTTGTGGTAGTTTCTCGTCAATCTAAATCTTAATTCATCAGTTTGTCCTTAATTTAGTTGTTTCAGAAGGAAAATGGATATAAAACACATTAATAGTAGTAAATATGACGAAAAGAAAACCACACTTCATGTGCAATTTAAATAAACAAAAGAAAGAGAGAGATGAAAATTTATGTGCACCTTTTTGTCCCCATAAAATTTAATTTGTTTTTAACAATAATTTAATCATTCAAAACTAATTTTGTTGTGTCTGAATGGAAAAAATTAGCTGCTTTACATAAAACTTTACATATGTTGTTAATGTTACCCTATTCTTTTTCGACTAGCTAATATCTCTTTAATGTATCCATTCGTTAGCCGATTTTGTCCAATTTGTCTAGTTTCCGTTTAATTTAACAGAATTTTATTAGTTTTAATAATAAAAATATCCTAATATTTTCAAAAATTATAAAAATAACCCCAAGAATTTTTGAAAATAACAATATAGTCTCTTTTCACTTTTCATTTAATTTTTTCTGTTTTTAATTTTTTTTTTTGCTGTTTTTCATAACTATATAAATACACTGTATGATTTTTTAAAGAAACTATTTATTTTTAAACTCTACTATACAAATTTATAGTTACATAATTGTAATTCATGGTTGATTTACATAAACATATTAATTTTTAGTAATAATATGATTTAATAGTAATGATACTATTTTTTTATTCCGCTTTTTTCTTCCTAATCTAAAGAATAATAACATTTTTTTTGGTTTAATAAAGAATAATAATATTTAACTAAACCTAATGTTCACAGAAAAAGTAAACTATTTATCTTAGATTATAAAATAATTTATTGGTATATTTTAGCGTATTACAATTTAAGTCAACCGACTATGGATTGTATTATACAATTAAAAAGAATCAGTCTATTTCTATAGGTTAGTTACGTAAATTGTATGAAATTTTAATTATTCTTTTTGGGGATGGAGAGAATACAATTTAACTCAAAAGCCTATAAATTGTATTAATACAATTAAAAAAATTAAACAAAAATATTAAATAATTAACATCTTAAAAAAATTCTCCAAACATAACTTTTTCTTCCCTAATCTAACACCTACCCTCTATCACAACAATTTATCACTATATTGTTGCCTTCATTTAATTATTTTAAAATAAAATTATAACACTTCCTACTATAGTAATAATTGAGTAACAGTGTAGTGTTTACTGTGCAGGGGTGGCTTTACCATAAAGCAGGTGAAGCCGCCGCTTTAGGCCTCAATTATTAGGGGCCCCTATTTTTAGTATTTTTAATATCATATATATACACATATGATATTAAAAACTTTTGTAAGGCGGTTTTCTTTTCCGTTTGGGTAAGTTTTAAGCATTGCCTTGTGTAAATTTTTACTTATATTAATAAAATCGGGGTTCTCCCGCCAGGTACCGTCCTGGATTTTCCTAATATATAAGAAAACTCTATCACCAAAAAAGAATTATTTGTTTGAATTTTAACTCCAAAATTATTTATATACAGTAGGCGGAGTTAAAATTTTTTTTCCAAAATTATAAAACCTTAAGTTCGCCTACTATAAATTTTTGAATTTGTAATTGTCAATCTAAAATATGAATAAGAAGAAAGATTAACTTTTTTTATATACTTTTTTTAGTTTTTTTTTTGTTTCAAAAGGCCTAAATTTCAAAACTCGCTTTAGATCCCTTGAAACCTTAAGCCGCTACTGTTAGTGTGTTGAGCTTTATGAGAATCGATATAAAATTTATTCTCACCAAAGGATTTCTAACAAAGAGAGGAGTTTTACCAATATTTAAGTGAGATACACTAAAAGTGAGAGGGTTGAGTTAGATGATTAGCGGATTTAAGATGTGCGATGATTATTACTAAGAATTCGAGACATCGATTCCCACTATGGCCATCAATTTTTTTTTTTAAAAAAATGGAGTCTAGTACTGGAGTATTCTTTAAAAAAAAAAAGAAAACAAAACTTCCTATTAAAGTTATATATATTAATATCTCAAAAAATTATCACAAAATGTTAAGCCCCTGCAATGGTAAATTTATAAATTTTAAAAATTATTTGTATTATTTTCGTAAATGTCATAACACTATATTCTTGTATTGGGTCAATGTAGAAACAAAATAAGTTTTTCATTTTTCATTTTTTTTTACTTTCTGTTCGTGCTTGGCCTTTTGAAGAAACATTATACTCCCTCCGTTCTAAAAAAATAGTCTATATTGAGTTTTGGGTCTTGTACTGTTTTTAGTACAAATTTAAAAACTCAATGTGGACTATTTTTTTTGGGATGGAGGTAGTACATAATTTACTCTAGTTATTTTATAATTTTATAAGATAACCTATAGTCTGTTGAGTTAAATGGTAATACATTAAAATACCAATAAATTATTTTTTAGTCTATGCTAAAAATTTTACTTTTTTTGTGAAAATTTAGTTTTAGTTAAGTAATCTTATTCTTTATATTGGGGAAAAAAAAGATGAAAAAATAGTATCATTGTAAAAAAAAAAATTAATATGTTTATGTAAATCAATCATGAGTTAGAAATATGTAAGTATATATTTGTATAATAGAGTTTAAAAATATAGTTTTTATAAGAGTTCATATATTATAATTATATAATTATGAAAAACAATAAAAAGTCAAAAAAGATAGTTTTGTTATTTTTATAAATTTTTGGGGTTTATAATTTTTAAAACTATTAAGATATTTTTGTAATTAAAACTAATAGAATCTGTTAACTTAAACAAAAATTGGGCAAATTAGACAAAAACAACTAACGTTTGGATAGATTCGAGTAATATTGGTTAACCAGAAGGTAATATTGACAATGCATATAAAGTTTTGGGTAGATTGGGCAATCAAATAATTCGCTTTCTAGTCTAGTTTAAGAACATAGATTCTGACAAAAAAAAATTGAAGGTAATATTAACAACCCATGTAAAGTCTTGGATAAATTGATCAATTTTTCCTGTAAACGAAATAATAATAAAAAATAAAAATTACAAGAGCATTTTTTACTCTACTATTTACTCTAACTAACATCATTGTTTCAAATTTATTATCCTATCCTGATATGGCTCTCTACGCGGCTATTACACTTTTTTTCTCCCGGCATTCATGCATCTCAAATTCTCAATAAACTACAATTATGGTTAAAAAAAAAAAAAAAACCCCACAATTTAAAGAAGTTCATTACAAAACGTAATGTTCCTCCTCTCCAACAAAATATTCTACATCGTAACTATAAATAATAATAAAAAAAGGTACAATCACAAGGATGCATAAATTACTGTACTATTAAGTAATTTGTTAATTACAGCTTTACCAATTTTTAGATAAGAAAATTTATACGCGTCGTAATCTTTATGTGAATCCGTTGATTCAAAATTGAGTAAAGAAACTTAGGTTAAAAAAGAAAGGAAGAAATTTGGCGGGGGCTAGAGCAGTGAATTTGATTTGGTGTTTTACTTCCGTTTTGGGCCAAATCCCATATAAAATTATTGGAATTTGTAAATTTTGTGTCACGGCGAAATCGACAATTCATTTGCCAAACCTCAAATTCAATCCCTATCTCAAACTTACCCGGTTCTTTTCAAAACTTAATTTTAAAATTTCAATAAGATAGACACTGCACAGATCAACATTGATCTCTCTGGTTCTGTTATCCTTCACCACTATATATATCGGACGAGCAACTTCGCTCTTCGTTGTACATTTTCATACTATTCAACACACAAACAAACCCAGCCATGGGGGTGTTCTATAGAAGCTTTGTTATCTTCACAATTCTTTTCTTGGCATTTTGCTGTTCTCTGAGTGAATCCACTCATATTTCATACGATAATCGAGCTTTGAAAATAGATGGTAAAAGGAAAATCATCATTTCAGGATCCATACATTATCCTCGAAGCACTGCTGCGGTACCATAGATACTTCTTTTTTTCCCCTTTTAGATTTATCGTTTTTGTACTTGAAAATCCTGGATTTTCATTACAAAATGTATGCAAAAGAATGACAATGCTTTTTACATGTTATTTCTACCCGGCCTGAATATAATAACTGTTGTTATTCTTGATGCAGATGTGGCCTTCCCTCATTAAAAAGGCAAAGGAAGGTGGCTTAAACGCAATTGAAACATACGTGTTCTGGAATGCTCATGAGCCCGTCCGCCGCCAGGTAGATATTGTATTGCTTTGTTACATTAAGAAAAAGATACTCCCTCCGTCACATAATTATTGTCCAGTTTAGATTTTTATTTTTAGTTCAATTTGGACTAGAAGTGAAAATGCAAACTGGGCAATAATTTTGGGACGGAGAGAGTACATTATTTGGCTTTCGTATTAATTGTGGTCTAACTTATGTGAATCATTAGTATGATTTTTCGGGAGACTTGGACCTCGTGAAGTTCATAAAAACCATACAAGATGCGGGACTTTATGCTATTCTCAGAATTGGTCCTTACGTATGCGCGGAGTGGAACTATGGGTAATTGACAATAATCACTTTATAATTCTCAGTAACCTTACCTTTGTCATTGTTTATATGACTTTGCCATAATATGAACCCTGTTTGTGTTTCAGAGGTTTCCCAGTGTGGTTGCACAATCTGAGCAAGGATATGGCTTTCAGGACAACAAATAAAATATTCATGGTCATTACTCGAACGAACTAGTTTTAGAGTTTGATAATAGGATAATCTACATTTTGTTGGGTCCTTATGATTTTGTCTTATCTATTTCAGGAAGAAATGGAGATTTTCACAACTAAAATAGTTGATATGATGAAAAAAGAGAAACTTTTTGCTTCTGACGGAGGTCCTATCATCCTCGCTCAGGTTCAATGGACATTTCATTAGTTCTACTTAATTTCCCTTTCAAATGTCAAGTTTTAGTTAGGGATATATGGATTTATTTTCTGTACATATAAAAACTCATTGTTCTACTATGACGATATATGTGTATGTATACAGATTGAGAATGAATTTGGCGACCTCGAGGGCGCATGGCACGGACTCGGGGTTGATTATAAGCCATATGTGACAGCGGTAGCTAAATTTGCTGATGGTTTAAATACTGGAATTCCTTGGATTATGTGTCAAGAGCATGATGCTCCGTTCCCTATGGTGAGTGTTTATGGTCGATTCAACGTTGATTGTTTTCATTAACCCCTTTAATTAACATTTTCTCGGTGCATAAAATTAAAAATGTTTAGTTTGTCCTTTTTCCCTACTTTTTTTTTTTGGTCTTAGATTGAGACCTGTAATGGGATGTATTGCGATGGGTTTACTCCTCAAAACACAAGTATGCCAAAGATTTGGACAGAGCTTTGGACTGGCTGGTAAAATTGAAATTAAATCTATATATATATATATGCTACATAAAATTAACTTGGGGTGACATAACTATTAATTCGTAGATTGGGTTTTTTATGTGATACTGAAAGGTTCAAGGTTTGGGGTGACTTGGATCCTCATCGACCAGTGGAGGATGTCGGTTATGCAGTTGCTCGTTTTTATCAGCGAGGTGGTAATCTACTGAACTATTACATGGTACGGGATTCTTAACTCCCCCTTGATGAATTGACTCGAATACAAAATAATTGTTCAATACTTTCGCACTTCATTTTGAAAACAGTACCACGGTGGAACTAATTTTGGTCGGAGTTCCGGTGGACCTCAAATCACGACCAGTTATGATTATGATGCACCCCTCAACGAATACGGTATGAATGTATAATCAATGTTGTTGCTATTTATTATATGTATCTTATAACTTGCTGAGCTTTTTTTAGAAGGTTATATAATTCCCCCACCCCTATTGAAAAACCATACGCCAGGTTTGCCAAATCAACCAAAATGGGGGCATCTGAAACAACTGCATGAAGTTATCCTGTCGTTTGAGAAAATTATAACCCACGGTAACTTCGTAACAAGAGATTTTGACAATGCCGGCTGGAAGCGTGTAAGTAACCAAAGCGTGCACTTCATTTTTAAAATTTATTTTTTCTTGTGCACTTGTTTGGTATTTGAGAAAGCGTTTCTTATTATAAATAAACTTTATTAGGAGATGACGGAGGTTACTTATCAAGGGGAGAAGTTATGCTTTTTCGCTAATGGTGAATATGAGACTTACACCTTCCACTATGAAGGACTAGAGTTCCCAGTTCTTCCTTGGTCTGTCAGTATTGCTCAAGATTGCGCCACTGAGGTTTTCAACACTGCCCGGGTAATTCAATTGCTGACGGGTTTTTCTATTTATAATTTCCCAGCTAGGTTTAATTACTTACGCATGAATGTTTTTCATGTGTTTTATAGGTTAATGTCACGAAAGAAGTGATGGAGTACAATAAACAACAAGGTCCATTAGAGTGGACATGGAGAGCCGAGCGTGTGGAACAACTCAAGGATCAATCAGCTAAAGAAAAATCGGTCACTTTTGCTGATGAGTTGTTAGAACAGAAATCTGTTACAAATGATACTTCTGATTATCTTTGGTACATGACCAGGTATGTATAATATTATTTCAAAATCAACACTTCTTATCTCGATTATCTCGAGCAACAAGTTACTAGCTAGACTGATCCTTTTTCTCCCCCCTTTTATATACGAAAATCGTTTTAGTTTGGAAGTGGATGAATGCTCTTCTACATTGGAGGAGGGGAATGTTACCCTGAAGGTTCATACAGATGGCCAAGTTCTGCATGCATTTCTCAACAAGAAGCGTATCGGTACGTACATATCGACAATTGTACCATTTGACTCTGATTTTTTGCTTTTTTTTTTTTTTCCGTTAAAAGCATTAGTTAAATTTTTATCTCACAATAAGAACTCCAGGAACTCATTACCAAAAGGGTGGAGGCTTTGTTTTGGAGGCAGCTGGCAAACTTAAACCCGGGATAAATACAATATCACTTCTTAGTGCCACCGTCGGATTGCCGGTATGATCACTTATTCCTCCTAATTTAATTTATTCGGCAGCTCACTTTTACTTTTTCCTCACTTTTCATATTGAATTACATATCAGAATTATGGCGTGTTGTTCGATAAGAGTAGCTATGGAGTTGTTGGTGAGGCAACTTTAACATCTCTGGCTGGTGGACATATTGATCTAGCGGGCGCGCAATGGGGTTATAAGGTTGGCATAAGTGGTATTGACGAGAGGAAATTCTACTCCGACAAGGAAAAGCGAAATTGGAAGAATAACCCTCCAGTCAATAAACATTTAGTTTGGTACAAGGTAACTAATGTTCGCATAATATTGATTCTAATGTTGTTTTGTTCTTCTAATAATAATACCAGTCCGTCTGCATCAAAAAAAATAATAATAATAAAATAAAAAAATTAAAACCTGTTTGTTTGCTTGATCAGGCAACCTTTGACACTCCATCGGGCGTTGACCCGGTTGTGCTGGATTTAGAGGGATTGGGGAAAGGAGCTGCATGGGTCAACGGGAATAACATTGGTCGGTATTGGCCCAGCATCAGGAGACCAGACATTGGTTGCAATCCATGCGACTATAGGGGACCCTATAACCAGAATGATGCAAAATGCCGCACAAATTGTGGAGAACCAGCCCAAAAGTTTTACCATGTGCCTCGATCCTTCTTAAACAAAGATACCAAGAAGAACGACTTGGTCTTGTTTGAAGAGTTTGGGGGAGATCCTTCTCAAGTTAACGTCCGAACTGTTACTCCTAAAAAAGCTTAGTCCAATCATGGAACCATCAAAGGAATAATAAAATGTAGCAGAATTGCTTTAGTGTAACATTTGGTAGGTTGCTTTATGTACTGGGTTCTCACCCCTTGACAATAATTGGTTCCTGCTAGTAGCCCTCCTCATTATTATGCAGAAAACTTATTAATGTAGCTTATCAATCAATGAATTTGAATTCAATCATTTGGTGCCTGCAGTGACCTCTCTCTCTTGTTCTTTCTTATGTATCTTGTGTGTCTAACTTACCAGAAATGTTGTCTGAATTCCGAACAATAGTCCACTTGGTTGTACCATTTTATATAGTTCAATAAAATGAAAATTTTTTGGGACAGAGGAAGAAATTACAACTTTCCTTCCCGATCCAATAAACCTGATGTGGACGAGGAAGGATAGAAGAATGGTATCACTAGGTTTTTGAAATTAAGCATTGAAAGTTAAAAAAAAAAAAAGGAAAGGAGATTACCTTAGGTAGCATTGGTTCGGGTCGAACCCATTGACAATTGGCCCATTTCTGATGGAACCTCAACTCGGTCAGAGGGATCCTGAAAACAGACAATGAACCTTCTCTCCTCTAAAACTTTTGCCGACGACGACGCCCGTCCACCAGCCGTCCCTAAGAAAAGCATCGACATAATCGCCTATATCGAAATTCTCCTCCGGCGAGGTGGGAGGAGGAGGCAATGGGCGGACACACTGGATATCCACAAGCTCCTTGAGCGGCGCATTGGAACCTTCCTCGGCGATACTCGACGGTAGCCTTGTGGCATCGGTTGTTTGAGTGTTCAGAAAAGGGGAAGCCTGCCAACGGATGAGAGTGGCGACGAAAAACGCGCCTTCGAAGCCTTTCTCCGTGGAGGTTACCTCCACCAGATGTGGCTCCGGCTTCCCCTTGAAATTTTCGAGCAGAAGATTGTGGAAATGCTCGTTTGGAGGAGATCCGGTGGTTGGTGGACGATTTGACAGCAGAGGAACGTCGAATCTTCATTGGATGTGTCGACTTTTTGGAATGTTATTCGGCGTTTTAGTTGACCGTTTTTACTACCACAGTGTTTGTGTGTGTAAGGATTTTGTTAAGTAAAAATTTTTTCAAAACTCAACGGAGGAACAAAAATCCTTCAACGGTGTTTTAAAACTCTACAACGGAGGAACAAAAACCCTTGAAAGCAAGTCCCCTCCCTCCCTCTTAGGCATCACAAAAGTGGTCTTCTTCATACATGGGACAATCCCTTTTCCAAACCTTCAAGAATGCCCAACCAGCTTGCACCTTCCTTCCATGCATTGATCCTTTTTGCACCCCTCTTCTGGGACACGCTGGTACAAAATTTTCCCTCCAAAACCCAGTGTGTCCTTTTGTGGTAATTTAGACTTGAGTTTTATTTTCTTTTTTTTGTAACATGCTGTAAACCCATGGAGAAAGTACAGCTTATTAATTTTATTCCTATCTTCCCTTGGTTTTCCGCTGTCCTCATCTTAATAATCCTTACGAAATCAGTTACACTAAGTTCCGACTCTTTGTAGTAGACTTTGAGCATAAGCCCGAAAATTACACAGCCACAATACTTATGAGAACTGCTGTCTGAAATCCAAACTTCCAGTGGCAATGAATTATTACTATATACTCCATATCACCAGTGATCTTTACAGGAACATATGCCGCTTGAAAAACAATGAAATCCCGAATTATCTCTTACATAAATATCCCTCCGTGCCACAACAGAAACAATCTTGAAAAACGTATGACAGTCACCGCAAAGAAGTACATTTTTCATAATCCGAACAGGTTTACCAGGTCTCGTTGAAAGAAGTCCATATGTAAGAGCTAATTTTGCGCTGTGGTAGAACAAAAAATCCTGCTTCTGATGTTCCTCTGCCTCCTGCAGCACGAAATTTGTATCAGGCACATATCCAGCCTTGAGGCACTCCAGGACTAATATTTTGAGGGCTCTGTCAATATCTTTAAATTGCGGATGTAAATTGTCCCTCGCAAAGAAGGAATGAACCTTGTTCTGATGAATTGTCCAGCTTTTTACAGGGAATTTCTCAAACCCTTTCTCCCTCATCTGCTCCCTAACAATTTCAGAGCAGTGCCATCTTCCAGAGGCTGAATATAGATTTGATTTCAGTATGAATGCGGATGGATCTTGTGGCTCTATGGAAAGAATTTCCTTGACAGCCCTTTTCCCAATGGTTGCATTCTGATGTACTCTACAACTATCAAGTAAAGTGCGCCATACAGAAGCTTTTGGCACAAACGGCATACTTTTAATTGTTCTTTCTGCTTCTTCAAGCAGACCCCAGCAACCTAAGACCCCAACAAGTTGGGTGTAGTGTTCTGAGGTGGGTTTGACCTGATAAATTGGTTCCATCGAGCAAAATAACTTGCGGCAATACTCAACCAAATTTGCGCTAGTGTGTCTGTAAGCAGAAATCACAAAGAGAAAGGTCACTGAATCTGGTTGCACCCCTAATTTCTCCATCTTCTTCCACGTCGACAAGGCTTCATCACCTTGTCTATGGATGACGTAACCAGCTAACAAACTATTCCAAGAAACTGTTTCTCGCACTAACATATCGTCAAAGACTTTAACTGCATCTTTCATTTCCCCGCATTTAGAGTACATGCTGATGGTTGCATTTCCCACTTTAGTATCGGAGAAAAAACCAGACTTAAGTGAGAGACAATGCATTTGTTCTCCAAACTTCATAAACCCTAGCATGCCACATACACTAAGAATTGCACTTGCTGCAACTTCATCCAAAACCAATGACTTCTCTGAAAAAGCTTGGCAGATTAGAGAAGTAGCTTCATCCAGTTGTCTGTTACGGGCATATCCACATATCATTGATGTTAATACAACTGACCTATCCCAATAAGATGGCCATCGGCAAAATATCTGCTCTGCATCTGAGATTCTACCACACCAAGTACACAAGTCGAGTATTGCTGCTTCAACACAATAATTTCTCCCCAAACCAAACTTTAGAACAAATCCATGAATTTGCTCACTAATCTCCCTCTGCATCAGTGATGTACATGCTTTTACAGCAGTGGTCAAAGTAAAATCATTCAACTCAAGACCTTCTTCCACCATTTTGACAAAGAGGCTCAAAGCACTCCAGCCTTCATCATTATGGCAATATCCAGCTAAAAGAGCATTATAGGAAACACAGTTCTTCTCTGGCATCCTATGAAAAGCCTCCAGCGCCAAATCAACAAGCCCAAACTCCATATATGCTGTTATCATCTCAGTCCAAGTGAAAACGTCTTTTTCAATCATGTTGTCAAACAAATGCATCACATCTTCCAACCGCCCGCACTTGGTGTAAAATCCAATAAGAGCATTATTGACACTTAAATTGTTCACATGTCCCAGCTTAATAGCATAAGCATGAAGTTCCCGACCTTCTCTCTCTCGAAAAGACCCAGCAGACGCAGCCAAAAGACTCGACAAGGTGAAGCGATCGACTCTAAGATCATCACTCTCAAACACATTGCGGAGACATCCAAACGCTTCATCATACATACGTTCTTTAACCAGACTAGAAATCAAGGTATTCCACGAAGCAATGTCCCTTTGAGACATATAATCAAACAACCGAAGTACAGAGTCTGAACGCCCCCATTTACTGTACAATCCCATCAAAGCATTTACAACATATGTGCAATCTAAAAGACCCAACTTTATCACAAAGGCATGAACTTGGTAACCTAATTCAACGTCCATCAAACGAACGCAAGCAGTCAATAGAGCCACAAAGCTGTATTCATTAGGTACAATACCTGAAACCCTCATCTCGGAAAATAGCTGGACAGCTTCATTTTCTCTGTTGGACTTGGCAAAACCAGATATCAAAGCGGTGTAAGATACCACATCGGGGCTCCGAAGAGTCTTCAGAACCCTGCGTGCCCACTCTAATTGACCAAGCTTAATGTAAGCTGCAATAAGACGATTGAACAGATAAACATCTTCTTCCTGGAGAAGCTTGACAATGGAAGCGTGAACCGTATTAGCGAGTTCAACATCGCCATGTCGGACAGAGAGGTTGAGCAACAGGGAGTAATCATGGTCAGGAAATTCAGAGCCATTCAAAGATTTTGAGGTCATAAGGCGCCCGACGGAAATGGGGTCGCTTGGCGGGAATTGCGGGGAGAGACGGAGGCTTTGGGGCTTCGGGTTGGGTTTCGAAGGTGAAAGAAATGAAGTGATTTCATGTTTTGAAAAGTTTCTAAGGTTCGACGGACTATGGCGAGCAGAGTGAAGGGGTTCCGGTCGAGAGACGGCGACAGCGGCGGAGGTGGCGGAGGTGAGGTGGATTACAGTGGCCATAAAAAAGGACGGCGCCAAGCATTGCCGCCCTGCCGGAGATAATTGGGGCACTGCCGGTGTCTTTCTTCTTTGTGCGCATACAGTAAACAGGTGGATAACATTTTCTAAGGCTCTGTTTGGTTCGTTTTTTTATTGATTTTTTTAGAATTTTCAATTAATACATTTTTACATTTTTAATGTAATTTTTACATTTTTAATATATATTTTTACATTCTTAATATAAAAGAATACATTCAGAAAACGATCCAAATATAGCTTAAGTGGATAAAGAAACCGAAAAAAATATGTCATGTTATTAATGAAATACAGTAATTTTTGTTTTTGTTTTTCTTTTTTTTTTGGTTAAGAAAAATATGACCAGGCCAAAGCCAGCCTTGTTCATAGTACAAGACCTGCAAGCCTTCAAGTCTTGCTCTAACAAAAGATTAATACATCCGGGACAATATTAAAAGAATATACGGCTAAGCCTTCTTTTGCCAAGGTGTCCGCACAAAGGTTATCCCTTTTACCTTATTAAAACAGAAGAAATGAAACTTATGTGGTAACTAAGTATGCATCTGTTTTGGCTCCAATGCACCATATTTCAGATTTCAGGAGTCTTTTTGCCACGTGTAAGTCTCTTTTAATTAGAAGTTATATAATTTTTTTTTTTAAAAAAAAAGCACGTGTTTTACTACAAATAAGGATCAGTTACATTTCAAACGAATGGATATATTAATTCAAATTCAAATGTCCAATCGTATAGTTTTGCAGGCTTAATATAAACAAAAATAAAAATACCTAAATCCAGCAATTAAGAATAATGCCTTATAAACTAATTATTTATTATTCCCTTATAACCTCAGATTTATAGGTATATTTTTTTAAACCCCAAATCATAGCATAAATGATATATACGCCAAATTAATTCCTCAAAAAATAGTAATTCAATTAGATTTTAATAAAATAGTAATTTAGAAGGGGCGCCCGGACCAAACATCTAGTTATCCTTAAAGGTGAGTGCAAATTGCACTTTCCTAAAGGTGTTTTTGTTTTTTATTTGTTTTCACTTTCAAAAATTATAGTTAAATTGCTACTTCTTTCTTCTTTATTATAACACATTTTAATTTTTCATAGATTTCATTTATAATATTCTTTCAATTATTAAAAATAAAAATTTAAATATAAATTGTCATATCTATTATGTTGTTCCAGTTATTATAAGGCATATTTAAAATTTTATTTTTGAATTGAAAAAACACTATAATTGAAATAAGGAGAAATCCAAATGCCTATTTTCATAATAAGAAATATCCACAAAAATAGTTCGCATTAAGTTTTAGATTTATATTTTTTTATACAAATTTAAAAAATTTAATATGCATTATTTTTTTTTGGAAGAGGAGGAGTACAGTATTCATAAATCACAAGTATTGTCTGTCTAAGTAATAATTTTCCTTTTCTTTTTCGATGCATTGAAAAACAAAAGTTTTTTTTTTTTAAAAAAAAAAAGCTAAATAAAGGAACAAAGTGGCAAAATGAAGTTCAATGTTATACCCGACCCGTTTCGATTTCGAACAATTTCATACTCAAGTATTTTGTTAGGAAAAGAATACTCCCGACATAATTGTTCAACTGCGGGCCAAAATCATAAGGTCTGACTTCTGAGAAATCACAAGAAAGGGGGGAGAAAGAACTGATCGCAGTGGCCATGGAAGAGTCCCGAAAACACCAGGTTCCTTCTCTTTCCTACTCCCTGCGCGGTGCATTCGTGGTTGAGTGATTGATCTTGGAACAATTCTTGTGCTTATAATGTTGATTGTTGATCTCAGGTATCATTGCGGGGAGCCAGTGCGAAGGAGCTATCCAGGGAAGAGCTTATTCAGAAGGTTTCTCAGCAAAGAGAACTTCGGAATCATATCCGCAGAGCCACCGCTGCTGCTCTTCTAATTCAGGTCTGTAACTTCATCTTCAGCGCATAGCTTTTTTTCCCTTAGAATTTCGTGGTAATTCAGATATTATTTCGGTTTTTTAGCGAGAAACTTGCTAGAAGTCAAAATGCGAGCTCCTTACGGAATTTATTAATTTTATCCTTGACTACATGTCTTGAAAGTTTAGAGTTAGGATGGAATTTTGAATCGTAGTCCAAGTACTCCCTCCATCCTGAAATGATTTTCCAGTTTGTATTTTCATTTCTTAGTATAAATTGTACTAAAACTGAAAATTCAAACTGGCCAATCATTTTCGGACAGAGTATAATTCTTGCATTATTTTTACTTTTTTTTTTTTTTTTGGAATTCTTTTGTTGCACTTACCGTTCCATTACCATTATGATATGTTCAGTATATCTGCGATTATTGCAAATTTTATGCAGAGAATTTGGCGGGGCCATAATGCAATCAAAGTAGCTGCTTTGCAGCTTCAGAGAGAGTGGTTTACATTGATGAATCAAGAGGTCATGTCTAGGGACAAATTGCAGATTGTCTGCATTGTTCTAAGGCCCTTTATCTTCTTTATGACATCTTTATCAAGTCGAAGTCGTAAATTTCAATCCAGAGAAGTTGATTGCATGAAACTTTGTTTCAAGGTTCTTTTAGAAAGTATAAATTCAACTGGTATGCCTTTCATCTCCTTCCATTAGTTTCCAAGTTTAAGCCTCTTGGCATTTCAGTTTACTAAGACTTTGTTCTATGGAAGATTGGAACGTATTACTGTTTTTTTGTGCTTAAAATATTGAACATTCGAAGCATCATATCTTCTATTATCTTCTGTTTTCCTCTAAAGCCACCGAAAGCCATGCAGATTTTGTTCACTCAAAGACAATCACTTTATCTTGTACACGTGTCATTTTGTTTATCTCGACATGTCTGCTGGATTTTGAATTTGGCTTTTGATGTGTGGTTGTTCTGAACTTGTAGATCCAAGTAAAAACTTTTGCTCTTTGGTTGTGGGTAGCTCTGAAGAGAGAAGAATATGGAAGCATCAATCAAAGAAGCTAATTTCCCTGTGTCTACATAGTTTGCTGGAGTTTGACTACTCTATGAGTAGGGTTCATGATACATCCACTATATCATTAGCTATGCGGTTAGCAGTTGTCTTGACTGATCGAAAAGCTTGGAAAAGCATAACAGATAGCGATATTCAAGATGCAGATACAGCATTGAAGAATTTAACCTGGTTTTTAGGCAGCAAGGAAAGTGGGGCTTACAATATCATCAGGAGATACATTATTCAATTGCCACCCTCTATTCCTAGTCAAGGAACCTCTTTGGGCACAACAGATGATGGCTTCTTGATCACCGCTAGTGTGCTAACTGTAGCATTGCGTCCTTTTCATGTAACCGAGGTGACTGCAAATGATAGTGGTGTACACTGTGCAGCTGAAGGTTACTGTATTTCTCTGCTTACAATACCTTGGTTTTCTCAGCGTCTACCTGCTGTCCTTCTACCTGCTCTCAGACACAAATCTGTTTTATCGTATTGTCTCAGGAGGATGCTGGTAAGTACAGTCTAGACTAGAAGTCATACTTGTTTATCTATGAAATTTATCTTTGTGATATCTTGCAGACCTATATATATATGCTCAATGTATTGCATGTGTACTTGAAACTTTTGAACTGTCTGTGGATGTTTCATGTCAGTCAAAACATAGGTCAGTAAAGAAATGATTGTGTTATGGTTGTTCTTTTTCCTGTATGCCCCAGAAAACCTTTTGAGCAGCTTTTGAACTCAGAACTGTAATTGGTTAACAATTTCGTTTATATTGCCAGTACATAATAGGTTTCATTTTTGATCAGATATACAGTGATAAGTTATGCATTCATCTGTCAATTAGTCATGTTTATCTTCACCTTATAAATTTGGTTCTTTATCATAATCGGAAAAGAGGTGGGGCTGATGTATTCTCCAGCTAAGTATGCTTTTTGAGTGTTAAATAAAAACTTTGCAGTTATCAGCAGTTTTTTGGTTGAGTTGGATGTGAACCTTCATTTTGGTGTTTCGGTTTTGGTAACCGTTTAATTTGGTTTGGATTTCAGAAGGTACATTTGGCCAAAAAACATCCAAAAAAAAAAGAAGAAATCCCTGAACCGCACCCACCCTAAATTGAAGTTAAAGATTACACCATCTTATTGTTGTTCACTTGTTTGCTTACGCTCCTTGTATCATGTTTCAATTTATTTTCATGGGGATGCTCTGCATAGATCACAATGAGGCTAATTAAACTCTGGCAGGTGATGGCAGATGTCGAAAGATAGAGTTTTGAAGGACTTATCAGATATGGATCAACTGGAAACAAATTTGTATGCAATGGAGATGCCAAATGTTGCTTGGGCTCTTGCAAATATTGTCTTTCTTGCGACTGGGCTAGATAGTAATGGACTTGGTTCTGCGAAATTTTGCCTGGGATTAGATGTCGTGTCATATGTCAACGTTGTTGTCTTGCTTGCAGAAAATCTGTTGTCACGTTTTGAAAAAGATAAAGCGATGAGTTTGGGGAAACGAGAAACTGGTGATATAGACAACCAGGCTGATTTTATTGGAAAAGAATCGCATGAATCTGAGGCTATTCATGAATCCTTAAAGATGTCATACACTGACCTTCTTAGACCAGTTTGTCAGCCATGCCATCTCATGGAACTTGTGAACCTGGAAGGAAATATTTCTGCTCAGAATACTGATAATCTATCACATCATAGTACCATTTGGAAGGTAGGATTGCTTGATGTAGTTTACTATTACTCAAGCATTCTAAGAGTATTTTCAGTACTGAACCCCATGGCTGGGGCTCTGCCAGTCCTCAACATGTTGTCTTTTACCCCTGGATTTCTTTCAAAGCTATGGGATGCATTAGAAAAATCTCCTTTTAAGAACCAAATTCCTATTGCGAATTTGTCTGGCAATATAACTTCCAGAGGCAAAAGTGGTCTACCTTCAGACAGAAAGCAGAAGAAATTTGCTAAAGAGGGTGGTAGTAGATGGGTCAATGCGATGCATAAATTTTCTGGGAACTCAATAACTAAGTCAAGCCATACAGACTCTGCAGAAGACTCCAGTTTGGGAAGACTCGCAGATCAGTCTCCTGGTGTATGGAATGTGGAGATGCTAAGATCTGGCCCTGTTGGCTTATCTAAGGACGTGTATTGTCTGCTTCATTTATTTTGTGCCACATACTCTCACCTGCTTTTAGTTATGGATGACATTGAGTTTTATGAGAAACAGGTTTGATCGGGTTCTCTTCTTCTTTGATCGACCATACTAGAAAGTCTTTTTAGCGGTGTTTTGCTAAACTAGTTTCACCATTTTGTAAAACCTAGGTGCCCTTCGAATTGGAGCAGCAGCGAAAAATTGCATTGGTGCTTAATACACTTGTCTACAATGGTGTATCCCACAATTTAAGTCCTGACAATAAGCCTTTGATGGATTCTGCAATTCGATGCTTGCATTTGCTCTACGAAAGAGACTGCAGACACCAGTATTGTCCTCCTGCGTTATGGCTTTCACCTGGAGAAGGAAATCGTCCACCAGTTGCTGTAGCTGTCAGGACTCATGAAGTTATGTGTGCAGCTGTAAAAGAAGATAATACCTCATCCTCTTCTATTATAACATCTGTTATCACTATTATTCCACATGTCTTTCCTTTTGAAGAAAGGTAAATGCTCTGCAGCTATCATATTCATATCATCTAAGCTTGAATAATCACTTAGGTATTGGTTTTTCGCCACATGATTATCTGAATCAAATTTTCCCTCTTGTGACTTGTAGAGTTGAGATGTTCAGAGAATTAGTCAATATCAACAAAGCATCTCGTAGAATGGCTGGTGAGGCAGTTGGACCCGGCCCTGGATCAACTGAGATAGTTATTCGCCGTGATCATATTGTTGAAGATGGTTTTCGGCAGCTGAATGTTCTTGGACCAAGGCTAAAATCTAATATTCATGTTTCATTTGTTAGTGAATCCGGTCTTGCTGAGGCTGGCCTTGACTATGGTGGGTTGTCCAAGGAGTTCTTGACCGACATAGCAAAAGCTATGTTCTCACCAGAGTGAGTCTTTGGTATTATGCATTTCTTGTTCTTGTATGATTTTAGTTTAAAATTTTAGTCTATAATATCTTCATTCACTAATGGTGATTTCAATATTTTGCTTTCCCAAGGTATGGGCTGTTCTGTCAGAGCTCCACCTCAGATAGACTTCTAATTCCTAATACAGCTGCAAGATTTCTAGAGAACGGGATCCAAATGATTGAGTTTCTTGGAAGAGTGGTTGGCAAAGCTCTTTATGAAGGAATATTACTTGATTACAGTTTCTCACATGTTTTTGTACAGAAGCTGCTGGGCCGCTATAGCTTTCTTGATGAATTGTCAACACTTGATCCTGAGCTGTACAGAAATCTTATGTACGTTAAGGTAAATTTTGTGATGAATTGGAAAAGTTCCCATGGCTAGTGAGCAATTTGATGTATCGACTTTTGTCCTTCCCTAACCTCCTCTTTGGACTACATCTTCTTCGCATAGCATTTTTATAAATATGTATCTAGATGTTGGCCTTTCTTTAAGATTGTTACTAGTAGTTCTATTGGACTCCTCTTTGGTTTCAATCGCATTTTCTTGTTCATTTGTTTTTCCTTTCCCCAAGTTCAACTTTATATTTTGACGTTCAATGAATGTTCTGTGTCCTATTAGTTATGGAGATAGTCGAAATCTTCTTAGATTGTTCTAAAAGTACCTTGTGTTTTCTGAACACATATGCAGCTTTATGAAGGTGATATCAAGGACCTGTCACTGGATTTCACAGTAACTGAAGAAGCACTTGGTAAAAGACAGGTCATTGAGCTAAAACCCGGTGGCAAAGATGTAGCTGTTACTAATGAGAACAAGTTGCAATACATTCATGCAATTGCAGACTATAAACTTAATCGGCAGGTTGCAATGCATTTCTCGGTGATTTCTGTGGAGCTTATTGGTTGCTGTTTCTTTGGCTTATTTTTTGTGTCAAAACTAAACTGCAGATCCTGCCGTTCTCAAATGCATTCTATAGAGGGTTGACTGATCTTATTTCTCCATCTTGGTTAAGATTGTTCAATGCGAACGAGTTTAATCAGGTAATTATTCTCTCAGGCATAATTACGGATGGTTATCTCTGTGTTGATTTTTGTTCAAGTGATGCCTATTTGTAGACGATCCTTAACATTGCAGTGCCACAATCAGGAGTTCTGTTTCTGAGGCCCAACTATGAGCCGGTGTGCAGAAGAGTTGTTATGTAGTAAATAATAATACCACCTTGTATTCTACTTCTTACTATTACAAATAGGCCTCAATAAAAATCTTTAATTCTAGGTTTTTTCACCCTAAATACCCGTTTCTTTCTTGGAATGATTTAATTTATTTTATTTCTGTAAATGATAAATTTCATTTCACCTTTAAAAGTGGATGCTACACCCTTTACACCAGAGTTCACAGAAATTAAATTTCACTATTTAACATCTTTTAAGACGGATTTGTCCTTTTCAATTCCTATCAAAGTAAATGCTTAGAGATTTGCATGCAGTTGCTATCTGGTGGAAGCCATGATATTGATGTTGATGATCTGCGGAAAAACACGAAATACACGGGTGGTTATAACGAAGGGAGCCGAACAGTTAAACTCTTTTGGGAGGTATTAATTTAGAATATTATTTCAATATCCACTTATTTTATTTATTTATTTATTTTGTGTGAAAAATGGCAACTGATATACAATTGCTTGTTTTGATATAGAACCACAATAAGAAAAAAAATTCATAAAACCAAGTGCTATCAACACTTGTTTGTTTATATTGTACTGTGGCTGTTATTGACAAATATTGTTCATTTGTACACCAAATATGCATCCATTATTTTGGGGTGTTGGTACCAAAATCATGCAAAAGGACGCATGCGACTTTTCCTTTTTCCGTCTTAATTCCTTCTGGGTTCCTTTTGCCTTTGATTAAAAAATTTTATGTCATGATGATCTTGTTTGTTGTTATCCAGGTTGTTGCAGGACTTGAACCAAAGCAACGTTGTATGCTTCTTAAATTTGTGACAAGTTGTTCTCGTGGTCCTCTACTGGGGTTCAAACACTTGCAGCCATCTTTCACCATTCACAAGGTACACATACACTTATGTGCTGTGACATGCTGAAGTGCCATTACTAATGATTCTTTTGTTCTTTTTCTACCCTTTTTCATTAAACCTATATACTCCCTCTGTCCGAAAATTATTGCAGTCTGGATTTTTACTTTTAGTTCAATTTGTACTAAAAATGAAAACCGAAACTGGACAATAATTTCAGGACGGAGGGAGTAGTTGGGATGCATTTTGATGCATGGCTGTGTGACATTCATACTCATTCTCCTCAACATCTCTGTTTTCTTAATACTTCCAAGTGTATTTTGAAGTTGATCCTTTGTGACTAGCCATTTTGATGTCGAATATAGATCCAACTCTGGAGCCTTTTATCTTATATATCTTGGATGTGCCCAATTATATGATGATTGTAACTGTAGTGTTTGAAATGACTTCATATTTTTAAAAGACTCCATACTTGTAATGATGGGTAGGTTGCCTGCGATGTACCTCTATGGGCAACATTTGGGGGCCGGGATGTTGATCGGCTTCCATCAGCTTCCACTTGCTATAATACTCTGAAGGTATTGTCTCTCGGGAAATTTCAGTTTTAAGGGATAATAATCACTGCTTCACTGCTTTGTATGTTTAGTCTCCCATATTCATTTATGCAGCTTTTTTTCTTCTTGTTTTTGTTGGATGATTGCAGCTTCCAACATACAAACGCTTTGGAACATTGAGAGAGAAACTGCTATATGCTATCAATTCTAATGCTGGATTTGAACTTTCTTAGAGATTTCTGATAACTGTGACGCAGGTGAGCTTTAGTCTCACTTTTCTCTGTAACAACTGTTACTGGCAAGTTGTATAAATATCATGTTTAGGTGTTCTATCAACTAATGCCATAACAATTATGGTATTATGATATAGCTGCTTTTCCCTGTAAGATGTGCACTTTCAAATTGTTTGCCTTTGGTTTTCTTGTTCCCGGCATTGCAGAATTTGCTACATGGATTGAAAAAAACTAGTTTTATTGTCGATTCTGAGATCACTCACAAAACAAGTTTTACAAAGGAACTTAATTTTTTTCCCCCAAATTTGAGGATTCTACTGAATTGGGAAGATAGATGAACTGAATGATTGGAAACTAATTGCCAACTCAAGCAATACATGTAATTATTTAGGAGAGCTCCCAATTAAGTGGGACAACAATTAATGTTGCAACTGTGTAGGCTCTAAGAAATGAGATCAAAACCCTGTGCGAGTAGACTGCCTGCCAACTTTTCATTAGCTTTCTCTGAAGGGTGGAAACCATCCCAGAACACGTATTGTGTAGCATTTGAGCATGTTCCTACCGACCTGGCGTTGCAAAGGAAGGCTGTTTCTAATGTTCCTGTTCCGCAGCAAGCCCTCCTTGATTCAAAGAACCCTGTTGAAATTATTTTAAACAAGATTTTAGTCAACTGCTGTGCTTTCGTTTTCAGTTGCATCCAAAGAAATCAAAAATTGCATAAACCTGATTAAGGTTCTGTTTAGTGACTTGTGCTAAAGAACAGTTTGCCTTTAATCCTTATATATTTCACATTGTCTGAGGAGGTAGTGGCGTGTACAGAGGACACTTTAACCTCATTTTCTGACTGAATTATTGATTTTTACGGCAGGCTGCTGCCTCTCTGGTAAATGTAGGTGGAAAGTGTGCATACCATTATCAGCCGGTCTTGTGATTAGGTCCAACAGGGGATTGTAGATGTCAAATACAACAAGTTTCAGGCCAGGAAGCTTGCTCTTCAGATCCTGTGAGGTACTGTTGAGTTTGTTATTGAAGGAGATTGCATCTTGGTTCATTCGTGCAACACACAAGTTGCTTCCTGATCCAAATAGTGTAATAGCTGCTGGCAAACACCCAGTTGGTGGTAAAGTTGTGACTCCAATTCTCCTTGCACCAAGAGCATAGAGATTCTGTCACATTAGCAAAAAATTTCATTAGGCTTCCATATGAAAGAATTGGTGAGATTATATCAGGACACTGGTTTTGATTTTGTACTTTCTTCATTCCGGGGATTTGTAACTCTAAATCACAGAATATTATGTTGCTTGCTATGTCAACGTGATGCTCTGTTGCACATATACATGAAGAATTGAAGATAGTTAATATGTTTTTCTGAAATCTTTCCATATATCAGTAGTAGAAGTGTACTTGCAAGCCAATATATATCATGATGAAACATGTATGATGGAGACATGCATCTGATTTTTGTAGTTAGATGTCATGAGTAATTTGGTCAAACTGAATGCTTAATAGATTAGCACTAAAGGCCAAAGTTCTACCTGTACAAAAGTGGAGTAGGATTTCATGAGAATGTCTGAGAACTGATCCGGAGTGTATACTCTGTTAAGCAATGGATTGATGTAATAGTTTTGGATGAAATCACTGCTCCCGGCACTTAAGAGATGTATTCCTCCAGAGAACATTGTGTTTGCTTTGGCCTTTCCAACCCTACTCACGACTTTGTTTTGCCATTCCTTGTAATACTGAACCTGTGTTGTCAAGGAAACTGCGCGCTGGAAAGCAAGACAAAATTCAGGAAAGAGTCACTCCCAGAACAATACTTGCATTGATACATGAAACAGAGTAGGAAAGAAGAGATCTGATTTAGATTTACATAGAGCTGTGCTGTCCTGTCATAGTAACCAGAAGCAGCAGATGCAAAATTCACTCCAGTAAGTAAAGCATTTCCTTTGGCTTCTTGACTGAGGTAAGCTGGTGGGTAGTTATTGAAACCCATGTATTCAGCTGTGCAAAAGGAAAAGAAAACAAACGTGTAAGAAACTGGTAAGTCGTTCAATCCAGGAAATACCAATAATGACATCTTACCAGTGAAGTCAGTGGCCAGTTTTCCGTTGCAGAACCTCCCAGTCGGCCTGTGGCTAACAAAATCTCTTCCATAAGGAGGGAAGTTAGCCTTGATCAGTGTTTGAAGATTGTTGTTGTTTCCTACATCGACTACCGAGTCCCCAAAAATGCACAATACAGGAACAAGAGGATCTGCGCAGGTCGCAGATAAAATTGTGGCAAGCACCAGATGGACAAGGAAAAGATTTGTTGAGAACCCCATTTCTCTTCGTTACTACCACTGCTTTAAAGAAGTGATTGGAAATTACAAGAATCTAAGAGCTATTATGAGGTAATGAAGATATATATTGAGGAGAGACCGTAAGCAAGCGAAGCCTTTTATAGAGGAAAAAGCTTGTAGGTCGACAAGTATAGTAACTGCCGAGAAGGTTGTTAGTTTCGGGAAAAAAGCAGACCAGGTATGGAAACATGTTTTAGCACCTCAGATAGTAATGCAGTTTGTCAGGTCGTTCTTATTAGACAAAAAAAGGCGCAGGATTTGATGCTATTTTAAGGTTTGTAGAGGTTAGTTTTGGGTATGACGACACATTTTGTTAAAGGCGCAGCTGCTTTTATAACCTGAGGTATTATTTGCGTGACTTGATCTGAATTGATGTTGAAAAGTGTACGTGAATAAGCCTCCATTATGTTTCCTAATGAAACTGTTTAATGCCTTCAACTCCATGCATAGCAAGTCTATAAAGAAACCTTCCAAACAGTGTTTCTTCCGTAATTTGTAGTAACCACCGTTACTTTAATGGCAGTGTGAAATGACTCAACTCTATCGATGAAGAACTTGAGCACAGTTGCCTCGGCTCTTTCAAGCTGGAGTAAATGCATTCTGCATTCTGCGATGCACCCTACTGTCCTCTTTTAACCACATTTCGAGGTATCCCAATTTAAAGCATCGGAGTTTTCATTTCTATTCTGTGGTGAAATGTACTATCACATTTGTTTGCGCCAGATTCAAACCAATTGTTCATTACTACATATGAAAAAACACTCCCTAGTTCATAAATCCAACGACGGTAATCATTGCCACATAAACCATAATCATACTAAAAGAAGGGTAACAAGTCATTCTCTTGGGAGGAATACATTGTTGGGGAACAACATACTAATAAATGTATGCTATTATTCAATTCTAGGGGAAAAAGTATACAAATGGTAAAAGTATTTTTCAACTTTAACTCAACTTGTTATATTTTAAATTTTAGAAATAATAAAAGAATTATTTATTTATATCATTAATGTCTTTTTCTATTAATATCAATTGATTGATTATAAATGAGGACAAGAAAAGTTAATATAATTAAAGATTGTAGAAATTAATTTTTTTTTTTTCACAAAATACGTAAGTTTTGTTGGGCGGGAAACGGATGCATGGGTGCGACACATCAGCCTTTTTTTTCTGAGATTATTGTTTTAATAGGATATATAGATATATAGATTGAACAATTATATGGGGATAGGGAGGTTGCATAGTAAAACCGTCTTTTATTCAATCCTGTTAACTACACCCGTTTTATATATTATTATTTAGAATCACAGTGTTCAATCACAAAAATCAGACATCTGGGGAGCAGCACAATGACAGTCAAAGCCTTCAGGAGAGTCGCACCACACCGTTGCCATGGTGTAATTTTTGCCGCAAGTGAGGTCACAATCGGGACAATGAAAAGCTCCATTCCAGTAGACTCCGGATCTGGTGGTTTGATGCCTCCTTTGGCCTACTTCACACTCAGGCTCGCAGTAACACATTGAGTGATCTCCTGCACAATAAATTTTCCCAAACCTGCTTCCGCCGCATACTGACTTGCACCCAACGCAATCAAACTTGTAAATTTGCGCATCGAGTGCTTCCGATAACATAGCTGCGTAAAAATTCAAATCGTGTTAAAAGTGAATGAATACGAAAATCTAATATGTAAGTGTAACAATTGTTTTGGGACGGAAAAGGCAAATAACATAAGAGTACTCATCTGACCAGCTGCTGCCAAGGTTGCCATCATGATGATATTTGCCTTCGTCATTGTTAATGGTGAAATTTCCTTGTGGTTTGACAAGTATGATTCTGGGAAACAAAAAGTATTGTATCATCAACTCAATACGGTCGCAATATTAATACAACTATACAAGGCTTAATGCCAGCACCAAGATTATGATCTGTGTGCCGTGGGCTTAGTACCAAACTAAATTTAATTAGTACAACTACAAAGTGACAAAATGGTAAGAATATGATGAACTTTGTCGGCCGCTTCTTTTGGGAAGCACCGTTGCTCTGAGGCTTCCCATTCGCAGGATATAAAACTAACATTTGGACAGTTCTAGTCTTATTTGATGAAGAAAATAAATTAATTTGATCAGAGGTTCTCTATTCAATAGTAAAAGAAATGCAAATTGTTTAAAAAAAAGGACAAAAAATTTGCGATACTTATTAATGCCTAAGAGAGATTTCTTATATTTTTTCTCAAAATAATTATTCAATTTAGATTTTTTTTCTTTTATTTAAATTTATACTATAAATAAAAAAATCAAATCGAAAATTATTTCGGGACGAAGGGTTGTTTGTTTTGCTACCACAAGGGTTGGTTTACACCAGTGGCGAAACCAGCTTTTTATATTTGGGGGGCTTGCTATCAGAAAAATTAGCCGATCTACCCAAAGGTTGACATGCATTGTCAATTATATCCTATTCTTTTTCAATTAGCCAATATTACCCTAAGCTATCCAACCGTTAGTCGATTTTGTCCAATTGCCCATTTTCGTTTAAATTAACGGAATTCTGTTAGTTTTAATTATAAAAATACCCTAATAGTTTTGAAAATTATAAAAACAACCCTAAAAATTTGTAAAAATAACCAGACAGTCTTTTTACACTTTTTATTTAATTTTTTCTGTTTTTTATTTATTTTTATTATTTCTCATAACTATAAAAATATATTTTATGATCTTTTAAAAAAAACTATTTATTTTTAAACACTACTATGCAAATTTATAGATATGTATATTTGTAACTCATGGTTGATTTATATAAAAATATTAATTTTTTAATAATATAACTTGAAAATAATGATATTAGTTTTTTTAATCCTTTTTTCAATTTAAAGAATAATATTTTTTTGACTAAAAACCAATTTTTTACAAAAAAGTAAAACATTTAGCATAGATTAAAAATTAATATATTAGCACATTTTAATTAATTACAAATTGAATAAACAAACTATAGATTGTATTATCCAATTCAAAAAATTATTAAACTAAAATATAGTGTACAATCTAGTGTTTAGGGTGTTGAGCTTCATGATAGTAGATGTAAGATTAATTCTCACCAAGGATTTTTAACCAGGAGAGTGATTTTATCCACATTTATACATGGTTTACTAAAGGTGAGAGGGTTGAGTTGGATGGTCAGGTGATTTAAGATGGGAGATGATTATTACTGTATTCGAGGCCTCAATTCTCACTGGGGCGATCTTCTTTTGTTTAAAGGTGGATTCCAGTACTGGAAGAGATTTTTTTATTATTTTTTTTAAAAAAATTAATTTCCTACTAAAGTTAGATGTTAATATCTCAAAAAAATTATCACGAAATGTTAAACTCTCGCAATGATAAATATACATATTTTTTATAAAATATTTTGTACCATTTTTTTTTACTTTCTATTTGTACTTGGCCTTTTAAAAAAAATGTATATTTTAGTTTAATTGTTTTTTAATTTTATAATACAATATAAATTCTGTTGAATTATATTGTAATAATACATTAAAGTATACCAATAAAAAAAATTTAATCTATGCTAAATGTTTTATTTTTTGTGCAAAATTAGGTTTAGTTAAATAATCTTATTTTTTAGATTGAAAAAAATAGATTAAAAAAATAATATCATTACTGTTAAACCATGTTATTAAAAAATTAATATGTTTATGTTAATCAACCATGAGTTACGAATGTGCATATCTATAAATTTGCACAATAGTGTTTTAAAAATAAATAGTTTTTTTTAAAGATTATATAATATATTTTTATAGTTATCAGAAATAGTGAAAAGAAATAGAAAACAGAAAAAATTAAATAAAAAGTGAAAAAAGACTGTTTAGTTATTTTTACAAATTTTTGGGGTCATTTTTATAATTTTCAAAACTATTATGATATTTTTTGTAATTAAAACTAACGGAATTTCGTTAATTTAAACGGAAATTGGCAAATTGGATAAAATCGGCTAACGGTTGGGTAGCTTAGGGTAATATTGGCTAACCGAAAAAGAATAGGGTGAAATTAACAACGCATGTCAACCTTTAGGTAAATCGACTAATTTTTCCGCTTGCTATCTATTAGTCGAACCTTGTAATCGAAGCCGGAGTTGGCTGGCTTCAATGGAAAAAGTTACTGTTAAGTTTATTTTGCGAGTAGAATTTGGGGGTTTTTTAGTGTTAGTGTTGGCAGTTTTTATTTTTTATGAATTAGTAATAAGAAAGAAAGAGTTAAAAATGAAATCTGTTTTTGACCCAAAAAAGCAAAAAAAGAACAAAAAAGAGTTTGGAAAAAGAAAGAAAGAATTTGGGCTGTTTACTAGTCAAGTAGTGGGCTATACTGGAGTTTTAGAAAACTAAAAGGAGAAAACTTGGGTTAGACTGGAGTTCATAGTTAGATGAAACTAAAACATAAACGGGCTAGGCTACAACTAAATATAAACAGCATCGTTTTGTTTTAATCAGGAGTAGTTGTCCCACCCATCAAGATCCTACAATTCAGCGAGGGGAATTAGTCACTGTTGTCGATGGTAGACACCCTGCAAATATGCACACAAAAAAAGGTATAAAGGAGTAACATTGTTCATCTTCTTCCTTAAGTCCCCTTTTTTGAGAATCGGAGGGGCTGACATACAGTGGCGAAGCTCAGCAATAGGTGCCCCTAACGGGCTCTCCGGCCAGCCGGGAGGGCTCCAGATCCCCCGAGCCCCTTAAGGGTTCCGCCACTGATTTACACTACTTTTATTTGACTTCTTAATACATTTTTTTTTTTTTGGTTTAAAGGAGATAAAAGTATAAAACAATTTCACAACTACGGTGCGCGAAAATACGTCACCATAACAATGTCTCAATGAATTAATACATTTCTACCTAATTCCCAAACACACACACACACACACACACATATATATATATATAACTAGCCAAAAGGAAATACTTCCTCCATCCCACAAAATAGTCCACATTGAGTTTTGAGTTTTGTACTGTTTTTAGTACAAATTTGAAAACTCAATGTGAACTATTTTTTTGGGACGGAGGATTTTGGAAACACGGTTGACGACTGTTTCGGTGTACTTTCAAGTTTCATCAAGTTGACTTGGAAGTTGGAAAAATTAGTAGAACGAAACATTCGAATGGTACCCAGTCACCCATTCGAACAAGAAAAATGATAGATATAATTAAATACTCCCTCCGTCTTTAATATACGGTATTTTGATTTGTCATATGTTTAATCAAGTACGCATCTTTAATTGGCAAAAAAATTTAAACATATTTTATAACAATCAAGAGAATACAAAAAATGTAAAAATATGTTTTTAAAATTTGTTCGTCAATTAAAAATGCGCTTTTCTTGGTGAAATATAAGACAAAATTGAAATGCCTTATATTAATGACAGGAGAGAATAGAAAAATTGTACTGTTGTTCAGCTGGACATCAAATGCTGCTAACCCGTCTGCTGATGAAGCCCATTCGCGCCCAAAATCCGAAAATAGCCGACGAAGCCCATGTTCCACCACCAGAAAAAAAATTGATAAATATAATTAAATACTTTCTTCGATCTTTATTATAAGGTATTTTGATTTGTCTTAAGTTTCACTAAGTACACATTTTTACTTGAAAAAAATTTAAAATATATTTCATAACAATGAAGAGAACATAACGAACGTGAAAACATATTTTTAAAGTTTTTTTACTAATTAAAAGATGTGTATTAGGTAAAACTTATGATAAACTAAAATGCTTTATATTAAGGATTGAAGGGAGTTGAAAAATACATGCATACTGTTGTCCAGCGCTGGACATCAACTGGTGCTAACCTCTCTGCCCATGAAGCACATTTGGGCTCAAAATCCGAAATAAGCAGATGAAGCCATGTTGGTCGAAAACCAAAAAGTACATATTTTGACAAAACACCAGAGAGTAAGCTAATTTTGACAACTGAATTTTGTCTCATAGAGTTATTTTGTAACCAAAGTGCCATGTTTCTTCGGTATACATATAAAAAAAAAAGGTTTAAAATTCTTCTTTGATTCATATATTATATGATGGGTATACATGATCTTATATATATATGCTAGTGATGTCTAATCGTACAATGCGCAATCCTGACCCAATCTCTCTGTAGATCTTAGAAATGTTTATATTTGAAAAAAAAAAATTGTATTTGGAGCGATATATTTTAAAAATATTTGAAGGATTTAGAAATGTTTTATAAGTGTGATCATAGAAATATTTGTATTTAACAAAAAAATAAATTGTATTTCGCCGTGTATGTTTTAGAAATGTTTTATAAGTGTTACTTTTTAAATATAAATAGACCTAATCGAATATATGTGTTGAAGTAAATGTTAGACAAAATATAAAAGTATCCTAATAAGTTTAAATATTAGTAAGATGATTTATTGATGTTCTCCATTGGTCGTGCCAAATCAATACTTAGTTTTGGAGATTTTTTAATAGCTTTGTAATAAGTTTCATCTGAAGGGTATATGCTTAAAACAAAATTGACACTTTGTAACAAAAACCTAATTGATCAATTCAATTTAGACTCCATAATTAAGAAAAAAAAAACTACTCTAATTGAATGAAACATAAAGGAAAAATTAAAAAAAAAAAAAAAAAGTGTCACGTAAAGTGCAAAGGGGGATTTAGTAATTTAGTTATGGTTAGACAAAAAGGCAATTTAGTACTTTGCTCATGTCAGGTAGTAATCATAGGAGGTGTTTGAAAGGGGGTTTTTATTTCTAATATAGTAGGATGTATATCATCATCCGTCAATAAGGGGGGTTTGTGGCAATATTAATACAACTATTACAAGGCACAATTAATTAAATATTGAACTAGAACATCATAACACTCATTTA